GTTATCAATGCCAAGCAAAGATTGAGACTTCGTCGTCCTCTGAGCAGCAGTAATGCCCGTGGCTCCCACTTACTTATCCTTTTTGCTTTCAATGTTTATACCCCGAAGCCTCGCACTCTAGCTAAATCGACCAAATCGCACTTCGAGAGCGGGCGGGCGAGGTGATTTTTTTTTTCGTTCTTGTCCTAGCTTAGAAAGTAGCCCCCATAATGTCTTGAAGATATTGTTTTGTTCTGTTCGGCTTTGAAGCGAGAATGCGGAGGGGATTGTGGATGTGGTTTCTCTCAGTTGGCTTAGTCCAGGTCCGCTAGGACGGTTTGAGAGCAGGGATTGAATTATCTCTTTTTGACTTGATTCGGTTTCCTAAATTTCACTTTGTCTGGTTTTGATGCACTTGTGTATGTGTGGGATTTGCTGTATGTACCGTGTCGATCGGCTGCTGCTGCTCTTTCTGCTGCCTTTGCATGGATGAAAATTGGATAAGAGGGGAAGTATGTAGTCTGCATATACGATAACTTTTTGTTAGGGAGGGCAATGAAACGTGTGTTAACAAATTGCGTTTTCCATGATATTGTCGTCTAATTTCTATTCATACCCATCCTCTTCTTAAATCGGACGGGTTAGATTTGGGTTGACAAAGCGGGTGTGACATGTATTAGCAGAAGGAGCCACTGACGGATGCGATAACGGCATGCCAAGCTTAACCATCCCATCCGGTAGCTTTGACTGACCAGCCTCATTCTTCTCCCCAGAACTGTATTATCTAGACTTTTTCTAGAAGTTAAGTAATCATATTGAAAATGAGCATTTGATGTTTAGTATACAACCTAAGAACTCTGCAATAAATACCCTCGAGTTCTAGGTTGTAGGATTTAGAATCGCAGCTTTTGGCCCTTAGTACCGACTTGGGCAACTTGCCTTTTCTCGGACATATCCTGAATAGGAGGTATATTGGCATTTACCAACGGATTTGTCTTATACTGAATATGACGGATGGGTTATAGTCAACAGGACAATCCCTGCGTCCAACACGGGTAGTGGCTGTTCTCATAAGCTTTTACTTATACATTTGGGTCCAAGAACTTTACTTAGCAAACCTCACGTGGTCTTTATGAAAACGACAGGTTTCGAATGATTCATATGGGGGCTATCTACAAATGAAAGAGCGTATCTGTTGACCTTCATACAAATCAGGTTCGAAATCAGAAAGGCAGAATACCATCCAAGTTTAATGAGCGAATAGATGTGGGTATTAGGACGCGACTTTTGAACAGTTTGTCTTACTACTCAGACGCGATGCAAACGACAATCCATACACACCTCCAACTGACAGCGGCGGCATTGCATGATGAATTTCCTGTGTCTCGCGTTACACATCTCGCAGCGGAATCGTTGACGCCTTCCACCGTAGATCTGGGTAAATTTCTTTCGACCACGATGCTCACACTCGTCGGTATTGCGAAGTTGCTCTTGCACTGCGGCAACGCGACGCTGACGCTCTGCAGGCAGAAGATCTGGAGGTGCGACTCTATCAACGACCTGCTCGGCACGTCTGATGAGGTTTTCCTCAATCCAGAAAGCACATGTGCATCTTCGGGGCTTGGTCCATTCTGTACCACATTGGTAGCAGAACTCGGCACCACATCGGCATCTTTTTCACTGTCAGACAGGCATTTCAAGAAAGCGCATTGATTCAGGGTATCACGAATCAAAGAAAGGATTCAGGGTTTTACTCACGTCATATGATTGCAGCCCCATTCAATAGCAACCATGGAGCGACATGAGAAGCAACGACGCCATTGATTCTCCGCTCCCAGATCCAAAATTGCCTGGAGGCTACTATCTGCGGGACAATCGCCTTCATGCTGCGGACTGTTACACGTGGTACAGGTTTTGGTCCTGCAACGAGGACAGGTTGCTTCGCCAGCAGCGATGTGACAGGGAGCAATGAATCGCCCGCATTCGGAGTTGCTACAGTACGTCTTGACCGGTGTTTGTTTCTCTATTTCCGCATTTGTGAAATCCTCCAACTCTTCCGCAGTCAAGCAACCAAGGATTATGGAGCGAGAAACCTCCTTGCCACAGCATCGTGGAGGCAAATAGGCCAAATCGTGGCTTACAACGCCGTTCATGATGAATTGCTTCAAGCAGGAGCTGCAGTACTGATGATGGCTATCGCATCCGATATGGGTGATGTCGGCAAAACGAAACTCTTCTCTGCAAGCAATACACTCGAACTGGTTGCGGGCCAATTTTCCCATAGCATCCGCCTGACGCTGAGTATACGAGACAGATGGACCAGCCTCATTTTCCAAGTCATCATGGGCGTCATGCTCCGAACTCAGTAGTGCAGTCATGCGGCGAACAACCTCGTTCTCGATGGAGTCGTCACGCACTACCTCGGCGTATGGAGGAGGCGCTTCAAGATCCGGATCATCGCTGCTCATCTGGACAGCTACACGGCGATCTTCTTGGGCCTGCGTTTCGACTTGAGCGAGCTCCGCAATTACTTCGGCATCAGCATCCACAGCATTGGCAATGCTATGAGCGAGTTTGACATCCTTGAGAAACGCCAGATGAGTCTCAATCTCAGTAAGGTAGCTGGCATAGGCAACCTCCAAATCCGGAACATTGTCTGGCGTATACTTTGCCTTCTTCGTCTCCTCACGGTAGTTGATTTCTTCCAGCTGCAAGGACAATGCAACAATTTCGTCATCCAGATGACACGGATGAGAGGCTTGCTGGGAAATGACTGACATGGTTGCTAGTAACGAGCTAACTTGGTGAAATCTTGGTGTTGAATCAACGTAAAAAAACCCTTGGGTAACGAGAAAAAATTACGAGACGCATCACAGACAAAGGGTGAGGTTTTGAAGCCCTGGGCTGATGCGGGGTAGACGCGGAATCGTGCGGGGTGTGTATAAGGTCCACGACATGGTACCCCTTTCCATTGCGTGAGTGTTGTTCTCGAATCAAGAAGCACATTTCTCGCCAACCCTCCGAGATTGACCCGGCTCCAAGACACCAGGGAAGGTCGAGCAATCGCATATTCTTCAGCGAACAAGGTGGGAGAGATGGCATCCAAGAAAAGAGACTCCTGGTTCTTGTGTTTACATCAATGTACCTGTAAATGTCTGTATTTATAGGCATAGAATCTTTTCAGGTAGGTGTATAGATGTGAACTCCCGATGTTTATCAAGAAAGGTATCACATTATAGAGAACAGAAGGGCAAAGTAGAGGTTGGTAAATCACAAATCCCACAAAACTCAATACACAATACAAAAGCCCACACATCATTACGTCCTCCCTATGATACACGGAAGAACGCCACTACATTGTCCCTCTCAGAACCGACTGATATCTCTCCCAAAAACCCAATTCACCACCCAATAAACCGGCACAAGAACCTTGTTTCTCCAACTCACCGTCCTCGTAATGTATGCGCCACGCCAAATAATCCACGCTACATACCCTTGCAATCTGCCACCCCACTTACCGCCGCCCTGGAACAGTGCATTCCAATTACCAATATACGCCAGGGTGCCCAGATCCCTGTACGTGAAGCCCTTTGTTGTCGTGGTGGGATTGAGAGAGGAAGATGCGGGGGACGGCTGGGGGTCGATGTCAGAGTTGATGTCGGCTTTGTTAAAGCGTTTGGCGAGCCAAAAGGCCTTTTGGGAGGCGACTTGTGCGGTGGCCGGATAGGATGTCGATTCTATGATGCCACAGTCGCCGAGGGCGAAGACGTCGGGGTGGATGGCTTCGATTGAGGCGTTTTTGCTGTCTTTGCTGTCTGAGAAGGAGGATTCGGGGACAAGTTTGACGCGGAGGTGGTCATCTGTTATTATAGAGCCAGATTTTGCGTCTTTCTTGACGACCCATTTTACGCTTGAGGGAGATACGGTGGCGGGGTCCGATGTAGGAGAGGGAATGTGGAGGTTTGTAGGGGCTTCGCGGACGTCGGAGAGGGCGCTGGCGACGAAGGGGTTTTGCATGAGTCCTGTGCCTGTGGAGAGGGGTGTCAGTCATTCACTTCTCCTTTTTGGGGTGATGGAGAGATATTCAAACTTACTCCAAACACACATTCCCACGCCAATCTCACCCTCCTCCTTCACCTTGAGCGTATACAAATACTCTTGACCCACATCATACGGCTGACTCCGTTCAGCAGGTGCACCAGGCCTCAGCTCCTCAACATGATGGCTAGTCTTTATCTGAATACCTTCGCGCTTGAACTTTTGCATGGCATAATCAGCCAATTTCTTATCAAACATGGGCAGCACCTTCTCCGCAACATCATAAACAGTAATATTGTGGTACTGAATGAGTTCCGGGTAAAGCCTCCGCATATCCTCGTTGATCAAATCGTGCAACTCGGCGCTGAATTCGATGCCCGTGGGTCCACCGCCCACAACAGCAAAGTTGAGCAGCTGCTTCTTCATTTCGACAGATGTCGTAGGTAGAGCGGCGCCTTCGAAACATGCGAGGATGCGATTCCGGATCTTGCGTGCGTCGCCTACGTCCTTGAGGAAAAAGGCATGTTCTTTTACCCCTGGGGTGCCAAACGTCTGGCTGTAGCATCCAACCGTAACTATCAATTTGTCGTAGTTCACATCAAACAGTTTTCCCGTCTTTACTTCTTTCTTCTTCTCTTCACTTCGCTGCGAGGGTGTCTCGTCTGCATGCCTGTCTGCAGCAAGTGCAACACTCTGCCGTGCATCATCGACCGCTTGCTCTATGGTAATGGTCTTGTTCTTGAAATCCACGTCATCGGCCCAGCCCTGGATGAATTCGACTTTTGTACGTCGGCTTCGCACTGGCTCGAGCGCGGTTCTGAATTCAAGCGTGCCGACTGCGGTTGAGGCGAGGAGGGGAGTAAAAGCGAAGTAGGATCGAGGCGAGATTACTAGAGCTTGGTATTTCGACGAGTCAAGGGTGCGGGCGACTGTGAAGCCTGCCCAGCCTGAACCCAGGACGACGACGCGCTCGCGATCTGGATAGGGAGATTTTCGTTAGCCTTTTGGTGTTTGTCTATTTCCCATGAAGAATATTTGTCGCTTTCTATTCTTTCCTTTCTTGCTAAGAACTTAGACTCAAACATACCATTCCGTGCCTTATCCAATTGCTCAATCGTAATCGCCCTCCTCTGCTCCGAAACTTTTCCTCCCACCAAGGCGCCTGTCCTAGCATTACCATGTAACCCACCACTTGACCTCGACACAAGCTCTCTTGGCACAAAAGGTAACCGCAACATAGGTCTAGAGCAAATCATCTTTTGAATTGCTAGACAATAGCGATGTCACAGAACCACGTTTTTTTTTCTACTAATTATTTTCCCTTCGTCGCATTGACGGCCGGGTGCTTGCGGAGGGCGGAGCCATGACGTACCGCTGCTGCAAACTTGACGCGTTCCGAGAATAGTGGGTTGCCGGTTAGTTAGTTACCGCGACTTGATAGCGGGGCTCCCTAGTCAACTGAGATACTGATAAACTGCGTTACGTGCGTAGCAATCGTCCGTGATGTTTGTGCGCTGGGTCGGATCGGAAGTTGTAGGCTTGATGTCGGTTGCCGGTGCAAGTTTCTTTCCGGAGCTTGGTGAAGCATGGGTGTACCGAATGTGTAACCCGCAATAACTCCATGCCTGCTTAGATAAGATTTTGTTGGACTGACTCACTAAGGTTATGAATTTCCATTCGCACAGTCATTCCAAACATCGAAGAGTGTGAACAGCCAGAAAGACAGATATTCATAGTACACGGATAAGATGGTCATAATCCAATACCAGCACATCCATCAACGGGCATCCCATGGAAACAAGTGTAGAAACCCCTAAACGCCCATGAATTACACAAATCGCACCACACCATCTACTTTTTCCCTAGATACCCCGCCACATCCCCCGCCCTTTCCAACCTTGCCATGGTCTCCGGCAACCCCTTATTCAGCCTTTGTAGTCCTTCAACCGCCCGCTCCCAATTCTTCTCTACCTCTTCCTGTCTCATATTCGCCTCAACATCCGCCACATCCGCCACACCCAGTACCTCAGCGCCTTTAACTATACCCCTAATCTTCTCCTCTATCTCCCTATTCTCCTGCTCAAACTGCTCCTGAAACGCGTCTGCCGCCGCCTTTGGCGTTGTCCTCCTATGCTGTGAGATCTTTGCAATAAGTGCATCACGCTTCGCTACCGTACTCGATAGCTGACCCCGCAACTTGTCGTCAAAAGGCTCGAATTCTTCTTTTTCAACGAGCGACTCGCCTTCGTTGTCGGCAGATAGTATCCCTTTTATTTTCTCGCCGCGCTCGTCTTCATCGCCAGAGCGGCCGCGCGCGATAACGTCGATGCCATTTATACTAATGTTATGCCGCATGCCTTGTAGAACTTGGGCGACAAATGCTTCGACTAGTTCTTCAACGTTGCGTCGCAGTTCGTCAGGCTCACTAGTGTCGGAGACGGGGGGCAGGTGAAGGTCGAGTTTTTGGCGGGCGGCAGTGCGGATTTTTGAAGTTAGATAGGTGAGGTCTGTCGGGGATTGGAGTTCAATTTTGCGGTGTTCGGAATCCATAGTGTATGCGTTCGTGTGTGGTGAAGTAGTGAGGGTGTGCGACTGCTGCCTCTGTGAGGTCCTCGTCGATTGTGCGATATGTTTCAATTCAACAGTCAGAGTCCCGTGTTACTTGCTGCTCGTGTGTCGTTGTTGCTATACCGGTCGTTGCTTCTCGTTTTGGTCTTTGTTTATGTTGTTGAGTGCTCTGGCGAAACACGAACCACGAACCACGAGAGCGCGACTTGCCCTGCTAATCGATAAGAGTTTCCCCACACCTCGGCTTAAGTTGGCCGACCTATCTGCCTATCTGTTGTACGTCGCGCAACAGCAGTTTGGACTAGATATAATTACAGATATTCATTCGCAATACTCTGAGTTATGTAGCGCTTAGTCCGGAAATAATCTATCTATAAATATCAAGCTTAGCTCGGAATGCGCCGCGCAGCCGAGCCAACGAGTGAAGCCACCCCAAACGCCTTCCATATACAAAGACCTTGCCCAACCTGAGCAAGGTAAACCCAAAACAAAGCGACCACTACCATTTCATACATATATCCCATAAGCGTCGCGTTGTCCAAAGAAAAGTGTGCCAAATCAATCGACAAATCCCATCTATGACCCATAAAGCATCATCCTAGCCTCTACCGCAGGGCGCCCATTATGAAGGAAACATGTTCTTAATCTCCTCTTCTGTAAGAATGATATCCTGCACAGGATCCTGTCTGCGCTCGAGGTCGTCAAAGTGGTAGTCGGCGTAGGAAGGGAGAAAGATTTCTATAAAGTAGACAGATATATCAGCATGTATTTCTCAAACACCAGTAGTGGGACAAGCCTGAGAGAGCAGTAACAAACACATTTATGCGTACCCTGGTTCCAATCAAATCCTTGACTCGCCTTCACACAAGTGATCTAGCTGTCTATTAGCCTCCATGCTTGCTTTATCAACTACTACCTTCCCGTGTCACATACCAATCGCGGGCACTCATCCTCCCCAACATTAATAACTGTATGCTCAGCCCTGGAAAAAGCCTCTGACATCAAACTCTCCCTCCTCCGCATCCCTGGGCTGCTTGACGGCGTGCTCGACGCACTAACGCTGCTGCTATTGCTGCCGTAGCTCCCGTATTCGAAACGGTTCGCGCTCGGCGTGAACTTGTAGGTATGCACCGAGGCCGACGAGGGCGATGACGAGGAGCTGGATGTGCAGCGCGAAGGCGACGAGGAATCAACAGAGTGTCTAGACACAGCTGCGTGTTTGCCCTTGCGCTTGGGGATGGCGATGGAGGATGACATGGTGGTGGGCTGTTGACTGACGGGTACGGATACCGGAGGTAGTACTATAGTGATATGGACAAAGAATAAGCTTGTAGTAAGCCAAAAAGCCGTTGCGTAAACAGAAGAAGAAGAGCAAACGGCGTTGTACGTTCACCGGCCGGTAGCTAAGGTAATGCCGTCAGTCAGGACAAGACAAAAGAAAGAAGAAAGAAAGACGGTCGGCAGACTGCAACAACCAGGCATCACCCACTTCAACACTCTCGTCTCATAACCCATGTCGGTCCTCGGAACATGTCGTAGCTGGCAGCCTCGTCTGTGACTCCCACCTTACCAACGCCTCACACCAAGGTGCTTCAGCTTGCCAGCCAATCAAACGCGCCCACACGGCATACCGCCTGACGATCGTCCCGGGATCATCGCGCGGGCAGGCGACGTGTGACAGCGTAGGCCCGCCAGGCGTGCATGTGCATTGCATTAAGCTAACTTCATGGATTGCCTTTGGTGTCGTGGTCTTGTCGTGCTGCCTTATCTGCTTATCGGACCTGCCTGCTTGTTGGCCATGTCACATGTCAGATGCGATGGCGGCCCACCGCCAACCACTGTTGGTTTGTGAGTGAGCGTGTTGTGGGTAAGTATGCTAGGGGCTAGGGAGTGTGCTTGCATCTTGTACAGTAGGTCCGATTATCTGGTCTTCTCACATGATGGGTAAATGGGGCTACGAGAGGTTATACGAGGATGGCTGTCGGGGCGTGATGGGTGACGTAGCTAGATCGGCGGAGCTCCGATTACAACTTCGGTGTATATACTGCATCCTATGCGTCTCAACTTTCAAGATTAGAGCCGCACACGAGCTTCTTCTTTGAACGTGACGGTGATGACGACAGGAGATCGAAACATGCTCTGATTCCAGCTAGCACAAGTACATTATAGAGGTAGCTTGCGAGGCTCCCACAGCTCCCACTACATTAGCTAGCATATAAGTTCCGACTACAATGATCCACTCTCACCCACGCCCTCTGTCTCGTCAAAAAAAAAACTATCGTACAGCCACATGTCGTTCACTCGCCATCCTCTTCACAGCAAAAAACAAACAAACTGATAATCGGTCCTGCCGAAGCCTCGCCCCAAAGCACCCGTCCAAAACAGAGAGCTAACAAGATAGCCACTATAAGCGGATAAATGAAAGGAAAAAACGCCCAACGAGTGTGAGCGAGTAAAGGATGCAAAAACATCCGAAAAGCGCGCACATGTGTATTCGCCAACATGCGTAATTAAAAGCGTGAGAGAGAGGCTAAGAAGTGGTAGTAGAACTAGTAGTAAATATCGGTAATAGTAGTAGTGGTACCTAATAGTAAGGTAGTTAGGGAGGTGATAGTAAAAGAAAAGAAGAAAAGCAAGCAAAGAGCAAGAGCAAGAGCAAGAGTCCGCATAACCAGTAAAAAACGCTTGCTTGCTTGCTTTGCAAAACACATACTAGAGAGACAGAGCCCAGCCCAAAGAAACCATTTTACAAAATACAAGCAAAAGAGGGAGAGAGAAACCAAAATCTTGCCGTCCTGTTCCCTTGTGTTATTGTTGGGACGGCGAAACCAGGCATTGTGTTCACCCCCTCTTCTCTCTCTCTCTCTCTCCCTCCGTCTTTCTTATGGATGATGACAATAAACTGTCCGGCGTCCTCTCTCATCTTTACACCACCATGAAAAAAGGGTATTTCTCAGAACAACAAAGAGAACCAGCAATCTAACTCCTAATTACTCCGGCGCCTTTAGATGCTTATGGATAGATCGTTGTTGCGGCGGTTGTGTTGGGGAAATGAATATATCCGATCAAAAGTAACTTGGGACGAGGGGGCGTAAAAGGGTGAGCTTGGTGTGAGGCGTCAAACAGCGGGGAATACATAGTAAAAATCGGGGGTATCGTAGCTTTTTCGTGTCGTGTCGCGCGCCGGGAGAAGACGAATCTACCATCCCTTCTTGCGAGCGAACCGCTTGTTGAGCAGGACCAATACTTTGGTCACGTTGAATTGGACATATTCGAGATCCAGATCTTCTTGGTTGTCCTTTTGCATCTCGAGAAGATCGTCCAGCTTGAGATCTAGCTCGAGAAGACCGCGATTTCGGCCCTTGTAATGCAGCGAGATGACAAAGGTGCCGGGCAGTGGGCTCGTGAAGTTGAAGTAGATGTTGGCTCTCCTATTCTCCGGAACGTTGCTTTTCTGAATCACGCCTTCTCGCTCCAGCTGTTGGTGTGTGAATTTGTAGGGTCCCAAGACTTGGTGCTTCTGTTGTTTTCTCGTCTTGCCCTCAGATTGACTGCGCACGTTGTGCAGATATGACTTGTACGTATCGAGCTGACTAACCAGGAAGCCGTTGTGGTCGCGAATCGTGCGGAAAACTTCCTCGAGCTTGCGTGTCTCTTCAATGACCTTGTCCTTCATGGAGCCCAAGTGAACTAGCTCTTGCTCCACCTCGTCCCTGAGTAGAGAGAAGCCATCTTCCTTGTCGATGACGCCGAGATCCTGGAGCTGGCTAAGTAGCTCAATGCTACGAATACCCTTCTTGACCATGATGGAATCGTTCTTTGTCGTCGCGGCAGCTTCGGCGATCCTGTCAAGCCTCAATGGTCTCCGGGTGATTGAGCTGTTTGCGGGGAGTGAGCGAAGAATCATGACGAACGTCGACTTGGCTTCCATGAAGAAGATCTCCTCCTGTGTGATATCAAGTGCTGCAGTCAAATCATCAAGCGGTGTTTCCCACTTGCTGAACAGTGGGAGGTTGATAGCCCTGTTCTCCTTTCGCGGGAGTTGAGCGGGTGCAGTACCAAGCTCCTGAAGAATTACACCCAAATGCGAACTGTCCTCTTTTGCCTGGACAAAGTCAGGATAAGTACTCTTGTGATTCCGAACACTAGTGCTTACGAGTTCAGCTGCGTGTCGTTCAAGCAGTGAGTGTGTCGCATACACCTCGTTGAGTGTAATGGACAGTTCGAGATCTTTCTTGGACAAGGCAACGTAGTTGTCCATTTCTAGAGTATCGTAAAAGTCCTGCACCTCGCAGAGATCCAAGAGAAACTTGTTGATTCGTTCCTTGTTCTGGTGAATAAAGGGCTGCAATTTGACCATGTACGGTTCCTTCGCGTACGATGGCTTGTTCGCAAGGTTCTGCAACATCTTGGCGATGTATGTCAGCGTCCGCTTGGGGTTCTCGGCTGGTAGCACATCAATGAGCATATATGATCTTGGTGTCACAATAGCAGGGTTGATGAAACGGAGGAAGAAGAAGCCGCCGATGAGCGTGCATATAGTCTGGTCCTGGGCATCGGGGTATTTTCGTCTTGATAAACTTCGGATTTGCTTGCATATCCATCGGATACCGTAGGGTGTCTCTTCGAGCCCCTTGATGATGGTTGTGAGGAAGTTGTTTGCGATTTCCATGAGCATGTTTACTCGTGGAGTGATGATGTTTTGTACGGTTTCGTTTTCTGCAGCCTGTTCGGCGGTGACGCCTTTTGGTAAATCCGGTGGCAGGTTTCCTTGGATCTCGAGCTCGGTGACCATCTTTTCGTAGACCTTGAGCGGGTTAATCTCCAGATCAAGATCCTTGAGCTCGATGAGTGAGTTGATGCTGTCCTGTAAGACGACTTTGAGGTAGCTCTGGCCGGGCCCTCTCCGGGTGTATGTAGTCATCATGCGCGAGACCGGGGTGTTGGCGCGCAGTAGCGAGCTGTAGTCTGGGGTGTTGTCGAACTGGTAGGTCAGGACGGACTATAATGGAGTCAGCTATTATGTCCGAAACTTGATTGCGCAGTGCAAATGTACCTGAAACATAGTCAAAAGTAAGTGTTCTTCTCTGCTCTCGTACTGGTTTCCATAGATTGTGAACATGACTGTCTGGAGCAGAGCATCGATCTCGGCCATGGACACGAGACGACATAGGTGAGCAATATGCCGAGGTTCGGATTGCAGCAGAAACAGCAGGTTGCCGTACTTTTGTGTCTTTTCGTCGTTGGGGAAGAATCCCTCTTGGAGGTCGAGGCCGTCTCCCAGGTGATCTGCTACTTCATTTTGCTGCATAGGTGGTTAGAATCGGGTACATGCACCCCAGAAGCATAGCGACGCACCTCTTCTAATGCCATGCGGTTCTGGATAAGCAGCGCTATCCGCGAGTCGAGATACCGCACATCCTTTTCGAGGACAAAGTTCTTCTTGGATTGCGACGAGATCTTGGCCTTGAGCTCGCGTAGTATCTTCTGGGCTGCTGGTAGTTAGTTCACTGGTCTGGAGCACGGTTCACTACCCAATGTCGATGCCACATACCTCTGGCCAGGTCGTCCTCAATCTCGAGCTCCTTGTCTTTTGCGGACATGGACAGGTACAGGGCCGTGACGGAGTAGCGCTTCGACTGGCGCACTGAGCGTGAACCATCATGCGAAGACATTGTGTTCTGGCGCGAAACGGGGATAAAGGACGAGGATGACGAGGTCGAGGCCCGCGAAGGGGCGTGCAGCATGGAGACTGCCATAGTGCGTGGTTGCTGCTCTCAGTGTGCGATGAAGAAGGGACTTGTCGCGGTTTACAGTGGTGAACAAGGGCGCGACTGCGCTTTGTGGTGTGTGGTGCCTTCCTTTGTGTGTGCGCGCAGTCGGGGGGGGGAGGGGGTGGTGGATAGGATACGGGCCTGGATCAGCGAGAGTGCGGCGGGATTGCAGCGGGAGGGCCCGTCCAGCGAGACAGTTTACGTGGGCTTTCAATTAAGGCAGGCGGCGTGCGTCTGTTTAGCAGAGCAGCAGCAGCAGTCGAGGGCGCTTTGGGCTTGCGAGTGGTTCGCGGGTGGTGGTGGGCAGAAGTGCCGTGGATTGGCAGTGTGCCAGTGCCAGTGCAGTGCCAGGGACAGACGCGACTGGTGCGGGGGTGCTCAGACGGTGCGTGGACAGGCTACAGGCTGCGACATTCCAGAGGGCTGAGATGGCGACACGGCAGGCGGGCGAGTGGACCGGGTCGTGTCAAGGCGGCTGTAGTGTATCGTGTATTATTATGTCGGTACGGGATGCAGAATTCACTACGGGGCAGGAGCGATGGATGGGCGGGAAGGAGCAGTTGTTTCAGTCGGGCGTGTCGGTATGGGCTAGTGGGCGAAGAGTGGGCCAGGGCGTGTGTGGAGACACTGGAGAGCCATGCACAAGGCCGCAGCTGCAGGCAAGCACGGTGGGACTTGCTAGGGCACACACAGCAGGCGCAACCTTTGGCGAAGAAAGAGCAATGGGCGTCAACGACTCAACGGGGAAAGACCTCTCCACGGCAACGGGGCAAAGGGGAAGGCGCCGCTGCACGCCCTGCCATTCACTCATCAGCTTGAGCTGCGACGCATTGAAATCGCGACTGGCGACGACTCGAGTCCTCATCTCCAAAGCCTGCCCAGCTGAAGCACCACTCACAGGCACACCCCCCAGCGAGCTGCCCGCCGTGAAACTCTGGTCAGCTGCCGCTCAATTTCCCCTGAACCCCGACTATCTTGTGCCTGAAAGAGCCACATGGTCCGCGCGCTGCAACCGACGCCCCTCGTTCCTGGCTAGCCAGACTAGCCAACGTCAAAGGCCTTGTCGCTTGTTCCGCCCTCACCAGCTCATCACCTCGAGCTACCTCTTAGCGGGAACTGTATGGCTGTATGGTTGTGTGCCACCGCAACCGCCTTGCATGCACATGCGCTTCCCAAGGTCGCTTTCATTGCACCGCCTATCCGTCGAGCCTCGTCTACCCGTGCGCACTGCCCTCTGCTCCATTCGCATCGCACCGGCATCTCATCTCACTGCATGCATATCATCTCAAAGTCTGCAAATGCAACATGTTTCGTCGACGATCAGCCGTCCCTCTGCGGTCGGTCCGATGCACATCTTGGTTGATGCACATGTACATTCGGTTTCATCAAAGAACATCCGTCGTGCACGACGACCATCACAATCCAACTGATAACCCCACTAGCGCCGCCCACACTATCCTGCCGTTAGGCCTACATAGGTACAACATACACTGCGCCACATGAGTGCCTGCCGCGGAACAATTGCCAAAACCCTTCTCCCTCTACTCATGTCGCCAAGTCATGTCCTACTGAACCTGTAACACCTGTCAGAATCACGCCACCTTCCGCACCTTCACTCAATCTGCTCGTCATTCCTCTGGAGGTTCAGCCGCCGCCGCCGCCGCCCTTTTGAATGAGCATTATCCAGTAGCGCAACCACTGCGCGGGTGACTGCACCTCCGTCCACTTCAGCCACCATTCATCCGACCACCGGTGCTGAATAAAAGCCCGTCCAACGCCAAGCTGGGTGGCTTCAATAGCTCCGAGCGCTACCCATACGTAGCCTCTTTCAAGCATCGCTCATTCCGCCATGTGCCGGATAAGAGACTGAGTGCCGGATAAACACAAACTATGAAAACGCATTCACTCCATGGGGGAGCCAGATGACGCCATGTGTGGAAAACACAAATTTGCTGCAAAACGCGCACGGAAGACTCCACAATTGTCGCGATCTCGGTCGAACCTGGCGGATGTGCAAGACTCCAGAACGAGCAGTGTCTGGGTCCGTGCGCCGAAAACGATGGCGATCATTGCGCCGAACCCATCCACTTGCATGGTGCAGAGCGCGCCGCCGAGTCAGTCGAATCAGCGCACAACGACGGCGAGGAGCACATTCAGCCCGAAATAACTGCGTGCATCCATTAGCTCCAACTTCAACCACCACAGCAACCACACCGGGAGCCGGTTGGAGTCAACGCGGGATGCGCGGGGGTCATCGACCGGATAAACATGGCTAAACCCATCTAGAGTTTCCGACATGGGAAACTACCATATCCACGCTGCGTACGCAGTCGTCGCAATCGCGGCCCAACCTGTCGATAACGACGTCATAGCATATATTGCTGATAGCAACGGGTTGGGCCAAGGCTAGAATGAAAGTGGAGAACTTACATGGAGGCGGCAGCATTCCACTCCTGAGTGGACATGAAGCTCTTCAGCTCAGGTGTCGATTTGACCAACTTGAGCTCTGCACCAACGATAGCCACGAGAACGAGGAGACGTCCAACGAGGCTTGGTACTATCGCAAACGCCATGAGGGGTAGCACAAGAGTTAGTGGGAACCATACCGCAGCCGATTGGTCTTGATCGGCAACTGGTGCCGTCTTGATGGGTGCTTTTCGCGGAATGGCTACTAGGTCCGAGTCTCGCTCAATGAACTGAGACTCTGCATAATCGAGGGGCTCATTCTCGTCCATCCAGTCACGATAGGCTTTTATGTCCTTGGTGGTGGGGCGATCGAGCTCCTTGGACATGTTGCTAAAAGAAGACAGAGCCTTGTCTAAAACCGAATCAGCGAGAACTTAAATGGTAATAGCGCCGCCTCGTTTGGCGCTCGAGCTCGTTCCTTCGGGAAGACTAAAAACGTATCATACTTACTGTATTGCTCTAGCTTTTGAAAGATACGTCCCAGCAGCTCGGTCCTCTTGAAGTGCATGTCACTGCCGTAGCGTGCATCACTCCGGCGAGATGCAGGATATTCATATCCCTCGGCATCCCTGGGTGATATCTGGGCAATGCACTCATCTAGCTGACGGAGCTCTTCTTCAAGTTCACAGGTCTCGTCCTGTAGGTGCAGTAACACGCGGTGGTTGAGATGTTCAAACTTCCTATACATTGGTACAAGGCCCTTTCGTGAGGAAGCCTTGGCGCGTGACGACGCAGTGAGCTCATTTGCTAAGAGTTCGTAACCCATGACTGTGGGCCTGGTCTGATTGGATGCCGGGGCATGTTGCTGGTAGTGTGGCGGTTGCACTGAATGAGGAGAAAAGGGCGGGGGCATACGCTGGACCACACCCTCGGGTGCCATTGGTGCCTGTACGGGTGTTGGATACGCATGTGCAGCTTCTGGGGACTGGTGCGGTGCATATCCGATTGCCAAGGGGGCCGGCAATGAGGGTGTCGGAGGCCAACCCGATGGTGAATGTAGTGATGCATTGGTAACGGCCGGGGATGCGCCTGGGTAGGCATGAGAACTATACAAGGGCATTGGTGGATACGTATGCGCAGGTTGACCCGTGCCAAACTGAAAGTCCTTCTGTGGCTGCGGAGCTTGCAAAATATGATTAACAAGCTCACGTTCTTGATCTTTCAGACGCCTGGAATGCGTATCACTCCGACGAGACGCTGCAGACGGAGCCCGTCGAGATGTGGCTTTAGTGGCAACCTTGTTGCGCGCATGACCATCTTTCCCTGGCGCTTTTTTACCATCTGACCCACCATCTTCTTCTCCTTCACTCTCGTCTGGTGGCTGTTCGTTTTCTTCATCCCCAGGACCGTGGACAAAGCTGCTAGCATAAAGCGGCTTCTTGAATTTACGAAACTCTTGGTTAGACAAGTTTGAATCCGTATAGCCGGATCTCCGTACTGAGGCTGGTGAGGTGGCGGCCGAGTAAGTAGAGTCTGTCGCCACAGAGGATCCCCCGTCGCCGAGGCGCGTGTCACCCGAAGAAGAAGAAGAAGAAGATGATGATGATGAGACAACACTTGAAGAAGGCATCCCTTGGAGATCGGTAGCGGCAATACTCTCGGCTGGATCTTCTGACTGGAGGTATTTGAAAACCTCGGATTGGGCTGAATTCATCTTGGCGAGTGCCGGACTAGGCTGCTCGTACTGGGAGAAGTGGCCGTACTCGTAGGACTTTTCCGTTACTGTTGAGTTGCTACTGCTCGAGCTAGATGGTTGCGTCGCGCTGGAGAGAACAGAGGGGTCCGAGTTAGCAGGGCTTGTAGCATGCCGTTGCAAAGACGCGTGTTTGCGGTGTACGCGTGACCGGCCTACGGAACTCTCCTCAGTTTGTCGACGACGAATTGCTTTTGGCCTGCCGGAGCTGACGGTAGAGGACCGTCGGCGTCCTGGGTTCATGCCTGTCTTTCCCTCTTTTATCTGACGGAGCCGGGGTATGTAACCCACAGTACTTTCGTCTTGGTCGAAATCTTCCTGTTCACCTCGTGGCGTAGGTGGGGTATCGGCTTGGTGCGAGTCGCGCCTGAGGAGCTTCTTCAAGGTGTTACGGGGGGCCTTTGCTTTCCTGTCGCTTTCACCGTACTCGTCTACACGTGGTGGGGAGCCCGAGAGCGGGGAACTCTTGGAGCCCGAACTGGTGCGAGATGGCCGACGTCTAGTGTGGGATGGGCTAGCAGACTGACCGGTGGCTGCCTCATCGACGTTTTCGTAGTGATATCGCACGTCCTCTGCATCCGAGCTGAGTGGCCGTGGAGGTGGTTCAGAGGCCTCGCAAGACGCTGTAAGGTCGGACTACGTATCGATACACGCACGTCAGTATCGATAACAACTAGGAAGACCAGGGTAGGGAGAAAAGAGAGCGTATTTGTATTATCTACCCACCATGCTACCTATGTACGTAGGATTCCTAGGGTACGGCAATCGTCAGCGGAAGCCGCGCTTGCATCAATGAATCTGACACTGGCTGCAATGACTTGGTATAGAGATGACAGCTGTAGAGGAGACGAGAATATAGATGGTGACGCAACGTGCGATTCCTTGCATACTGAAGCGATGAATAGTGCACGTTGTGGGACGAGAGAGGCCAGAAAGTGCGGCACAAGCAAACAGGGCTATATCGTGGTACGCCCCAGTGCCTGCGTGCTGTTGCAGCCTGTGTGCGACATGATTATGGCAATGTGAGATATCGAGGGCGAAGAGAACGTATGGCGAACTGGAAGAAGCAAAGTCGACGACCTTGCACATGCAGAAAGAAGGCTGGCTGTTACCGGAAGTGCGTGCTGCTGCCCAATGAGGTCTGGAAGAGGCCGTCAAGAGACGATACCCGCCGCCCGGGCCTACGGACGCTCGCCGTCTCGCCGTCTCCCTCCCACCACACGTCGAACGGCAATCCATGGATGCTAAATTCGTCCGTCTGCGTCTCATCAGCCCGCCTTCATGGCAGCTTCCTCGCCTGTATGGGCGACCTTTTTCCTTCTCTCATACGAGCACGGTAGGTAAGCTCACAAGGTGCGCAGTCACAGATGGCCACGTCGACAAACTACTGCAACACAGACCAGGGTCCGGTGAGCGAGCAATTCTGGTTCACTTTGACAAAGGCCCAGTACAGGGAAAGCCACGCAGCCGTGCCCCACTGATGCGCGCAAGCTGGGGGTCCTGGCCATTTCCAGGCTGCACATCTCAAACTCGGGCATTCACACTCAAAGTTTCAACCAGACAAGGCGAGCAGATTTCAAGACATGGTATTTACGCATACCATACCTGCTTTGTTTCACCGGGTTGCAATACCGAGTAGGTACCGCGTAGATCCTTCACAAAATAGCGGGGACCCCATTTTTGACCGCAATCTACTTGTTACTATTACCGAGACACAACATGTCAAATGTCTACCTCGTTGGGGACAAGAGGACAGAGTAGCCTTAGCCAATCATTTTGCCCTTTAGCTCTTCAATCACCTCGTCCCATGCCGTCCCATTACTTGTCATCTGTCCCTTCTTGCCGTCTTTGATGGCATACCTGCTGCTCTCCATGCCTACGCCCTCGCCCCATCCCCAGTTCTCCTCAATCCATGTAACGGGATAGACCAGATACGTACCCAACAAGCAGAAAAACGTAGCCCACGCGTGCCATAGCCAGACCAGCAACCAGCCCCCGGGCAGTATGAATCGTATCCACTGATCTGTCTGATAGAGATCTTCTTGCTTTTCAATATAGTATTTGCCCATCGAGGGCGAGTGCCGCAGATTGAGCACTGTAGTAAGGCGAACGGGCGCGTAGTAGAATGGTACGGCCCAGATGCGGAAAATCTGGGATATGGTCACGTAGAGAATCAGGTTGGTCTCGTCGAATGCTGTTTTCATGTCAGTTCGAGGATTCTCTAGAGTAGCATCTCTCCTGCTGCACTTCGCGTGTGCTCGACGTACCCACGCTGTCCACGCTCAAATCAATCTTTGGGCTCATGATCTTATACCACCGGTAGGTAGCATGGACCAGCCATCGCGACTGGGCATAACTCCACGTCCGGCAGAAAGGATGCGAAAAGGCGGCATCGGGTGTAAAGTATTTGTCGATGGTTACGCGTTGGAGTGACGGGGGGGATTGCGTGAGAAGGTGGATTACAGCGGAGATTTCTTTGACTACGCGTAAGTGTTGTCAGTATCTTACTACAGTTATGAATCCGTCGCAGCTGTGAACGAACCTGGGTCCTCCATCGTGTCTTGTGGTATGCCAACGTTATGTAGGCAGCAGAATGTACAATCACACGGTACCTAGGCAGCTTTATCGATTTCGCCGAAGTTTGGGAATTTGGGGACACGCTGGTATGACGTCACTCAACAAAACACTCGAGACAACTAACTACCGTCAATGATGCAGCCAAGTTTTGGATTCAATTATTCAGATTACGGTCATGTTGGTACAGTTGGATGGCATCATAAATTCGTCAACCCCTCAGACCCAAAGCTGTCTACTGGGACCTGTACTGTTGGATCTCCACCTCGCTGATCTGCCTCAGCTTGTTGACGTTCGGTGACTCGCCAGTCGCAATGCCCTTGGCCAGCTCAACGAGGCCACCGAGCTGAGTCCTCTTCGATACAGCGTACTGGGCAGTGCTCGCCTTGACGCGGATGATGCCGATACGGGGGTCCTCGGGGCCGCCGTCGTGCTTGCCATCGCCAAGGTCACCAATCCAGGCCTTGAGCGCTGGTGAGTAGTGCTTGCGAACAACTTCGCGGTCGGTCTCGATAGAGGCGTGACCTGAAATGGATGCCCACTCGCCCGAGTTGTTGATGAAGCCAATGTTGACTGATGCGTGCTCCTTGAGATCGTCTGTCTTGCCAGACTCAGTGTTGGTGTGGAAGAGAAGGTCGAAACCATGTCCCTCCTACTCATCCGTTAGCGAAATGATGGCATTGCAACCCAATATTACGGACCTTGGCAGCTAGAGCCATCGCCCTCGAGGCCAGGAGGTCACTGTCCGCAACTTGTGTCGTCAACAGGCAGAACTTGGTCTTGTCCACGAAGCTGAACAGGTCTTCAACCTTCTCCTTCAACGAAGGTTCCTCAAGGTTCTTCTGGGTGTAGGGATCGGCATTCTTGGAGCCCGTGTCCGCGTTGCTGAAGCCAGACATGTTGATTATGGATGAGGAGAATGTGCGTTTTGGGGTGTTGGTGTTTGGGAGCTGCCGAGGAGGCGTCAGCTTTGTTATACACAGCGCCCGAGGTGATGTTCGCGCAGTCCTTGCGATACAATGAGAAAGAAACCGTGATTGGAGCATACCTTTAGAGGAACAGTTGTCGGTTGCAGGTAGTGTAGGGAAATGGAGGCTTTGGGTCTCGCAAGCTGTGTATATGTAGTGACTTTGCTTTTTGTGACGTCATTTGGTACAGTTCTCGCGTTTGGTACCACTTCACCCCCGCTATGTGGGGTAGTGTGATTTAACAACCGGATCTACTTTTATGAACCGTCTGGCCTCGTCCAAAAGGTCAGCACTTGCGTCATTCTCCCAGGATTGCTTCTAGTACTAGCAAAGCGACCAAGTCCTAAGAGAGAGTGGATACACTACAAGAAGAGCCCAACACATCCACATGATAGTCACATCGCCTCGAACATACTTGGGAAGATTACATAGTAATATTGTCCCTCTAGATCTGATGCGTGTCTAGAAGAAAAAACACCAACGTCCACACCGGGACCCCAGCCCCAACCCATGCCACATGCCAGTATCCCATAAAGTGTAGCGCAGAATGTACAAATGTACAAATTCCAAGCTAATAATGAATAAAATGGTCTAAACCCTAGACTGTATAGATGTCTTAGATATATAGTCCAAATGGCGAGGGGCGAATAACTCTATGCGTCCGCAGCATCCTCCTTGTCCTCAAGGGACGCCTTCTTAAGATCGGCAGCGGCATCGGCAGCAGCGTCCTTTTCTTGTTCCAGCTCGGCGTCAGCAGATGCGCTACCGTTGACAGCCTGGTTCTTCTGCGCGGGCTTGCGAGCGGCGTCGGTGGTGCCGTTGGCGTCTTCTTCGGCTTCTTCTGCCTCGAGGCGGTCAATCTCCTTCTGAGCTTTTGCAATGTTCTGTCGCTATGTTAGCAATGTACTGGATGCTGCGTTGTAGAATGCACCCACCTCCTTGGTCTTGCGGTCCTGGTCCTCTTTCCAGTGCGCAAGCTTGGCCTTGAGCTTCTCAACCGTGGCAGGGACTTCGTCTTGGCTGGAGGGAGGGTCGACGCCAACCTTGGCCAGCTCCTCAATGATACCGATGTTGAGGTTGAACTTGGCGGGAGCAGCGCTCGCACCGCCTTTCTTGCCCTTTTTACCCTTCTTGCCACCAGTGCCGGCGAAGTAGCTCTCCTCCTCGGTGTCCTTCTTGGATATGCGGGTACCCTTCAGACCGGAATCGTCAACGGTGCGCTGGGCGGAGGCGGCGAACTTGCTGGCGGCTGTAGTTTCCTTGGGTGGGAGTGCGGAGGGGTCGAAATGGCGGATCAAGCCCTCAGTGGCGATGATCTCGTCACCATAGGCGGGTGCGCTGGCCTCTTCAAGACGCTGGCTAGCAGCCGCCTTGCGTTTGCTCGCTACGTACTGGAGCTGTTCGATGCGCTTCTTTTCAAAGCGGATCTTGCGGGCCTCTGACTCGTAGCTCTTGTATGCGCGCAGTTGCTGGAAGTAGGCATCCTTGAGTTCCTTCCGCGCGTTGTACTTCTCCTGTTGCTTAGCGCGCGCCTTGTCCGTCTGCTCGCGCAGTGTCCGCAGATTCTTGAAGGCTTCGTCTTGCTCGGCCTTTAGTTCGTCGAGTTCGGTCTGGAGCTTGGTGTACTTGTCGCTCAGCGCCTTGTTCTCGGGGTCGTCCAACAACTTCTTCTGCTCGGCAATCTGGGCCTTGATGTCGTCAATCTTCTTTTGTTGCACATCAAAGCCAGAGAAGTTCTTGCGAGCCTTGTTGAGGGAGCTGATCTCGGCCAGGGCCTTCTTCTCGTCCACCAGCTTCATCATGCCACCATCGACCTGCTTCTGCAGGCGCGCAATCTCCTGGTCGACATCCTCGACCGACTTGTAGTTGGACTTGCCCTTTGCCGTCTTGAGCTCATTGAACTGCTGCTTAAGCTGCTCGTCGAGCTTCTTGATCTTCTCGAAGATGGCATTGCGGCCGGACTTGTTGCCCTGCTGCGTCTGGCGGATGGCGTTGAGCTCTGTCTTGAGCTCCTGCTGGCGCTTTCCGTTGGGAGAGTCCTTGTTGTTCGGCTTGGCGAGGTCTAGCTTGGCCTTGCAGGCGTTCTAGCAATTCTTAGTAAATGTTACCAGACGATCAGATGCGCGCGCACGAGGCAGCTGGTCGGCTAATCGAGGTGCGACTGTGCGCATACGCATAACAGTGACATGCGAAAATGCACTTACCAGCTCCTCTTGCGCAGCCGCATGTTCCTTCTCCAACTTGGCAAGCTCCTCCTTGTACTTTTCCTCGTCGGGCTTGTCGGGCTTGATGACAGGCTGCTTGCTTTGCGGGGCAGCGCCGTTGGTGGCAGCGGCAGGTGCGACGTCGGCCATGATTACTATACAGTCAATTGATTTGGGGCCTGACTGGTATATATATGGCGGTGGGGGAGACTGCGAAGACTGCGAAGACTGCGTTGACCGCCAAAGGGTGCGAAATATTTAGGCGGTGGGGAGGACAACTATTAAATTCGAGCGTCTCGAGAGAACCACACGAATACTCGCAGGGGCCCGTTTCCCGAGCCTTAGCGGGCGGGCTAGTGCCGTGTTCCCCATCCATTCAACATTTCACTGGACATGGACGCCCAGCTTCATTTGCCAAACGACAGGAACCGTGGAATGGCGGAGAAATCGCGGGGCAAGACCCCAATCTTGCTCTTGAAGACAAAATCAGTGCCAACGGATGCCTACGAAGAGCTGTTCCTCACCCTCGACAACGGCCGCTATGCACCTGTCTTTGTGCCTGTCTTGGAGCACAGGTTCAAGCGAGATGCCCTAAGTGAGGTACGCCGCCATGTAACCAGCCGAGGCTTCGTCCCACAAGCCCAACAGGGTCTTGCGACATATGGTGCCCTAATCTTCACTTCGCAACGCGCTGTCGAAGCCTTCAGTGCTGTCGTCGAGGAGATCCGGAACGAAGGAGCCCTTGACATTGACGACCTCCTTCCAGAGAGCCTGCCGCTGTATGTCGTCGGTCCCGCCACAGCGCGCGGTCTACGGTCGCTGGGGCTCAAATGTCCGATCCTAGGCGAGGAAACCGGTAATGGTGAAGCCCTGGCCGGCTTTATCTTGAGGCATTACAACGCCATGCACCCGGATACTTTGAACCCGCCCGTACTGTTCATGGTTGGCGACAAGAGGAGGGATATAATACCGAAGACTCTACAAGCACCAGAGCTGGAGCCCAACATGAGAGCTAGAGTGGATGAACTGGTGATATACGAGACTGGAGAGATGCAATCTTTCAAGCAAGACTTTACAGCCATCTGGCGCAACAATGCAGAACAAGGCTCAAATCACCAATGGGTTGTTGTGTTTTCGCCAAGTGGGTGTAAAGCGATGCTGGAGAGTCTGGGGCTTTTGGATCCAGAGACAGGGCGCACGAAATCTGTTACTGATCCGAGAGACATCCTGATAGCGACCATCGGACCGACTACTCGTGACTACCTGATACAAGAGTTTGGTTTCACTCCAGATGTATGTGCTGAGAAACCAAGTCCCGAGGGTATAGCAGAAGGCATCAGAGCCTTTATCGAAAAGTACTAGTAAAAGAGAAAACCTCGACAGCCTGTCATAGGGAACTTCCAAAGGCACTCGGGACCATGTCCGCATGCTAGAGAGCTTTATAGAACAATAATCTGTTTGCTTTTGTTCAACAACCAATAACTGATCATCGGCCGCGCTTTCCGTCTAGTTGCACGTGCCTCCATCTTCCTGACGCGTTCATTGACGTCACGCGATGCGCCTACTACAAACTCCCAGCGCAAACACCAAGCCTCTTGTGATCTCCCACCTTTTTGTTTCATCGTCTTTATTCTACCTTGACCGAATCGTTCATCTAAAAAACACTCAAATAACCATCAATTGACATCATATCTGCGACAATGGCTGGTACACGATCTTCTACCCGCACTAGCGGCAGCAATTCGAGCCCTGCAAAGAATGGTACCGCAGCTGGCACTAAGCGCAAGCAGGAGGTGGAACCATCGTCTAAGCGCAACCGTAAGGCGACCAAGAAGCAGACGACTATCGAGGAATCGATGGGCAAGGGGGATGATAGTGAGATGAGAGATGCTTCAGACGGGGGTTCAGACACAAAGCAGATAGACGAGTCTGAGGAGAAGGTAGATGAGGACCTCATCGACTCAGATGATGAAAAGGCACTTACGACTGGCGATGATGTGATTGCAGCCACTACTGGCAACGAGCAGAAAGAGGATAAAACCGACGATGCTGCCGCAAAGACAGACAAGGTTTCTCAAGATAAACAGGACGACAAGAGTAGTGGAGACGCGAAAGAATCTGTTGCCGAGGGCGACGGCGCTGTCGAAGAGTCTTCCCAGCGCGCAAAGCAGGTCCCATCCAACATTCTCGAGAAGGGTGTCATCTACTTCTTCACTCGCAATCGGGTCGGCATCGAAGAATCTGAGAGCGTCGGTGATCTCCAGCGCACCTTCTTTGTCCTCCGCCCAATGCCAACTGGGGCCAAGTTGGGTGACGGTACACTTGCAGACAATAACAACAATCGACTATTCGCTCTCCCTAAAAAAGTCTTCCCAAAATCACACAACGATCGATTCATGGCTTTTGTTGAGAAGGCCAACACTACTATCAAAGAGCTGAAGGAGAGCTTCTTCGGTGCAAACGAATATAAAACGAAGACACAAGGCAGCCGCCGTACGGAGCCCGTCGCACCGGTGGCTGAGGGTGTATATGCGATAACTCGTACTGAGGACCGTACTTGCCACCTCGTCTACTCGACTACTATTCCCTCGGAGCTTGGGGAGGTGCAGGAGGATCTCGGAATCAAGGATCAGGGTAGCTTCATCATGAGTGTGAAGAATCCTGAACGCAGTGGACCTGCTCAGGCTCAGCTCCCTCAAAAGCCCGACTTTCCCAAGGAGTAAGTGATAAAGGTCCTGCGAGATGTAACACGACTGACTGGGTAGATTCATCGAAGAGTTCCGTGGTCTAGCTTGGGTCGAAGTCAAGCCAAAGTACCTAGACTACGAATACTGCCAGATTCTACTTATCGGCGAGAAGATGGAAAATGGTGTACAGCCTACAACCAAGGATCAGAAACACGAAAAGGATACGCCTCTGGAGGAGATTGAGAAACTGGAGCACGAGGACGAGCTCCGCGTCGAACATCTTTCCGGTAAATCCTCACTTTCACTTTGATATCGTCAAGTGCTAATCCACTTCTCAGGTGACGACTCCGTCTATGATGATCTCAAAATCAGCAAACAAGAATACCCCCAGGTTGCGACTACCTGGTGAGCTTGGCTGAAAGCGGTAATATTTCAAGCACGTTCTATACGATGTACGATTCAACGACGTTTGAAAGTCAAAATGTAAACTATGGGTAGGGATGATGACTGGGTATCTAAAGGGCATGGGTCATCAACGCGCAATCATGTTCAAAAGATATGGCGCCCAAAACGATCAATTTATAATTGAGTGAAGCTCATTTTCACTCTTCTTTGAGCTCGAGGGCTGAATTTCTCGCTCACCGCTTGTCGCTTAGAAAGACTGGCACACAGCACCTGCGCATGAAATACTTAACGGTGTGGGTAAGCAGCTAATAGCGTGATTGCCGAATACAGTAGCCGTTGTACACTAGTATGCCAAGTATTTTATATCACCGTGGAGATAGTCAGTCCTCACTTCTCATCCCGAGAAACTTCACACTCACTTTCATCGGCACGCTGCACGTTGCGCAGCACGCCCATGGACACTGAAAGTTGCCATGATGATAAACCTCGTCTTTCATCTTCTACTTCCTTGCCCCTCCAACGACCAGCTTCAAGACACATCTTTCCATAAACCGCGGGCACAATACATCCGCAATCATGCCACCATCAGTCATCAACAACGAGCATGCTTCGGTCATTTGGCCGATACAATCGTTTGCGGTAAGCAACGACTTCAAGTCGCCCCGCCCGGCAAGTCTCCTGCTCGATCGCGCAAACTCAGAGTTTGGCATTCTCTACGAGACTGAGCCCGGAGTCAGCGTCATGGCTCAATTCCTAGATACCGAAGAAGCAGTCTACTTCCAGGTGTTCAAGGTGCGCGCAGCATGCACCCGCTTCAATAACACTTGTAAGAAGGTATGCGTCTTGATGCAGCACTTCCAACTAGATCTGCACTTCACGATAGTTGCCCATGCTGCGGAGTTCCTACAGAAGCTTGCTCGGACTGCCACAAAAGTTAGCAACCTCCACTTTGAGGTCCACGAGGCCGTCTCGTAAGTTGCGCTCTTACAGCAATTGCGAAATCGCAAAAGTGCTAATCACGAGACGTCTAGCAAAGCGGCGATTGAGCGTCCTAACTTCAACATGGAGAAGGAGGGCTATGCCAATCAGATCAACCAGCAATGGATGGCAATTCCCGACGAAACTACCTCAGAGTGGGCTCGGTAAGTTTCTTCGATTCGTGTGATGGAACAAACAGTTGACTGACGTTTTCAGCATCTACAAGACTGGCAAGTGCTCCGACTTCACCGTCATCGCCGGTGGCAGAATGTTCCCTGTCCATCGCGTTTTGTAAGCATGCAGCTTTCCATCGTCTCAACTCAGCTGACCAAACGATCAGGTTATGCACTAGGTCGCAGTACTTCAATGCAGTCTGTGACGGCCAGTTCTCTGTAAATCTACGGGATCATGTTGACTACAGGATTTGGGACTCTGCTAACATCGTAAAGGAGACGGAAGAGCGCTCCATCACTTTGCCTGAGAGCGATCAGACTGTGAGCACAATGCTACAAGAGATCTATGAAGTCTACAACTCAACAACGAGTTCCATATTCACAAGCTTCGCACTTCGACGCGAGATGGAGAAGGATCGTGTTATGATGGACTTGTTGGCTCTCTTCGTTGCATTCGACAAGGTCAGTTTCCATGATGTTTCGCACGATCTTATGGCTGACAAAATACTCAGTACAATCTCGAACCCATCAAGCAGAAAGCCACCGAAGCCATCATTGATCGCATGACATTCATCCCTGATCCATTCAGCATCGTCGATCTCGCTGCATCCATCTATGATGACAATTTTTTTCAGAACGATCGAGGCTTGCGCAAGGCAATCATCGCACACGTGCAGATGAGACTGCCCACCATCATGGACGATGAAGCTGCGTGGGAAGAATACTCGGAGAACAAGGCTGTCCCTAAGGCACTGCACACCCACCAGCGTGACATGATGGATGGCGCTTTTGGAGTACTCACGCCGCCGGTCAGCCCGACGAAGAAGTGAGGGACGGCGTAACCAGCGTATGTGCTGCTTGTTTTGATGGTGTTTTTCAGAAGGAAGAAAAGGAAGATGCTGGCGTATGGTTCTTCGCATGAAAGATGAGATACCAGCACATGGAGCATGGAGCAGGTATCATGGGAGCCTTATACACTGAGGAACCTTGGAGGCGCTTCATACCAACAGCCATTGTCTCTGACTGCATGGTAACGACGCCCATAACAGGTACCTCTGTAGAAGATATCAGAACAAATATAAGCAAAGCATAGCAATACTCTTGAAAGCCCAATGGTGCAACCTCGACACCCTCGCACGTGCACGCGCGTCGGCGCTAAAGCTCGGCTTTTGAACCCCGTCCTCCCCACAATAGAGCCACGTGAAGCCGCGCCCTGCACCGCCACCACCTCAATGGCCCCCGATGTAGCCTCCATGAGCACCACACCGACGACGACGCCGGCCGCGCTCAAGACGTCGCAAAAGCCCCCCACAGGTCCCAATGTGCTGGAAGTAGTCTTTGGCTCGCTGCTCGTGAAGCCATGGTACCCATCCTTCTACCCCGAAGAGCTGGTCGGCCGACGCGTAGACCGGTTGTATGTATGCCAATGGTGCTTCAAGTATACCACAGAGGAGGTCAAGTTTCTGGGACATATGGTAAGTATTCATGCTGATATATACATGTTAGGGTACTAATGAGGTCTGTCCGTGTCTTAGAACGCATGTCCCCTACGCAACGACCCCCCACCAGGTACACCCATCTACACAGCATCCAACTACTCCCTCTATGAAATCGACGGTGAAAAACATAAACTCTACGCCCAGAACCTCTCGCTCTTCGCCAAGCTCTTCCTCGACACAAAATCCGTCTTCTACGACGTCACCACGTTCCTGTATTATCTGCTCATCGCACACAAGCCGGAGCCCTCCATACCGAAGCCGCGGTTCGGCGACGGGCCAGATGAAGAAGAAGAAGCAACACATGGTGACGACGACAACGTTGGCAGCGCAGCAAAAGGCCAAGTCGTAGGTTTCTTCAGCAAAGAGAAGATGAGCTGGGACAACAACAACCTCGCCTGTATTCTAGTTTTCCCACCATGGCAGAAACAGGGATTGGGACAAATACTCATGGGCGCAAGTTACGAGATGAGTAGACGAGAAGAAAGGCTCGGTGGACCTGAGAAACGTATGTTGCATTCCCCCCCTATAACACACCGTCTCATCACAAACACCGCCACAGCATTATCAGACCTTGGCCGCATAGCCTACACACACTACTGGTCGCAAACCCTCGCGCGCACCATCATCAATAGCCCCACCAAGAAAACCCTCACCATCCACGACCTCCGCGATAAGACGTATATCGTGCCTGAGGACATTATTGCGACGTTGCAAGCTATGGATGTGCTGGAGCAGAGGAGAAAGGGGGGTGCGGATGCGGTCATCAACAAAGCCAGGGTAAGGATGTGGGCGGAGAGTAATGGCGTGGATGTTATGAAGGGGCCGGTTGATACGGAGGCGTTTGTTGTGAGGGATGCTAGTCGGGGGGTTAGTGAGGATGGATGAGGGGTGGGCTGGAGATGTGTGGTTGAAGTCTATGGTATGGGATGCCAATTTTCAAGCTGGATTCGACCTTCCTGTTGTTATACAGGGTTTGCATTATCCGCTAGTGTTAGTAGATGAATAGCATTCATTTGAGTTGATCGCGCAAAAGTACAGGGTTTATGAACGGCTTTTCATCAACTATCATCTTTCTAGACATACAAGTCACACAGCACGAGACGACCCCCCAACCAACAAGCACAATCACAACACACAGTCAAAGAATAAGGTACCAATATGTGTGGATAATATATCATCTCATTCTCATTCCCAATTTTTGTCCTTTTCTTCACATCATAACCTAAACAAAATCCTATAGCTTAAACTATCCCAAAATGAAATCAATAGGTGATGGCTTTTGTTGGACAACAACAACACCAATGACATGCATGACGGGCCACCATAGAGAAGGAAAAGCAAAAAACTAAACTGGGATGGGGGTATCAAAAAGAGCCAAATCATGTAAATGAAAACCCTTCCGTTCATCCGTTTGTGGGGGGAAGGAAAACAAACAAACATACACAAAACAAGGAGAGGTTCTCCTTTAGTAAGAAATATCATCGTTAGAGAAGGAGGTAAAAAAAATGAACAACGAAAAGAAACATATACAACAGCGCTGCATGCGTCGTAAAATCTCCAAGTTTGAACATACACATGTGATAGACTTATTCGGCCCGACTGGTCTTGGGGCTCTTCTGAGCATGTGGGTTGTTGACGGAATCGCTAGTGCGCGCGCGCTTCAATCTAGATTGAGCGGAAATCATGCTGCTGGACCTGCTCTCACGGCTAAGTCTCTTCTCACGCTTAGCAGCTGCTTCGAGGAGACCACCGGCCGGGCTGTTAAACCCGCTACCGCCGCCCGCCGTTGCCGCCGAGCTACCGGCTGGGATCTCCTCGGCAAGGCGGTCGGCAAGAGCGGCGTCGTATTCGCGCTCGCTAGCACGCACAGCAGTGGGGTCTTGTTGGCGTGCTGTCGCGAGCAGGTCGACGCTACCGTCATCGCTTTCCTCGTAATCCGACTCTGATTCTTCAGAATCCTCTGAGCCGCCGGGCGCAATGTTAAGGATTTGCATCGCTGTTGCTGGCGACTCTGATGAGTCGTCGTCGGGTTCCGATGATGCATCAGACGCATTAGATGCAAGGTCTGAATCGACGTCGCCCGAGGAGCACGAGTCAAAGGGCAAAAAGGACGCAGGCGGAAGAGCAGAACTGGGCAGCGATTTACGGTTTGCAGAGAGAATCTTCTGTTGAAAGACGGGTTGGGGACTCTCCCGAGGCGAAGTTGTTTCTGATGCCTCTGGGTGTGAGTATAATGCATCCTGGATGGCCTTAGGGTAGAGACTTGATCTGCGCCTAGTAGAAATATGGCTTGGTGCTGTGGATACCTGGGAACGTCGCACATGAATGGAAAAGTTATCCTCGGGCTGCACGCCACCCAAGCCAGAGGCTTCAAAGTTCATAAGCTCTGGACTGGTGTTACCACTGTCGTCTTTCAAAGACTCTGGGGAGAAGCCCAGGTCATCGTTACTCAACACGGTGCGTCCTCCGCCGGCAGAGTCGATGTCCATAGGGGTAGAATCCAGAGGGCCACGTGGCTCTGCAGTATCCGAGACAGCGTTGGCTTGTAATGCAGGGTCCATCTTGGCACCAAGAGGCTGGCTCGTAATGGCCTTGTAGCTGCCCGGCATTGTGAGGAACGCTCCATGACGGTCACCACTAAGATCGGTGCAGAACTTGGCCTTGTTGTAGAAGATCATGGGTCCATCGTCACGTCTAGGCTTGGATGGCTGGCTTTGCATGATAGAGCTGCTGAAGCCCGATGAGTTACCAGCCGGTTGGGGATGGTGGGAGAAGTTGGCCGAAGACTCAGCGTCGAAGCCATAGTAGTCCTCTTCGTTATCGGAATCCTCCTTGTGGAAGAATAGGGGTTTGTAGGCAAACTTATTCTGTTCCTTCTCACGTTGAGCCGAGGCTAGCTTCCTTGCGAGCTTAGAGTCGCCAATGGCTTCACTACCAGTACCGCTGCTACCAGACTGCACATGCTTGGACGGAGATAAGAAACCATTTTCGTTAGGTGAGGTGCCGCTGTAATGCTCCGACGAGCTTTCGCCGCTGTGAGCAGTGACGTCACGGCCACCCTTCCATCGAATCTTACGACCATCACGTGAGATCTCAAGATGGCTGCTGTACTCGTGTAGTGCGTCCTTGACAAACTCCGGGGTTACGTTTAGAGTGTGAAGTTGCGCCATGTTGATGAGCAAGTTGAGATAGATCCAGCCATGGCCCAGCGGAGCTTCTCCAGAGCGCATGTCTGGTGGGGTGAAGCCAAGATGGCGGATGTAGTTCATGTTCTCGAGGGGAACCTGCGCACGGTAGGGGTCCAGATCCAATGGGCGGGTCGGTCGTTGGTCCGGTGAAGACCCTGAGCCAGCAAAGTCATGTTCCTCAATCTGTAGCGTAGGACGGAATCCTTGGAGGGCCTCCTCCTGACACCTCTCTTCTTCTTCGATTGTTTCGCGGTCCGACATGATGCGTGCCTCGCGCTGGCCTTCGGGCTTGTAGTGCTGGCCGGTTGCCTCTCGTTGCTCGCGGTCCGCCGTAGCTGCCGACTGAGAGACCTCCTGTTGCTGCATTGGCTGGGGGTGGGATCCAGGGGCTGATCGCTTGCCAGCAAAGATCTGCTCTAGGCGCCGAACGACCATCTTCTTCTTCGACTTCTCTGTCATGGGCACACTCTTGTTGTTTGGGACCAGGCCGATAGGGATGTCGTGGAGGTATGAGTGAATGGTTTGTTGTTGGCGGCTGTATGCCGATCGGGTCATCTTGCGACGGTCCTTTTCCTGGTTGGATGGCCCAGAAGAGTTCTGGCCGGACGCCGACATGGACGCATAGCCCGACTCGGCAAAGCGGGAGATGGACGAGGCCGTGTTGTGCGTCTCGAGCGCGGGAGCGTATGCGGAGATTTGGGCGTAGTCGTTGGTAGTTCCATCATCGAGTTCAGATGCAAACTTGCGGAGCGTCTCTTCCAGTTCCTTCTTCTTGTGGTCGGGTAGGCCGTGGAAGCGCACCTCGAACAACTTCTCTTCCTGCAGATGTGCGTCATAGAGCTTCTCGTACTTCTTGAGCCTCTGCTTGAGTCTCTTGTTGGCAACGGTAAGGTCATCAATGACGCTGCGGAAGTCCTCGGTGCTGCTGCCATCGGTGCCGAGCTGGCCCAGGCTGGGGCGGTACGGGATGGAAGGGTGCATGTTTGCATACTGAGAGTGGTCGGGAGGCGTTTCTGACGAGGACGAATTGCGGAGGAAAAAGGGTGGCTCGTCTACGGCATGATGGTTAGCACTCGTTCCCAGGGCGGGGATGCCAGATGAGGGCTACTCACTGTCGACAAACGAAGACTTGCTCTGGCTGGCCTTGTTGTTGGTCTTCTCGAACCATTGGCCGGCATCACTGCTCTCGCCCGAGCTGTTCTTGTTGGAGAGCAACTGTGGCGAGGCACTCGAAGGCGGATTGGCCCTGTCGCTTGCGAGCGTGGGCGAGCTGCGTGTCGTGGGTTCTCGGACTTGACGTTTGATTGTAGCCGGCGGCGGGCTATGGCGGAGCGAGACAGACTTGTGGGCAGGAGGGCGGCGGGGGTGGACTTGGCCCGTCTTTGGCATGGCACCCGGGGGCTCGTTCATGATGACGGGTGATGAGGGTGTAGTCGACTATGCGTGACGGGTCTTCTCCATATGCGCCAGCTGGTCGATAGCCGAGAGTCGCTTTGAACTAGTATCTATGCCTGTTCGGTGGGCTGAGCGGGAATCCGGATATTTGGGGCGTGTGGGATTAGAGGCTGCAATCAGGCATGTGCAGTCCAGACTGTCGACAATAGGTTCACGCTTGCGAGGCAAATCTTGACAGGCGTGGTATGCTGTTTGGTGTAGTGTCGTGGACAGGCGCTTTGTCTCTGTCCAGGGCTATATGTGGTGATGGAAGTGGTGGAAGAGAGATGCGCTTGAGCTGCTGCGGGCACCTAGGGTTTCTACGTGGAGCCATGGTGTGTATCGATCTGGAAGTGCAAAGCATGTCGATGTTCTCGATTTCCATGTCGCCAAGAAATGGGCCGGAGATCGAGGGTGCCTGGGAGAGAAGATACCGTGTGGCGCTCTGGGACTAGGCCGAGACGGACCAACTACTACCCATCACTGCATCGTCGATGAGCCGCTTCGTCCTCTAACCCACCATCGCCCAAAACGGGCCCCATCGAAACTGTTATGCGAGTGGACCCTGACTTGTCCCCCCGATGCTCCCGATGCTCCCCTCAATCGGTGATGTGTAAACTGACAGGCTGCAAAGGCCCAACGGGATAGCCACACTGTCGCAGTCTGGCCACCATGGTCTCCCATGGTCTCCCATGGCCTCCCATGGCCACAATGAGGACGCCACCTTGGATTCAATCAACGCCTGGCACTTTGCATCCACGTTTCTTTGCCTGGAGTCTCGAACTGCTCCAGACGACATCCAACAGATATTGAAGACCATGGTTGCGAGTCCAGACCCGTTGTGCCCCGACGCGCAAACCCATGGCAAACACAACCATGGGCGGCACGAACCGTCAACCGACACCCAGCGCTAGGTGCTACCTACAGCACCAGATCGAGATCGCAATCCCTAGCCTCGCCTTGGACCAGCCCCTCTGGACGCGCGCTGTCTCGCATGCCCTCAGATATGAGGTAATGTCCACAACGGCTGGAAAAGAATCATGATCATGTCGGTTGAAACGCAGTAGATGGACCCTGATCTGACTATGGTCATTCGGCTGCTGATGCATGCTCGTCATTGGTGGCAGGTGCGCCGTGCATACTGTACATATAGCTGCTTAGTGCTTTGCATGGGCCTGTTGGATCGAGGGCGTGCTGTCCATCGCTCACCTCTACCACAATCGAGGAGACCCTGAACTTAAGGGGGAACCCGACGGGAACGCTCGCCAATGCATCGACAGGCATGCATGCTGGTGATCAGTAGCAATTCGGCGTATGAGAGACAAGCGCAATGCCATTAGGTCTCGCGGCCTGCTGAAGCGCTGCTGCTTATTCTGTACGGCCTTTACCACGCCCTCTGTTGAGCCCCGAGGGCATGTGGCTTCACCTGCCAAATCTACTTCTCTCGCCATGGCCAGACTGAGATGGCTGATTGAGCCGGCTCACAATGTCCGTCTAAATCAAGGCCAGCTTCGGCAACATTGCCCGGTCGAACCACGAGGCTGCTGCGGGCATGGTTTCATCGCTCTGGACGGTATCTTTGCTATGCACTGCAACTTATCATCACCGATTTCATCTCCGAGTCATGGGCATCGTACGATTCCTTTTTCCAAATACTCGTCAGCCCCGACACATGTTAGGACAACAGTTTCCACAATAAGCATTTCATCGAGATCCCATGTACGATGACGTACAAGCTTACGAGCTGACCCTGGATGAAGAGCCTGATATGGTTTGAAAAAAATCTAGAGCGGTAAATAGATGACATGCAACTCAACCATGCGATCGTGCCGTTTCCGGCAAAAGATAGTGCCGAGGTCCACGATGCTGAAAAAAAAAGTGTCACCACACACCCCGATTGGCCACATTAGAGGGTATCCACGGCGGGCGACGTGGCTCAGATGCGTGCGCCCTTGCTCCTCAAGACGTTGATCGTGGAATGACCCGTATAGTTGAGCCATTCACCCAGCCCTCCCACGAAGCCGCCGACTTTCATCAAGTCTTGCAGTCTGTTGTCCAGAAACTGCTCCGTTTCGACAAAGTTATGCGACTTGTCCTGCGTCATGTATATTTCCGTCGACGAGTAGATTGCGGAGAGGGTCGCTCGTTTCGTATACCAGCTGCTGTCGACACTTTGATCGCCTGACAGGAACCATATTTCGTCTGCCAGCTTCGCTAGCTCGGCGAATGAAGCAGGCATGTACGTAGGCTGGGCCATGATGGCGAGTGCCTAACAAGCATCAGCAGAGCAGTCTCGCGATCATGTGTCGTCTTGTGCTACCTCTTGCCATCGGTCAATAACACTTTCGTTTGCTCGTAACCGCGCAAGTGTCAGAGTTCTGACCTTGGCACCAATGCCCATCTTCTTGCCGGCCTCTGCTTGATCCGGAAACTGTACATTGTTTTGCAATGCCAATCGCTGCGTTACCAGATGGTAGTTTACAAGATCGAAGACGCCCCGCGGCAGCAAGTTGGTTGAAACATCAAGGTAGCCGGCGTCGCGGGCACCAAGCTTAAGCGCATCTATGGTGAAGCCATGACGGGGAACGTGTGCGTATGCGGAGGATAGGATGGCCGACTCTGCAGGCGGAAACGGCGGCGGTTGGGCGTAATCGTACGAATGGTACAGACAGCATTGTCGCGAGGTTGCTGCTGGACGGATTGAGGCTGCTCGGAACGTCCCGAATAGCGAGCTGCCTAAACGTGCTGGCGGCATGGTGATGCGCAAGAGATGTTCTGATCAGCCGATGCCGAGTTGTGATGCCTTTCTCCGCAAATCTGCCAAGACTAACATCAATCACCGACTGCGTGACTTAGTGACGTCGGTCATTCAAATCCAAGTGCCGTAAGCTCGGTACACGCATCGATTACATACAGCAGCCGGCATTTGGCCAAATGGAATTGGAATAGCAAAAATCCCACGCGGCCCGCGGATCGCTGCGCGAGTTCCTGGCGATAGTTTAGGGGCTAGGCTGTGGGGCTTCGATTTCGCATTTTGGATTTGAGATTGCTAGAACATCACGTGATGAACGCGTCCAAACGCGTTGACGCTAGTGGCAACTCTTTGGGGCCATCAGTATGTGTGAAACTACCACTCCATAATCGCCATTCGATCTTCAGGAACACATCGGACGTTCCGCAAATCTGAGTGGCAACATTCATCCCGGGAGCGATCCGCCCAGCACGACGACCGTACCCGCATCGCAATCTACGTGACCCGACCGCGGCCACCGTTCCAAATCCTCGACCCGAATCCATCGCTGTTTCCACGGACCATAGCCTGCGCCACCATGGCACGAAGCAAAAATGTCGAGGTCAGCGAATATGAGCGCAAACGACAGGAGAACATTGCGAAGACGCAGGCGCTCTTGCGCAACCTCGAGATGGAGGCTGCGCAGGCCGGTCTAGGGACGACAGCCAAGGCAAAAGCATCCGTGTCTTCCAAGTCAAAGACTAAGAAATCGGCACCGAAGAAGATCAAGCAAGAGGAAGCTGCACCACGGCGGACATCTTCGCGCCTGAAAGGAATTGAGGCCGACAGTGAGGTAGCAAAGCGTAAAGCCGAGGATGAGTATGTCGCAATACGTGACGCGGATCGCGCCAAGAGACAACGCGTGAGCGACGCCTTCAACTTTAGCGACATCGTTGTGGCCGGCAAGGACTGGAATAAGAGTGGGAATTTTCTGTCAGTCGGCCCAGCAGATCCGTATGCGCGCACATTCGACTACAATGATGTGAAGGAGACTACGGATAAGGAACTGCGCGCACTCCGGGAACGGATGAGTGGCTTGCAATTATGGGAGGACTTTGAGCCGAATGAGATCAAAATCACACCGGAGCGCATCTACTCCATGGGATTGCATCCCACAACAGACAAGCCATTGGTGTTCGCTGGTGACAAACTTGGCAACCTTGGCATCTGTGATGCCTCGCAAAAGGTGGCAGAAGTTAAGGTCGAAGATGACGAGGATGGTGATGACGAAGGACCGACCATTACCACATTGAAACCGCACACACGGACAATACATACTTTCCAGTTCAGTCCACATGACGCGAATGCGTTGTATTCTGCTTCGTACGATTCTACGGTACGGAAGCTGGACCTTGCCAAAGGAGTAGCTGTCGAAGTATACGCACCAGCAGACGCAAATGAGGAATCCCCTCTATCAGGGCTCGAAATATCAAAGGATGATCCTAACACATTATACTTCTCAACATTGGACGGTCAATTTGGCATATGCGATATGCGCACACCATCCGAGAAAGCTGCCGGTCTTCAGGTTTTCCAGTTGTCAGACAAGAAGATTGGAGGCTTTACCTTGCACCCCCTTTACCCACACCTCGTAGCTACGGCCTCATTAGACCGCACATTGAAGATCTGGGATCTGCGCAAGATGAGTGGCAGAGGGGACGACCGCTTACCGGCGCTTGTGGGGGAGCACACAAGTAAGCTCTCGGTCTCACACGCGGCTTGGAACTCTGCGGGTCAAGTGGCTACGGCCTCGTATGATGACACGATCAAAATCCACGACTTTGGGAATTGCGCGGACTGGACAGTTGGTACGAGTTTAGAAGAAGCGGACATGGAGCCCAATGTTGTAGTGCCGCATAACAACCAAACTGGACGCTGGGTCACCATGTTAGTAGCCCCAGAAGTCCACTTTTACGAGCATGATACTGACTATGACGTGTAGATTACGAGCTCAGTGGCAGCAGTTTCCTCAGGACAAAGTCCAGCGCTTCTGCATCGGTAATATGAACCGCTTCGTCGACATATACACTGCCAAAGGCGAGCAACTAGCGCAATTGGGGGGTGATGGCATCACAGCAGTGCCAGCGGTTGCAAAGTTCCACCCCACATTGGACTGGGTGGCTGCCGGCACGGCTAGTGGGAAGTTGTGTTTATGGATGTAGATATCGATAGCCGAATGAGCTTGGCACGCTGCCGTTGTATTTTTCCATCACGCATTCACCGCTGTTCGTTTACCTTTTTCGAGAACATTTCATGCAAGGAAGTAATGAATTTTGATCGTCGACATGCACGTATTCCACCAACTGCTGAAGTGTCTGCATGCCCTGGTCGGAAGCGCCGGATCGAGGAACATGTCCATAGTCACGACAGGGGTCTGTTCCCTGCAAGTTCTGACAGTAGTACTCTCCTGGGGCACTTCCATGGCAGTCCTGGCCAAAAATGCCGTCGTAAATCTAATCGCACGAGAGAACAAGCTTCATAGGCGATTAACGAAGCACTCGGACCTGTGGCCATGTTGAAGCTCAATAACAGTCGCACAACGTCGTGACGGTTGCGCTGCACGCTCCAGCCGTAGGTTGCGTCGAGGAGCCACAAGGTAGCATTGCAATTGCCGTGCTCACCGTCATTCTCAACAAGTCCGAAGCGTCGGACGGTGAAGAAAGCGCGCGTTTTCCAGCAGGAATACGATGGTTTGGAAGCTTCGAGGATTCTATTTTCAGGTGTGGCAAGAGTGAGAGAACGCACTAGCAACGGGAACGGCGGCACAAGCGGGGATCATCATCTCGAAGCTTCCTGGCTGTTGGCACTTCTAGGTTGAAGCTTGCGAAGCAGCGCCCCTGCCAGCCTCGTCATACGAAATGGTTAGCAAAGGTGCCTGTTGATCTCAATTTTTGTGCCTAACAATAGCCAAACGGACAAACAGAAGTGACGCGGGAACAGGGTAAATGTTGCAACGCCTATCATGATAGCTTACCAGTAACCGGGCCAACACGACAATCGTGTTCAGACTGTCAATCTTGCCTAAATGAATATCCAATACTTGCAGTCGCTCGACCGGCTATGGCGCCGTCTCAATCTGTGAGCATCAAAAGTCCGGAAGAGACCCCATTCGGACTATCTTATCCAGAAATCTCCACATCTTGTGACTTCAGCGGGCCCCGAATACGAGGTCGACTCCACGAAAACAACAGAAATACCGTGTTCGGTACATCGGCCACTGGGGTGTGACGCTCGAGATGGGACTCACACGATGCAACGTCCCAGCTAGCTCTGTGCTCCTTCTCGTATCCAGCCGATCTTTACTAAAACTGCTGCTAGGCGGAGCTTAAAATTCGCTTGTAGCTCGGTCACTTGCTCGGAAGGGCAAAGCTTGGGCATGGGCAGGTGCAGCGGCCTGTGCATGTACGCAATGACGGGGCAAGGCACCACTACGAAATTGAGTTGGACAGCACCACAAACCCTCGTGTAGGATCATATATAAAGACACCGGCAAGACTACATTTGATACCCCATCCTCATCACTTCAGCCACTTTCATACTTTGAACAAGCTTAATATCCCTACCAACAAACACTCGCTTTCGAATCCACCAAACTTCAAAATGCAGTACGCTCTCGCTTTCACCACCCTCGTTGCCGGTGTCATGGCAGGATCTGCCTGCCGCCCCTCCGCTCCTACTCCTTCCTCCAACGCCACGGCACCCGCCCAAACCGGCTACTTTGGCGTCGTCTCTGCTCGCAGCGGTTCTCCCATCCACTTCCAGACCCTCACCGCTCGCAGCGGACAGTTCTACCTAGGTGGACCCGCCCCTACTACCTACTGCCCTACCGAGATTGGCGCCCAGAACTGCCCTCCCGGTAACACTACCGTCCTCTCTGGCGGCGTCAATACCCTTGGTCTTGGTGTCCTTGTCCCTGGTGGCCAGCAAGTCTACGTCCAAAAGGACGGCCTTTTGGGATACACCCAGCCTCACTCTGTCGCCATGCCCGAGGGTGCCAGCCAAACTGGCTGGAGCCGCGAGGCTCCCTCTGGCAACAACGAGTTTGGCTACCTTCACTACGAAGGCGGCCTCGTTGGATGCCCGGCTGGTGAGGGCTTCGGATACCGTGTGTACGCCCAGGTCCCAGACGCCAAGTTTGGCGATGACTGCCTTGGCTTCGACGCTCTTACTGGTATGTTTTAACTCGAGTTACTTTTTTGCATCAAACATGGACTGACAAATCCTTCTAGTTGAGACGGCCAACCCCGGTGCCTGGCAATACTCCAAATAGATTACTCCCTCTCGAGACCTTGATTGGTTTTCGCAGGTGTAAATCTAGCGGATGTATATTGCAACATGAAGCGGGAACGAATTGGCATGGATTGAGAATACACATGGGACGTGCCTACTTTGTACATACAGCCTTCCTCCTTCATAATAAGCTAGGAAGAGTAATATAATAGTAATCCCTCCACACACATGATGCTGTCTTTCATCTTGCTCTGGTGATATTCTGTACCAACGCGGCCTTGATACGCTCCACTTGTTCTTCAGAAGAGCATTGGCTGTGCATTCGTACAGCAACCGTCTTGTTCCTACTTTTCAATCCCTTGACAACCTCAACGTCAGACTTGGCACTTTCAACGCTTCGGCAATCATATCCCTCACAGCCCTATTCGCCTCGCCGTCTCTAGGCTGCGCTGAAACATGCACATCAACTCTCTCATCCGATATACCAACAATACCCACGCGCTGCGCACTAACCCCGGGCCTAACACGACACACCAGCTGTACAAGCCCCGGGCACTTTCTTGCGACGACACCTGCCACCAAACGAACAGCCGGACTAGCCATACACCCGACTTAGCCGCGGAAACAGGAGAAACAAGAAGTGGTCAAAAATAGAAAAAGGGGATGCCTTGTAGATCAAGTAAGATGATGGACCGTCCGTTGTTGTATGTAAGTAAGATATCCGGACCTATGTCTGATCATCTGTCTTCGTATCCAAATGAAGAGCGACGGTATAGTTTGGCCGAGATGACCGGGGGGGGGGGGGGTTGGCAAAGCCGATTACAACCGACTCTTCCGCACGAGGACTAGCGCAGAAGCTTTTCCAACGGGCGTGGCAGTGGATGATGCAACCAATCGCGTTGATGGTGGCTTGTGCTGTGAGTAAGCAAGCTGGCAGGCTGATTGCCTAGAAGCATGGGATTGTGGAATGGACGCATTGAGTATGAGCATCCTCATCGCCGTCCTTAATCAAAGAAAATGCAAGACGTGATATGCAAAACATTTCTTCCATGCCGCGGCCGTCACAGCGCACCTCCCTAATCCGCTCTGGCGCCCGCACGTGCACAACGGAGCCTCTTGTCTTGTAGTGGGGGGACCGCCGCACAATCGTTCATGTGGTGTGGCTAGAGTTGGTCTCAAACCTAACCGTTCCCCTAAGTGATAAAATTGACGATGTCTCTTCCTCTAAGTACAGGTGCACACGATGGTGCCAGCATGGACAAGAACACAATTACCTAAGAGAAGCGAGCGCCCGCCAGAGATAAAAGCCCGCCTGGTCGCCGCTTATCTGTTGGCTTCTACCGGATTTTTTCTCTTCTTCTTCCCCCGCAAAGAAAGTGTCGACTGTGTAAAGTGCCCTTTGACGTTTCGAGATCCAACAAGTAAAAGACTCCTGTAACGGGATTATCTTTACTTTTTGAAACGGTGCAGTAGACGCTTTTTCTCTCGACAAAGTAAGAGGTAAGATGGTGATAGATGTGGTGTTTTGTTTGCTTTTTGGTCTGTTGTTTGTTTGAACCGTGTGGGCGTTCGCAACTTCCAACATCGGAAGATGAACAACAAAGAACAATAGTCACCGCCCCACCCAGCGCAGAAGTTAATTGCTAACAAAACTTCAACAGCAAAACATGACGTCCCCGCCCACAATACAACCCAAGTTCCTGCCAAACAGGCATGATCTGGGTATCGTCGCCGTCGGCTTCAGCGGCGGCCAGGTAAGACAAGCCACAATGCACCCATACTCATCACATCTAACACCCTTGACCAGCCCAAAGCCGGCGTAGATGCCGCGCCCATGGCACTCATTGAAAATGGCCTCATCAAGCAACTGGAAGAAGAGCTAGACTACAATGTAACCTACGACGGCCAAGTACATGCCTACGCCGAACTGCAACCCGCCTCTGACCCCGACTATCGCGGCATGAAGCGCCCCAAGTTCGCCTCTGCCGTAACAAAACAAGTCAGTGACCAAGTCTACGCCCACGCCCTCTCCGGCAAACTCGTCCTCACCCTCGGCGGCGACCACAGCATCGCTATCGGCACCGTCTCGGGCACCGCAAAAGCCGTGCGTGAGCGCCTAGGCAAGGAAATCGCCGTCATCTGGGTCGATGCCCACGCAGACATCAACACGCCTGAGACCTCCGACTCGGGCAATATCCACGGTATGCCCGTGAGTTTCCTGACGGGTCTGGCGACAGAGGAGCGCGAAGATGTGTTTGGTTGGATCAAGGAAGAGCATCGGCTTAGTACGAAGAAGCTGGTTTACATCGGTTTGAGGGATATTGATAAGGGAGAGAAGAAGATTTTGAGGGAACATGGTATCAAGGCGTTTTCCATGCATGACATTGATCGGTAAGCTTCACTTCCAAGGGGTGGGATTCGTTTTTGTCCATGGGCATGTGAGCTAATTTGACCATGATAGGCATGGTATCGGCAAAGTCATGGACATGGCGCTGGGTTGGATCGGAAGCGACACCCCTATCCATCTCTCATTTGACGTCGACGCTCTCGATCCCATGTGGGCGCCTAGTACCGGCACGCCTGTTCGTGGTGGTTTGACTCTCCGTGAGGGTGACTTCATCGCCGAGTGCGTTGCTGAGACTGGTTCGCTTATTGCCTTGGATCTGGTCGAGGTGAACCCTAGCTTGGATGCCGAGGGTGCGGGAGATACAGTCCGCGCTGGTGTTTCCATAGTGCGTTGCGCGCTGGGTGATACGCTTTTGTAGGTTTAGCAAACGTGGGCATGTTGCTTGGAGTCTAGGGCATGGATATGGGATAGACGTAGATGGATGATATCGGTAAACGATCAATAACGAGACTTTCATATGACAAACAATCGTTATCAGTTTGAGTGTACAGCTATGGCCATCATGATTGTGTAAGAATTCAAAATGTGCTCGACAGAAATAAATTCAGATCGATTCACGGATGAGATATATATAAGAATGACTGAAAGTGTTCTGATCTCTTCATTGGTACTGAGATCACATGTATTCACAGATGAGATATGCATGGGAATGACTGAAAGTGTTCCGATCTCTCCATTAGTGCTGAGAGTACACATTCTCATCACAGTTGTGGTCTTCCCATATGATAATCTATTGCTTAATTCTATCATTTGGAGAGCGATGGTCGACAACTAGTATTTGCGAGCTTGGTTCGAGATGCATAAGATTATTTGTTTGGGAAGGGGCTCGGTTTCACGCGACTGCTGCTGCTTTGAGACTGAACAGCTTGCTTGTGTCGCTCCGCAACCGTTAGACTGTCGGATTTTGTCCCTGTTAAGGATTTCTCCCAAGCATCCTGCTGTGAATTTGAGAATCGACGATGACTCAAGTGTTCTAGTCACTTGAAGGCTGAAATCAGCAAGGGGTCTTGGAGCTGAATATTGGCACCCGGATCATGGCGTAATTTGGCCGACCGATTCCGCAAAATTCCTTGCTGTGTGCTGCTTAAGGGCAACGCCAGACATTTTTTTTCGTAGATTTTCCAATATCTCAATTAGAGTCTTGACAATTCTCCACCCAGAACGCTGACAAATAAAACATTTATTTCGAAAACTCGCATCACTACAAGCTTTGTAGACCTTGTCGTGGCATATCCAGGATCCTACCCTTCCACCACCACGTCTTAGTCTTCTCTTAACTCAATACTCCTTCCATCATAATTAGCGTTGATTTAGTAGCTCGGAGTGCATCGCATGTATAGGTTCACCCTAGTGAACATCGGCGATGACACGAAAACTGTTACTGTTTGCCATGGCATGGTAGGCTGTAGGATCGTTCATTCGTATAAATGGATGCGTCCGTGTTGTAGAATGCGTCGCGTTGCAGCATGTGAGAGGACTGATTCAAATATGGTCCTGGGGCGAGGGTAGTCCTCCTTCCGTTGGGAGCGTGAGCTCTTGGTCGTCTGTCCTCAATTCAGAGCTTAGACTGGTTGATATCGCTGTGGCTCTACACATTCTGCGGCTCGGGGGTGCCGGGAAAATGAAACAGCTAAGAAGGAGATGAAAGATATGACGAAGAGAAAGGAGGCGACCTTCAACGCCATCACCGCGTACACCGTTTATCTGCACATGCGTCACCGTGCATTGGCGACGGCATCGTAAACTCAATGTTTTTCCAAACGATGCCTGCTAAGCAAAATCTGCGTCCATGTACTACGAGGGCAATACGCTGTGCGCGCATCGTTGGTACATATATCGTTGAAAGTCCAGTTTGATCACTTTGAGAGGAGAGGAGGCGTTCAGTTTCGAATAAGCGTCGAGTAACGGCTGTAATAGCAGCGACTTGCTTAGTACGGTCATCTTCCCAACGTCATGTAGTTTTGCGCACAAGAGCTGTGAAGCTTGTAGTCGCGACATTGAGCTTTACATTGGTTGATAAGTGACCATGGAGTGTGTTTGGTGACTCTGATCTCTTCAACATCGGGTTCAAGTATTGAAATGCGATCGCGCTGAACATGCAGTGTAGCTTGGTGACCTCGAAGTCGTGCGGTGTACTGTTTTCGTATCTTCGGTGCCGTTGGTGGCATGGGTATCGTCCGGGGAGCGGAGGTATCGATTAGGCGGTTAGGTGTCGTTTGGGGAGCAGGGGTGTGTGGACTATAAGTTAACTATAGGTTAGCCAACCACCCACAGAGGCATGCCCGTTTTCGAGAGCCATCAGTCCTCAGAGGCATCGCGCCACTTTCGAGGGTCATCACACAGGAATCAAACCAGCTCCCATAGGTTTCAAGGCAGCTTTCAGGCATCACGCCAGCGTTCAGGGACCAAGTCAGCTCTCAGAGGCATCAAGACCGCTTTCGACAGTAATTGCGCGAGCGTTCAGGCATTGCACCAGCTTCCAGGAGGCATACCAGCTCTTATAGGCATCACGTCAGGTTTCAGGCATCATGCCAGCGTTCGAGAGGCATCGTGCCAGTATTCGAGAAGCGTCAGGCCAGTGTTCAAGGAATATTGCATCGCCTTGCCCAATACATCAATTGTTAAGGGAGCATCCATAATACGACCGGCAGCTGCCGGCGATGGTGTCGTTTGCAATAGTACTTGAGAGTACCGCCGTGCGATTTATCAGCAGCTTTTGTGCAGAAAGCATGCATCACTCTTAGCAACACGCTTGGAAACACTGCGGGTCTAGTAAGCAGACATCTTATATAAACGTACCTTGTTCTTAGAAATCTTTCAAAAAGGGGGTCTTTTTCCAGTAGTTCGTTCTACAAACGAAGCTAGTAGGCAGTGCAGAAACAGTTAGTGAGCGGTATACAGTAAGCGAACTGTTTCGTAAAGAGCAGTGTGTACTATAAGAGTGTTACAGAGACAATCTACAGAGCAACCCATCCACGACTAGCCTTAACACACAGACCTAGGCGTTATCTAATATCCCGCACGAAAATTTCGCTGTCGGTGCGATGATAAGCTCTAGAATAGCAAGAGGTACCTGAATTTTAGCATGCACGCTAATTCTAAAGGAGAATGCGCAGTAATAACATCTGCTCTTACATGCAGACGGGAACCTTATGCCGGCAAGAGACGATTGCATCTCAGCTTAAAAATGGCAATAATAGTCAGATACAAAAGGGAGAGAGATCTCAAGGTTCTGATTTTGGGCGTGCATTGATGCATTTCCGCCCCTACCCATTTGAGTAGGACTGACTGCCCGGGGCAATCCCTCTCGGTGTAAGCTCAACAATATAAACACGGGGTTTCTAGTTCCAATTCAGCAAAATTCAATTAACTATACAGGGCGTAGTGAACAGTGGACAATGCATGTTCACATCGGCCCCTGAAGGTCTTCTCGGAGGCTGACAGAAACCCCTTACCAGAGAGACTCGTATGTAAGGCACCAAAACCAAACGTGCACATCGGCTAATCTGTCAACAGCTGCTGAATAACCGGTCTTTTTAGGTTATTTTTCGCACAGTCACAGCAACCTCCAGGGCCACCTCTACCCAGCATGTTCATTCTTGCCGCCGCCTACAACTCACCCAAACCCAAGCCTACCGCTGTTACTGACAGCCCGACATAGACGTCGTCTGAGCGCTCATCCTCAATATAGACGGTTCTCCCAGCACACACAACGGTGGTTTCGGTGGACATGCCAGAGATGAAGCCTACGCTGCACAAAATCATACCTCATCTAGCAACGTCGGCAGACAAAATCTTAGAAGCCACTCTACGCCAACGGATACCCCACGTACAATCCCATGTCCCTCATGATCTCCGCTGTCCCAGATGGATACTTATGCCAATCATATCCCAAGAAACATCCGCAACAGCTTCGGACGGCGTACAGGTGCCCTACACCTTCAAAGCTCCCTCGATGAATATGTCTAGCTTCCGTATACAGCACGAGTGAAGATGAGGATAGCCGATAGTTGAGCAAGGCCTAATGGCGAGAGAATAAGCAGAGTGTTGCTAGGGAAGCAGAAGTTGTCGAGACAACGGAAGCGAAGACAAATGCTATGTCTGAGCAGTTCGCGGTACCTATGGAGGGATATGAAGGGAGCGTTGGATGCAGACGCGATTCAACATACGGTATTTATCTATGCATCCTGCTATCCGTACCTGTGAAGCAAGTGTCGAAAAATCTGGCAACGCTCATGTATGTGCACTATTCTATATTTGGTGTTGAATGACTGTGTCTATCCTTCGTATCGACACTGTTGCTATAGTACAGTCAACCTGAGGTACCACCCCAAGACCACCCCATCCAAAAGTCTTCAAATGATTACATCGACGCAGCAAATTTGCGATCGAAGAGAACCCCTAGCCTGGTATAGGACGAAGTCGAAACTGAGTCAAGGGACAAAACTTTCACGAATACGGGTGGAGCTGAAACATGGTACGATAGATCTTGGCATGAAAAGTGTGAAAACGTCAGACTTGAATACTTGGTACGCCATACTGACATATTACCTAATCGAACCAGGAAGCCATATCCAAAGCCGGACAAGGAATCTAACCAAGTCTAATAACTTGTAAGAATTTTGATGTAGCGTAGATTTGAATATTTCAAGTCCCAAACTTTGATGCTTTTGGAGCTTTTTGATTTGCAGGCTAAATATTGCCCGCATATGTTATACAAGTTTGTCATCGCAAATGACCTCCTTGCGATCAAGTTTTACGGAACATGAAAGCTTCTTGCCGAATCCAGGCTCTCACGGTGCACGCCGTAGTCAGCGTCCAACGCGCTATCACCGAGCGCATAAAACCAAGAATGATCTACACCGCCATTGTCTTCAAGCAGCGTTCCACCCATGCCTTCGCAGTGCCGCGCTGCTGGCGAAGTCGAAGCAGCCGGTACAGACATTGATCCCTCCAGGTGACTCAAGGCAACACCTAGTGACGACTTGCGTCTTGCTCTGAGCTGATAAGCACCAAGTATAAGATTCGGATCTGGGTTTTCCGGGATGGCTCTCACTAATGCGCCAGTAGACGCGTTCAAAGAAGCTAGCGCATTTTCAAGGAAGTCCGCCGACTTGCTCGAAAGACGCAACATCCAACGGTACTCATCTAACTTAGCTCGATAAATCCCCGACTCTTCTTTATCAGTGGACGTCACCCAAAGAAGTGAGATGAAAGAACCAATAAGTACAAAGTTGTACGCTGATGCAGAGTACCAAAAGGACTGGACATGCTCAGCACGGAGGGATTGAACAAAGTTCAAAGCAGAAGTGAGCCGGGTTTGCGCGGCTTGACGGCATATGTGGCGGAGTTCTAGAGCATCTTCAGATGATAATGAGCGAATGATCCGTCGGTGCAGGGTCATTTCAACGGCGTAATAGCCTAGGTGGAGGTATCCTACACTAGACAGCTTTCTAGCAGCAATATCTTGCATCTTCAGAGTAAGCGGCATATTGGTATACCACTGACGTAGAGAAAGTTGCAGAGGCTTTGCCGCATCGAGAAATGAGCGCACCCCTTCATGCGCACGATTCGCGAATTCGCGCTCTGCCTTGAGGGTATAAAACTCTTGTAGTATCTGTCCCAGAATTTGTGTGAGCTTGACCATGTAGCAGAATAATGTTCGTCCCTTCTCCACTTCGGTACTCCCATCCTCATCGTTTTCATCAGCAGCATTTTCTGGGAAGTCGTCTTCATTCAGAGGCTGCACGTCCCAATCCATTGTCGTGATGTGGGATGGTCTTCCATGTACAAGAGAACCCCATTTATCCTGCATGAAAATGGCCCATGCCAGGCGTTTCCGCAGTCCACGCTCCCAGACTGGGATGCGCCATGCTGTGCAATCGAGCTGAAGACCCATATCTTGCCCTAGCCCGACAAGCTGCGAGGTTAAGGCCCAGTTGTTTCCTCCTGGTCTCTGGAGGAGAAGTAAGCCTGCCTGTATGGTAGAGAGCTTAGGCCGGTGAGAGATGTTACTCAATGACTTCATGGCCAGCTTCTCCAGATGTGACACATCCGGTTTTTGGAGCAGGCTAAGCTCACTCGAGTAAGACCACCAATTCAAAGCTAGTAAATATACTGCTGCTAGTAGTGGAGGTGAGAACTCCCGATGAGTACGGTCATACTTCTCAAGGAATACTTTCTTATGCAAGATTGGAAAGCTGGGGTGCACGATGCGGAAAAACAGTCGTATCAGGGCAGAGCCGTGAGGCGCGACAACCATTTCAACAGCGTCAAGGTCTATGATATCATGTTGACTGTTTAGTGTGCCAAAGTCAGGCGAAGAAATGAAGGTTGTCGTATCAGCATCGTCGACCCGCCTCAATGTAAGATGCCCGACCGAGAGATTGGAAGCCTGGGTAGGCTGACTTGGTTCAAGCGCCAGAAGTAACTGTTCATACTCGGAAGTGGGTCCAAGCAGGCGACTATGTCTGCCCGTCTGTAGGCCTAACGTCTGCTTCAACAGAGAAGGTCCAGGTAAGTTCGCATAGTCATCGATCGGCGGATCCTGTCGGATGCTAAACGGAACATCCTGAGGCGACACAGATGTGGTATTGTTGCCGCGACTGTGCGAAACACACGGTACGTGACTTCGGATAGGTTCGCTGGTCTCAGAGTATTCGTCAACCGCCACGGCTCGCCGCTTCCGGGGTTGCGGAGCTTCATCGAATGTGCATGCTTGGCGATGGAAACGGCAAAGAACACAAGGCCCATTACCCTCTGGTATCTCGCATCGTGACTTGCGCCGACGACAAGAGTCACATGGACGCCGAGATCTTGATTTGCTAACGTTGTGGGCGTTGGTCGTATGTGGAGAAAAAGTTGGCGGGGAAATATCCTCGGGATCGAAGTTCATAGTTGGTGGTGGCTTTGGTGGCGCATGTAAATATCAAACACATCAAAAGTGATAGTACGCTGGTGACATGGTTGCAGTTGTTGGTTCATGTCTACAAAGGAGCGCGCAAGTGGCTTACAGTATTCTTATGTTTCCAGGACAATGGGCCTGGCTCACGACACTGACGCGGTCCTATAACGCACACGAGATGTAGATGCTAGTACCACAAGGAAAATAGCTGACGTTATGATTGCGGAACAACAGTGTACCGGGCCTACTGGCAAGGGGCGAGGCAATCAAAAGGTCGTTGAGGCGCACCACGATAAGAAGTCAAAGTGGAGCTGATCAAGACGCTAACCAATAGTGGATTAGTCATCTACTGTACCAAGACTACTACTACTGAGTCTATTTCCAGCCCGAACTGATCTCAAAATGAGCATGCAGGCTATCCTTTTATGTACCAAGAGAAACATCCGCGCTTGTGGTATTGCAACGTTATAAGAGGGTCTGTTCATCAACATACTGACATTGGGCCAATATGAAGTTATCTGTGTAGAGGAGCTTGCGCATTGTTTGTATTTGACTTGGTTCACTCCAGCTAAGACGTCTAGGCACAATCTCATCACACCTAAGCTAGTTCCGCTAAGTCCTTTTCCCTTGCCAGGTATGATTCTTTCGTTGAAGCATCCTCGCCTTCAAGAACCGGCATATCAGTATCTCCTTTCTGTGGTGGATACACAGCGCTTTCGATTAGCGCATCAGTCGGCACAGAGATCCAAGTACAAATTACGTAGTGCGTGACGAGTGAAAGAAAACAGCCAAAGATCCAAGCGAAGGTATAGATCTTCCAAGCGCCGCCGATATCGAGGGTGGTGTTGATGCTTTTCGCAAATCCAGGCAGAAGAGGAGCAAACCCGACGACAAAGGACACGTGTGCCCTCCAATTCCAGCCTCGATTATACCAGTAGATGCCGCGGTCAGTGTAGAGATGATCCACATTCAGTTTGCTTTTCTTCACCAAATAGTAATCGCATATCATCGTGCCCGCTAGTGGTCCCATGAGACAGGAGTAACCGCTTAAGAAAGCCAACAAACCCGGAGCATTCTTGATAATCTGCCATGGGATGCTTATGACGCAAAAGATCGAGATAATGATATTGGCCCTGAATATGTCGAGATATTCTGGCAGCATACCAGAGAAATCGTTCGCAAATGGGTATGTATCCGCTGCAATCTGGTTGGCAATGGTTGCAAGGAGGAAGCTGGCGGACACAAAAAACTTTGCGGCTCGCGAATCGAACTTGGCAATAACAGATGGCATATACCATTCGAAGTCGCCCCATAGGTATGAGTGAGCATCAGTAACAAAAATCGGCGTGAGGGCTCCAAGTGTTCCTATTACCGGAAGTGCCAAAAATTGTTGGTTACCAGCCATTTTGTCCTTACTGAACCGTCCAAAATCAGGCATATTGACAGCGAGCGAGGAAAAAAGCCCCATGACCGCGTTGAGACCGGAAAGTGCTGAATATGTGGTTTTCATGTAAGTTGAAGTTAGCTCCACTTTGCCCTTGATGAGCGGCCCGCCACTGCATATCAAGTCAGCGTTGTCCGTAGGTGACATCACAAAACTGCTTACCCTTTAGTAACAACAACCGCCCAAATGAACAAGGCAAGGAATGTAGGAGGAACGATGATAGCTTTGACCCAGAATAAGACCCGCAGCTTGGAGATCGGCATGATCGCGAGCCCAGTCTGTAAGAACCAGTACAAGAAGAAACAAAGCAATCCAGCGGCTGTCACGACATCAGTAATTTGTCCAGATTTTGCAGCTGGTTATGTCTTACAGTCTATACCGGCACTTTCCGGCAAATGATTCGGGAAAGTGATGAAGCTCGGCCAGATGGCCTCAATGCAGCGTTGCAGGTAGTTGCTAGCTTGGACTGTGAGGATAGCAGCCCACATCGCGGCAACGAAAGCGCGGATGCAAATGGCCGGGATTGATCCATACATGCCGAAGACACTTCGAACGATGACGGGGAAAGGAACATTATACGTCGCACCCATTTTGCCCGTAAGTGTAATCGCCACACTGCAGATGGCGAAGCCGAAGAAGACGATGGGTATAGTTTCTCTGGCCGTGAATCCTAGGGCCATGACACTGCTGACGGTAGACGCCAACGGAGGAGCCAGCATATCCGAACACCAATATGCCCAATAGTCGATGCCTCCCCAAGTCCGCTCTTCAGGAGGGACCGGATCCAGGTCTGGCAATCAGTCAATCGTCAGACAGACTTCCCCAATTGTAAGTTCCTCACATACCTTTGTTAGACCAGCGTGAGCCATACTTCCCACTCTTGAATGGAACTCTGCGATGGAGGTGAGGTGCGAGCTTCGCCTTGAGTACAGACATGGTCAGGTCGGCAGCGGGAGTAACGAGAGGAATAATTTATCTATCACTTCACATGAACTCAAGGCTCTACACGATACATTAATACCATAGCCCGGCCAGATCATGCCCGGGATCACCTCCGGAAATTCAACGTTCATGAGTTCCTCGGGCCAGTTGGAGGTTATCAAGATATAAGCCTCCGGCGCGCAAGGAGACGCGCGGAGACGTATAAGCGTCAGTAGCACAATCAGTGGAAGTACGCATTTTCCCAAGTACGGCCGGTCTCGCAGCGGGGTTAGATACGATGAAGTGTAAGCCACCCGTTGCCCTCGGGGTAGCTTATCAGTAAGTGATACTAAGCCCGAATGGGAGTTGGTGCATCTTTGATAAGGAACCTTGAATCTCGCGCCGCCGCCCGCCGTAGGCCCGCCCAATTCGCCGTTTACGGCGAACCTCGAGAACGCAACAGTTGTCGGATATATTGAACGTAGTGGAAATGGCGTATCATTGCGCAGTCGGCGTTGGCTGTGATTTCTTTCTCACGAATTCAATTTGAAACTGATAAATCTGCCCACATCTGCTTAAACTCTTCTGGCCAACAGGTCCTTCACACTTCACACCGTAGGCAAAATGGCAAAGATGGCATCTGATTCGACCGTCCTCTCTTTTGATGCGAAGCCATACGCATTTTCTTTCCCTTTGGCTCATACTGCATTGCTCATTATTGATATGCAGCGCGACTTCTTGCTGGCCAAGGGCTTTGGCGAGATACAAGGCGGGAACTTGAAAGCCGTCCAGGCTTCAATCGCCCCTACCAAGAGACTCCTTGAAGCGTGTCGGGGCGCGGGGATGGCAATCTTTCATACTCGCGAAGGCCACAAACCGGACCTCTCAGACTGCCCTTCGGCAAAGCTAATCAGGCAAGAAGCTGCGCCTGGTAACACACAACACAAGCTAGTCATCGGCGACAAAGGAGAGCTAGGTCGCCTACTTACTCGCGGAGAGCATGGCCACGATATTATAGATGAGTTAAAACCAATTCCCGGAGAGGTAGTCATCGACAAACCCGGCAAAGGCTCTTTTTGGAATACGACCATCTTCATCAACTCAAAGCGAGAGCCATTACACATTTGATCGTTTCTGGCGTCACCACTGAATGCTGCTTCGCTACAACGATACGAGAAGCCAATGATCGCGGCTTCGAATGCTGTGGGATTGAGGAAGCCACTAGTGGATACAATGATGCCTGCTTCAAGGAAACGACATTGGATATGATACATTGGTCCCAAGGTCTATTTGGCTTCATCGGTTGTTTGGAGCCTTTGCTGGGAGCTCTTGCGCACGTTTCAACCAAGAAAATCCAAGTCGCTTCGACACCTCCCCAGACACCACGTACATTTGATGGTGATCTCACCATACCTGCTCTACAACAGGCCTACAAGAATGGTCTTTCGCCAGTAACGGTTTCTGAGGCAATCTACGACAAGATTAAAGAATATCAAAAGATAGACTCGGCAGTATGGATTCATCTTCAGCCACGTGAAGCCATTCTGGAGGCCGCAAGGCGACTGGAGCTGGAGTATCCCGACCGGAGTGCTCTTCCGCCATTATTCGGCGTGCCATTCAGTGCTAAGGACAGCATTGACGTTGCTGGTATTCCTACTACAACTGCATGTCCACCACTTACTCATGTACCATCGGTCTCTGCTCCCGTCTATGAGAAAGTCATGGCAGAAGGTGCCTTGTTTGTTGGAAAGACCAACTTAGATCAGTTGGCTACTGGCCTTGTGGGATGCCGAAGCCCTTACGGCATCCCTCACTCAGTATATCACAAGGATTATATAAGCGGCGGGTCAAGCAGCGGAAGCACAGTGTCAGTCGGAGCTAGCCTCGTATCCTTCTCGCTAGCGACAGACACGGCTGGATCAGGAAGAGTTCCTGCTGGCTTCAATGGCATTGTTGGATACAAGCCTACGCGCGGGACCATCTCATTCCGTGGCATCACCCCAGCTTGTCTATCTCTAGACTGCATTGCGCTGTCCACCAAGACTGTGTCTGATGCTCGAACGGTATGGCAAATACTTGAAGGTCACGACCCACTCGATCCCTACGCAAAACCCCAAATAGCCTTTGAGCGTCACATAAACAGTATTGGGCCGCAATCGCGTACCTTCAAGTTTGGCGTTCCCCCTCCTGAGGCACTGGCAATCTGCTCAACACCTGCTCGTCGCATGTTCAACGAAACAATATTAAGACTCCAGAAGATGGGTGGAGTCCTCACGCAGATAGACTGGTCACCATTTCAGAAAGCCGGACAACTGCTCTACGATGGAACGTTCGTCTCCGAACGCTTGGCGTCTCTACCCGACGACTTCCTGGGGAAGAACCGCTCAGCCCTACACCCAGTGACTGTCCAGCTTATGGATGCTGTCACGGACCGAAAGAGCTCAGCCGTAGATGCATATCGCGATCTACAAGCCAAAGCTCTCTACACACGACAAGCGGAACAGGTGTTTGCATACTCGGCCTCGGGTGTGGATGTCATTGTTGTACCCACGGCGCCTACACATTGGAAAATAAAAGAAGTGCTTGCTGATCCCATCAGAAAGAACAGTACACTGGGTGAGTTTACGCATTGTGGAAATGTGTTGGACTTGTGTGGTGTTGCTGTTCCCGCAGGTACATATCCTGTTGCAGAGTTGAGTGGTCAAGAGACGGATGAGGGTGTGTTGCCGTTCAGCATAACATTGCTAAGTGGCTCTAGACTTGATGCTGAGCTGCTGGAGATTGCGAGAAGATTCGAAAAGAGTTTTACGCAGTGAAACGTACTATCACTTTTCACAGAAGGGATGTCTCTCGTGATGTGATTTACTGTACGACTGGGAAGTCCACCTTTGAGCTTGACAGACTCAACATGATACAAGATGTTTTATGTCTCTTAGTTCATGTTCAAATAGCATTTAAATATATCCAGTCGCTTCTCTGACTTCAAGTATTCCCAAGACATACTGTGGTTCGTAGCAAAATCTCTTACTCGGTCTCTTATTCGCTCCAAACCACCCTCCAAGGATGCTATATAAGGTAAGTCTACAGCTTCTGTATTTTATAGATCACTCACTGCAGTATCCATCAGACTCCAAGAACACAGATCATGATGACCTCCACACTAGCAAGCCAATACAACAGCCACTGCTTCCTCCGCGTCATAGAAGACATGCCTTTAGAAGGCGACCTGGCAATGCAAAACCCGACGAACCGCTATGATGTGGCAACGACACAATATGAATCACAAGAGAAACTAACTGTAAGCTCAACCGTGTTTGCGGCCAAGTATGGCACCCATATCTTCCTAAACAAGATCTCGCGTTCATCACCTTGTCGGAAAGACCTCTCGCAGCCTCATCTTGTACCCACTGCTTACAGCAAGACTTCCCGGGCCCGCGAAGACCATGCCTCATTCTTAATTTCTTTCCCCCCACCTCCCCCCACCACGCCCTACCATCCCACCCCTCCTCTCACCCATTCGCACCTCGACTTCTCAGACCCAGACCATCACAACGTCGACTAACTAGACCTAGCCGTACACTTCCCAACAATGACATCAACACATTTCTGTGCTTCCATCGCAAAGCCGGCAGGAACAAGAAGAACCGAGTGCGACGAACACCACTGCCTATCAGAACCAACCACGCTGGAGCGCACGGTCAGAATCAAAACGCAGGACAGGACCCATCTGGCATTCCAACGTGTAGATTTGGGAGTCAGCGGCCGTTGGTTCATCCGCGGGATAATGTTAGGAGCCGTGTATGTTGGTACCATGGAGCGAGCTGGAAACACTCGTGGATGAGGCGGCTGCCGTGTCAGAGAACGCCAATTTGGGGATCGAGTTGGGTGATGGAGGGGTGCGGAGTTTACTAGGGGGAGAAGTTAGCAACTGGGTGTCATAAAACACTTGACATACTGGTGTACAATGGTCACACTAGTCGCCAGATACGTCTATTAGGTGCTTACCCACACTGTCAAGTATTTAATGACACCTAGGTGATTGCGTCTAGACTTTTGTATTAGTCGATAATGTCTTTTTCATTTTTGTTGTATGGCTGCTTTCCTTTTACGTTTTATATCTTATTGTTATATTATTTATTAGATACTTGTTTATCTGCTGGAGAACTCCTAGTCCATCAATGCAGCGCACACTGTATCTCTCCACAGTCCAGGAGGAAAAACACGCGGTATTTCAAACATGTAACACATTGTTAATATACATATCGCAGACGTTGCTTGCCAGGAAGAAATAAGTGTACTGATTTCGTGCAAAGATAGAAGAAGAAAGTCTGAACTGCCATCCGTCCTCCCCGACAATCCCCTGGTAACGCCGGTAAGTCTACTCGCACCTAATGCAGCATATCCTAGTCCCTGTGCGGAACCAGCATTTCGTCCCAAGAGCGTAGATCCGAGATTATATCATCCCAGCTGGTGTTGCGAATCTCTTCATACTCTTCTGGTGTGGATGACCATCGCAGAGAGGGCTCTCTCACAGCCATCTGCGCTCCCTCCTCTGCTTCCTTCGCCGCTAGCTTCTCAGGGCGAGGACTCCCCCTCAATGCGATTTGTACTGGACCCACACTGATCTATCGAATGGTTTCCCCTGTTTCTTTTTGCCCATGCACGGGCTCGGCACATCTTTGTTGATGTGCTTCGATGCTTCTAACTGCTTGAGGTCGAGAAGATCCTGGCTAGTCATTGGAACTTTGTAGTTCATAAGTGTACCCTGAACATCTTGGTTCTCGCCATTGACAGCTTTTTTTGTGAGGGTAGTAGCTCCAGCCGCCGTCGCTTGGCTGACTGGAGGTCGTTGATGATGTCTCGGTCTTGGCGTCTCTTGAGACCTGCGGTGGTGTTTGATCCGTTCACTGTCTGTAGCTGTTCCTTCGACAATAACTCGAACTTGCCGAGTGTGCTCCATACTGCGTAGCCGCACACAGTAATGTTTTTCGCTGATATGACTGCTGGTGTGGCCTTGTCTGCAATCTCAGCGCACACGGTATCATAGATGATATCCTTTCCCGTGTGCTGCTTGTCGTTAGAGCGGTATACTGACCGCAGCACACTGGGCTGGGTCTTATCCTTGTGGTTGCTTGATGGGTAGTACGTGACGTTGATAGTATCGCCATGGGAGTCTTTTGCCAGAGCCATGAAACGGCCCTCGAATCTTAACGTCTGTCGGTCTGCAGCCATGGCGAGCGCGATAAGTTCCCTATATCTTTAAAAAACATCGATAATGCGATGAGTTTCGTGTATCCTTGAAACAACATTGGAACTGCGGGAAGTTTCGTGTAGCTTTAAAACAACATCGGTAATGCAGGGGAGTTCTAAAGTTCCCTCTTTTGCAGTCGGAACTCCCATGATCTCAGTTAGATATATTCGCGAGCGGAAAATTAGTATACGTATACAACCTTGTCTTGCGGAAAACGTATGACCCTATCGGTGCACTGCACAGTCAAGCCCGGATTTCAACAGGGGGTGAGGTGTGCGACCTAGCCGGCCGCGGTGAACGACCGGTCCAACTCGCCGCTCCTACTAGTGACCAGGATTACGGATTATTATCCTGCCTATGAGAAAGGCTTTTCGCAGTGGCCGAATGCTCTTTGCTTGTCAACTCAACGTCGAAGCGGAGCAACTCGAGGCCCATATTCTCTCGAAAGGCAACCTCCAGAACGCCGAGCGTACACAAGATCACTGAGGAAACAATGAACTTGCCTTCTTGCTTGCTGAGGTGTTCGGAAATGAACTTAATGGAGAGGTCGATCCGAGATGACGACAATCTCTTGAGGGCGCCCATGAACGACTTTCTCTTGGCCTGGAGTATTTATTGTATCTGGGTCGGCAGAAACGTCGGTGTATCTTCGAGCAGCTCATCAACTGCAACAAGAGCTTCTTCCTCTTTGATGTCTCTGTCCGTTTCGCCCTGCTCGCCGTACCTGGCTGTGGGTAGCCCTGCGTAGAGTATGTCTTGTGCGACATGTGCTCTCGATGACTGTAGTAGTGTTGATATTCTGTCACCCTCACTGTGATGTGTAAATTTCTTTAGTGGGTCGGTGACGCGCCTCTGTAGATCTTGTGGGACATACAAGGAGGAAACCCCCCTTGCATATCTTCATCTCACTTGAAAACTACTTCTTCGCGCAGATCTCAGTTGATATTGAACGCTCAAGATGCGTTTTCAGTGTGACGAAGACGGCGGTCGCGATAGTCCCATGCCGTATGCGAGTAGTACGTTCACCTCGTAGTATCGTTGTACGTCCTCATGATATGATGTGATCGTAGTCAGATGATTATTACCTTGGTGTAGCCACAAGACTGCGTGATTGAAGTTTTCAAACGTTCTTTTGTCGCCACGTCTTGGATACTAAAATGGCTCATGTATTCTGCTGAGGTAGTTGCGAGGATTCAATCAACGGCGTGGAGTTGATATGGTCGGAGTTGGTTAGGTATCTAGCCCCCCGATCAGAGCTTTTTTCATTTTTTCGCGTTTGCCTGCACTTCTGGTCTTCCTCTTTCTTGTCTTCCCCTCTCCCCCAACCCGACGTATCCCCTGTGCTCACTGCGTCGTGACGGTACTATTTGAGATGTTGTTCGAAGTGAGATAATAGATTGGATCAAAAACTATGGGTTAAATTTGAAGAAACACAGCTTTTCAGGTTTTTGAGCAAGCAAGCAAGCAGGTGAAGGTAGACGGGTTTTCTGGTACTAGCGCCTTGGTAAGGTCACGTGATGGTATTGCCCTACGCGAGACATCTGTAACGGGCAGAGTGCTGTAAGAAGCAGGAATAGGCCTTTGCTTAGTACTTAGGAATGTAAGATGTTATTCAACAGACACGTGACTGCAATAGCGGCCATGTACACGTTCAGTATCACATTCACGCAGAAAAGGCCCATTTCCCTCTACATGTCAAATTAAATGCATCCGCGACAGGACATGTGACATGACCAACAATCCACATTTGCAGAACAGAGATAGTTTAATTTATCAAAGTATAAATATGAAACCACCAAAACTTATTGTTCAAAACACCCTTCCTCTTGTCCCACTCCTGCATCAACTAAACACGACCCAAGCCCCCAGTCCCAGCATTTGTACCAGCACCCCCAGCACCCCGATTGCAACCCCACTACCCACTCTCTCTGCCTTTGAACCCCGCTCTTCTCCCAGCTCATTCCTACCCCCCCTCATTACCGGCCCAAGGAAAACCCACAAAACAACCGCCGCAACACTCATACAAAGCACCACCGCTAGCGCACACAAAATTCTTGCTGTAGAGGGTCTAACCACAAATTCCAGTACCGGCCTCGTTGCCTGCTGTGCCTGTGTTCGCAGGCTAATATATCGATTTTGACAAGTGCAGCATGCACACGTAGCCCTTGCACCATGAAACCCCGGCGAAAAGTGCGACAAAGAGGAGTCGGAAGCAGACATTCTCCTCCCCCAACTAACCCAACTATACCTCTTCCTTCCGCTTTTTGGTCGGTGGAAAAGGCTTAACAGCGCTGTTTCGTTGAAGGGGGTGATAGGTTCGTTGGCGTTGGTGTGTGGAAGGGAGTGGTCGTGGGCGGTGGTCGCCAAGAGGCCGTGAAGTGGGTGATGTGTTGCTGGCAGGGCTGTGGTTGTGCCACTCCAGAGGGGATACTGAGATAGCCGAATATGCGACAATGTTTTTGCGCCAAATGTACGACGGAGCCAGGAGCCAGAGAGTTCATGGTATACGTTTCGCAATTCGTATGCGAAGAAGGCGTCGTCGAAGTCTATTCGTTGAAGGACATCCTCTCTGCGTGCCCATCTCGAAGGCTTTATGTTTTTCTCATTGAAACTGTGATGAATCCGATGTGTTTTTGTCCTTGTTAGTATAAAATTCCTTGGTATAACAACCCTGACCAAGTCCCTCTTCCCCCCTTCACCACTATCACCACATCCCCACCAACCATCCCTCCTCATACCCACCCAGACAACACCCTCATCCTCCCCTTCATTCCCTGAACCCCCAGTAGAACCTCTAACTACACCCTGTGCACTCTCATTTCTCTGCATTCGACTCCTCATGTCAACATCTGCGGCTGCACTGCCATCGACAAGCCCAAGCACGTATTTCCCTTTTGCATCACTATATCTCCCTTTCCCATCTCCATCTTCGTTGTCCAATTTCCCGCCATACGCCGAGTCTAGCCTCGTGTACTCTTCTTCATATTCACCCCATCTTTTAAAACTATCGCTCAGCCCACGTCGTCGTGGGCGCGATTTAGGTTTTGGGAATTGCTTCTTCGCGGAGAATGGGTAGGTTGTTTTAATAAAGTGAGCGGGAAGTCGGGGCGGTCGGTTCTTGCTGCTATGCTGGGCGATGGATAGAGGGGAAAGGGTGATATGACGGCTTGTAGAGAGGGATTTAGGGCCTGAACGGGGAAAGGTGTGATGCTGTTGTGTGGACGGAAGCGATATACTGCCTACAGGCGAATTAAGCGATTCCAAAGCGCGCATCGTCATCACATGCGCGTTGATGATGGAGTCGGCAATCATGCTTTCAGAGGTGTTTCTCCTATAACGTCTCTTGGATGTCGGACTATGCTGTGTTGGAGCGTCCTCATTGTGACGGAACTGAGCGGAATGGGGAAAGGGTTGATTGACATGAGCAAGAGATGGCGCATCTGAGCCGGCACTTCGTAGAGATTCTCTTGGGGTACCGACGCGCGACCCGGTTTGTACGACGCGTATGTTGTCCATGTTCAAGCGGCGAAGGGACATTTGCCTGGCTCGCTTTGGGCCTTTTCCTTCGATTTTCTCGCCGTTTGCCTCGTTGTATCTGATACCAAGACCGGGGTCATGCAGTGATGACAGACCGGACAAGTGTGGTAACGAAGTTATCGTGCTTCTTTCCCTGCTCCTTCCTCTGCCGGCACTATCGACTTGATCTTCGATGGCGTGAGGAGGGCTTCTTAAACTATATCTCTCATCCAGACTAAATATCTGCGTGATGTCGCCCTCACTATCCTCCCATTCCGAGTCTGATGAGCCGTCGTCGAAGAAGTCGGCACCGGGTAGCAAACCCCTCTCCATAGTCTCGCTCATGACAGGATGAACGGAGCCGCGCCTAGTAGGTGAAGGTTCAACTATACGTGGGGAGGATGCTGGACTCGACGACAGCCTTGCAGAGGGGTGGTCGAGGAAGATGGTCTGCGTCACCATGGGTGGACTAGAAGGAACCGCCTGTACTATGGGATGCCGTTTGAGTGGAGAGGCCTTGGAAGCGGCTGTCTTCTGAGCTTCCTGGGGCTGTGTCGTCTCCATGTTCATATTCTCGCTGCTAGCTCAGTCGTTCGTCGAGGACTGTCACTTCCCGCACGCTGCGAACCCACGCAAGATATCCCCTTCACCCCACCAAATCGAAAGACACGCTTACAAGGCGTATTCTGAAAACAGGGCGCAGAAAGAATAGGAAAAGTGCGAGGCGGAACAAAGCCACAGAGAAGACACTGACGCGGGGTGATGGCGAAGGTGATGCAGGTGTTCAGCGGGGAATTACCAAAACAAAGAAGGCACGCACCAGAGATTGCAGATCTGTTTTTGGCAGTCACATAGCCCGGGATTATGGTAACGACGGAAAGGGGAAGGAATGCCTGTATGCAATCAGGTGAGCGAGCCCACGGTTGAAGGCGCATTCTATTGGCCTCCCTTGCAGAAGCCAACACGTGCAGACAAAGATGAAGAAGAAGAAGAAGAAGAAGAAGAAGAAGAAGAAGAAGAAGAAGAAGAAGAAGAAGAAGAAGAAGAAGAACAGAAATAGCATCTATTGAAAAGGACGAACCCATCTAGAAAGCCCCTTGATCTATACACGCGCACCTAGGCGGAGCTAAGAACGCCATATGCAACGCCACCAACCCATCGGCTCAACATCAGACATAGATGATGATAAAGAAAAGTGTCGTTTGTGGGGAGTTTACGTGACGATCAGGCAGTGCTTACTCGCCGTCGCGGTCGAACATCCTAGTCATTGCCTTGTGGGCAAGTTCTACGCCAGCAAATGTGGCAGCGTTGGCAGGTACGGCTCGTGCCATGGCCGGTCCGATGCCAGGGAAGAAGGCTTTGATACCGCCGCTCGCATAGATGCCTCGCACGGTTCCACCTATTGTTGGTCGGCCTTCGGCACTCTGCAACCGCGATTTGATCGTGTCAACAGGGAAGACGGGTATCCACATGGCTACACCGGCAGCACCACCGGCCACCATGACGGCTCCCATGCTCAGCGATCCGGGCTGACCCGTCACTGGATCTTTGGGCGTCAGGTTCCGCTTGAACGTCTCGTACGTCGCAAAGTAGAGGGCTGAGCCTGGTCCGTCACGCGCCAGTGTCATGGCAGACCCACGGTATACCGAGCGGATGCCACCCTCTTTGTATAGTTGCTTTACGACATCGAGGCCGCCAGAGTATCTGGGCTTCTCGCCAGGGGCTAGTGTCTTTTGTCCCTGGATCTGCAGGAGCACCTTGACGCGCTCGAACGGGGCGGTGATGATGGTCATGGGGATAGCACTGAAAAAGCCGGCGGCGGAGACTTGGGCGACACTGTACTGGTTGTTCTCGACTTTTGAGACGCTCGAGACGAGTTGTTTGCCGAGATCGTAACCCCAAAAGGATACGGCGACTGTCCACTGTCAGTTTCCATACCCTGTGCTTTGTCGTCGAGCTACTCACACATGGGTGTTACACCAACAAGAGGCGCAGAGACACCTGCATACAAGCCTCTAGCCAGTCCTTCCTTTGCGATTGTTTTCCTTACAACGTCCATGGCACCGCTGTATACACCCTTCTCCGCCGTCTGCATGCGCACCTTGACCAGATCGAACGGATGGCCCACCACAACGGCGCAAACACCACCTACACCTCCAGCTACCAGCGCCCGAAGCGACTGTAGCGAGGATTTTGACGCTACCTTGACATCTTCCTTGAGCTCGGCTGTCGAGGGCAGCTTCTCGATCACAGCATCTGTCGTGCTCGACATGGTGGTAGCAGCTCTAGTGGGGCGCGTCAACTGCTCTGATGAAGGATTGTGCAGGCTGGAGGTATTACGAAGCCTAAGAAACTTGTGTGAAGCAAACGATAGACTGTGCGATCGCCAACACGGCCAGAGCGAGAGATAATATTGCGTGCAAAGTGGGAGAGGGCGAATATAGTACAAGCATGTGAGAATTCCAGGACTCCGAATAGCTGTGCCTACGTCGGCCCAGCGCTCGGCTGCCTGGCTATTCAGCAAGCCGAGGCTGATCTTCGCCGAACAACCGCGCACCTCGTGTCTTCTGCCTCCCACATCTGCATCGCCATGGTGGGGCATAAATGAAAAGTCAAGCACAAACACAGATCATGGTATATGTGATGCATTCGTAAATTACTTGAATTAGCTGAACTGGTGCGTACAATGCGTGCCAAATACAACCCTACAATGCTGAAAACGCTCCATCCCATGATGCCGATGCCGCTGACCCGTATCCCTAATGCATACAAAGAAACCCCAATATCATGGACAAGGCTGCCGAGATACCTGCACATGCCAACACCAACCATTACAAGTAGCGAAAGTCGGGCGCACGGGACCTCCTGTTTCGACCACGAGGGTTGACTGGCTGCCGGTCATATGCGTCGTTATTGTCTTGCTGCCCTGGTCCGCCCCACTGGCCCTGTCCGCCCCATCCGAATTGCTGGTTATGATGTTGTTGGCCAAACTGCTGACCGAATTGTTGTTGCTGACCATAGCCAAAGTTTTGCTGGGGAAACCACTGTTGCTGACCTCCGTGTGCTTGTTGTTGATTCTGTCCAAAGCCCATGGGGTATGCGTTTTGGAACCCCATTTGGGTTGGCATTTGCATCTGCATCGGCATCGGCATCGGCATAGGCATGTTCATATTCATTGGCATGCCCATGGCTCCCATTGGCGCGTTCTTGAGCATCTCCATTTGTTGAATGAAGTCCTGCTCCATTTTTGATGTAGGGTCGGCTGCTTGACGCATTGCTTTTGGTGCCGTAGGTGGTTTGATGTCTGTCGGAGGCTGCTTGCGCTTCTTGGAAGACGTAGAGTCAGTATCGGAGGCTTCTTCCGCCACCGGCACAGCCGTAGTAGCAATAGCAGTACTTGTAGTATTTGTAGTGTCATTTTCGACAGGAGGAGATGCGTTGTCAGTAGCATGAGATATAGAAACTGATTCATTTGTTGAAGCAACTGCTGCCTTTGCTGCCTTCTCCTTCTCTGCTGCCTTTTCTGCGTCATATGCCTTGAGAGACTTGACCATTTCATCGTCGGCAATGAGATCATCCATCAGAACATCCTCCTTTGCACAGTTGGGACAAACCAAATCTCCATCTGCTAGCGCGTTGTCAATGCACTCGCGACAGTATGTCTTACCACAACAGGGCGTCTTGACTGGGTCGACAAATCTCTGATTATCAATCGGGCATTCGAGCCCACGGTCACGCAGCTCCTTGCTGGCCGCGTCGGCGCTCGCAGCACGCGCCCGTGATGCGTTTGTCTTTTCCTGGAACTTGTCCCATGTTTTCGTGTCCGTCATGACCTGTACGTATTCTCCGTCGGCGTTGAGCATGACGCCCTTTGCCGCCTCTTCGTCGACAGGCTTCTCCACCTTCTTGAGGAAGGACTGCGGTATACCAGTCGTGCGCTTGGCTTGAAACACGGGCTTGAAGTCGGGGTCGTCGTTGGTGGGGCAGGCTTGGATCCAGTGGCCTTTGATATTGCACCGACGGCAAACGTAACCGGGTGGTGGTGGATGTGAAGGGACGACGACATTTTTCGTGTTGTTTTTGCGATAAACGGGTTTTGCGTGCGAGAGAGCCTCTTTCTGGGCGTCCCAAGCCATGGCTGACTCGGCCAAGAAGGCTGCTTCTGCATCTTCTGGTGTCGCATTGTTGGTTGGTGGTACAGGCTGCGCAGGCTTGCTTTGCGTCGTAATGGCTCGCACAGGCGGTTTGCCCGTGACATACCGAGCGGCTCTGCCTTGTCCTCGGGGTGCTGGGCGACGTATTGCTATGACGGTAGACGAACGGGGTATCAGAGTCGTGTCGTCCTTGTATTCGGCGTTGGCGTCATCTTGAGGGTAGATGTGGAGGTTGAAGTCAGTCCCGTCGCCGAGGCCGCTCGCGCTGATGATTTCCTTCTTGAGTTCCCATACGCTCAAGTCTGTGCCGTTGAAAACTATGCGCTCGTTATCTCTAGAGTTCTTGAACTTGTAGAAGATTGACGAAGTCATAGTGGGTGGTGGTGGTGGTGGTGGGTTTGGAATGTGGTGGTGAGGTGAGAGAGGAGTGATGGCAAGAGGACAAGGGACGACGAGCGATTAATCATCTGCGCACGGACCATCAATGGATTACCACGATGCGACAGCGCGAACCCTGCAGCTGCTATCATCGGAACCATTACGCGCACAAATCTGCATATGAGAGTGGATCATTTGTACTGGGGTCGCATTCCGTCTACACGGCTATCTAAAAGGATATAAAGCTTCATGAACCGAATCTACTCCTCCCCAGCATCAGCCTCTAGTTCGTCTGGACCCATCATATCCTTGGCCCCTCCAGCGTCGCACTCGTGTATGATCTTCTTCCAACCCAGTGGCTCGGAAGCATCCTTGATGTGCTCGATGGTGGGGAAGTAATGCTCATTCTTCTTCATGGTTGCGACCCATGGGACGTTGTCGAACGTCATGACTTTCATGCGAAAGTACTCGTTGTCCTTTATCTTTTTGATTTCGGTGAGGAAAGCCGATAGGTTCGGGGTGGGGACATTATTCACGTGCGTGACAAAGTTTGTAGGCGCAAGCTATGACATGGTTAGTCAAGTGAATGCGGGAGGAATGGAAAATACATACCCCATACATGTACGCCGGCGATCCACGGGCGCGCGACGAAATATAGACGTCAGAGTGAATCTTGCTAATCTGCTGGCGCACAGCTTGGTGCGGGCGGTGGAAAGTGGCACCACAGAAGCTGACCAAACGATCTGTCTCGAGATCTTCTGTTGCAACTGTCGACACCTTGATAGTCTTTTCTTCGCGCTTGCGCACCACGACTGCATCCAGAAACTCGTTGTTATACATGACGTCTAGGTCGGGCGAACGAGTGACAAGTTTACCGTTTAGCGTCAGCAACACATCACCCTCGTTGAGACCGTCACCATGACCAGAGTCAACCTTGCGCACCATGAAGAGTTGGTGGCGCTCTGGGTCAGCCGTCTCAGTTTTTTCTATCCATTCTTCTGAGACGCCCATGACACGGGCTTGGCTCATCTGAACTGTCTGGAACTCGACATTCAAGATGCGGAGCTTGGGTGTCTTACCACCTCGGATCTCATTGAGCACTGGGAGGAGATTGGGAGTGGCAAGACCTAGATGGTACTCTACGTCTTTGCCGCTGTGCGATGTCCGCTCGCCTAGGTATGAGAGCCAGAGCGCCTGCACAGTGCCGTCTTCAGCAATCAGCACTCCAGAGCCGCTGTGTGAGGCCTGGTTGGTGTCAACGGTGATGGCGTCAAAGTTGGTGGCACGATATCGTGGTGTGATTGCGCTGGCGGGGATGGCCACTGTGGTAATATCAGTGACGACAGTCTTTGCTACGACAGGTCGGAAGTTCTGGTTGATGCCGAAGAAGATGGTCTCGGCGCCCTTTTTGATAAAGTCGGTTGCAAACTTGGGCGTCTTGACGGGCGCATTGACGAGCGAAGCATCATACTTGACGATGGCATAATTTTGCAATGGGTGCATGAAAACAACCTTGGCATCCACAAAGATGCTGTCGGCAATAATCAGTGAGATGTCGCATAGGTCATATGGCAAGATGGCTCGCGAGACAAGGACGAGACCCTGCTCGGCGTCAACAACAAGTCCGTAGCCCTGCTTGTTCATCTTGGGGAAGCCGTCAAGCTTGATGGGCATGGAGACATGCACGCGCACGAAACTACGAACAATATCCACAGCGTCGGGGTAGTTTGAGCTCATCTTGACGAAGTTCGCACGGCGCGGGACAGGAGGCACAGGAGGAATGGCATCGGCAAGAGGCTTAAAGTCCCACAGGCCGGTCGTGTCATTGCGTGTTGCTACCCGAATCTTTGCATGCCAATGCCTGTCCACAGCAGTGATACTAGTGTTTGCAGTATGCAGATCGCGCAGATGCTTGTACATCATGACCACACGCTTACGATCGGGAATCTTTTTCATGACTTGGATGAACGTGTCTAAGTCTGGGGTGGGTTGGTTGTCAACCTCTTGTATTAACCAGCCTGATGTGTAGCCGTCAGCGAATCTGAAGGAGCCCGCTGCCTCGCAGACGTATACACCTGCGCCTTTGAGAGAAATGGCATAGAGACGGGCTTGTTGGTAGGAGAGATCGTGGAACGAGGCACCTGCGACGGAAACAAACTTGTCAGGTGTGATGGCATGGAGGTCTCCCACTTCCAGCTCGACGTCCATGTTCTCGCCTGCGCGTTGTATCGTTACCGAGATGGTCTTGCCGACGTGGTCATCCAGGATGGCATCAAGCCGGACAAACTGGGTCAGTAGCTCTCCGTTGACGCGCAGCAGCAGATCGCCTTCCTCGATCTTGGAAGATGCAGGTCCTTGCGGGAGGATGACCTCTGCGACCAACATGCCTGTCTCCTTGGGGAACTTTGTGCGAATGTCCTTTTCCAGGGCAGGCGAGAGACCCAGCCTTCGGCACTCATCGAACGGCTTCAATATCCACTGCGTCTGAATGGTGCCCCGTGAGACGAATTGGCCTTGGCGGATGAGCTCCAGTGCTCGTAGCGGGCGGTCCAGGGGGAGAAAGTAGTCGGTCGCAGCACCATCGGCACGTCCACCAGCCTGCAACGCAACTGCGAAGCCATCGCGGTCCACGACGGGACTGCCAGAGGATCCTCCACTCGCCGCAGCTGCCGCCTGTATGTAGTTTGTGTTGAAGTCCGAGTAGCCCTCGCCGTATTCGGGCGCATTACGATCCAGCCGGCTGATGACACCGGACAGGATACTGAGCTTCTCTCCGGCATCGTTACCGACGACGCGGATCTCGACGCCGACCTTTGCATTGTCCGGGCGGAGCTTGAGGGCGGTGACGGGCATGTACTTGATCTTGCTGGGGTCGAAGCGCAGGATGCCGAAGTCGTGGACGGGGTCACGATAGACGGGATGGACGTCGCACTCCTCGTGGTTGTCGAAGATGCAGTATCCGATGAAGGGGCCGGCGCCGACAACGTGCCTGTTGGTAAGGATGTAGCCCTTTTCCGCATCAACAACGAAGCCCGTCGCCTCTGAGCTCACCGCCGCGTCCGTGTCAAAGGAGCACGTCTGGCAAAAGTGGATGGAAACGACGCTCTTGACGACATTCTCAATCGTCCGCTGCCACTCGGCCGTGTCCTGGCTGGCCACGGCCGTTATGTGCGCAGACGAGGGTACGTCATCGAGCACGCTGTATTCACTGCGCGCGTCGTCCATGGCCTCCTCTGCCTCGCCGGGCGAGTGCGCCATGACGCCATTAGACGTGTGCGACGACTCCATCTCGGGCTTGATCTGCTTCAAGGGGCGGTCGGTTGAGGGCGACGTTGGCGGTTGCTTGCGTTTGGTGGTGCCATTCTGTTCCATTGACGGCCGAGTATTTGTACAGGTATCCGTGTGTAGGGAGTGTTTGCCCGCGTAGATTGCGCTAAGCCCAGGTTGCCGTCTAGGGTATTGTGTGTGGAGCAAAAAGGGCGGTCGCGATGCTGGCGACAGTAGGGTGCGCAGTGAAGTGGAAGATGTTGCAAAGAAACTTTGTTTGCACCTGGCGAGTAAGGCTCGGCCAAGCAACATGCCAGGTTTGGAAGCAAGTCGTAATGGAGAGCTGCCAGTGGGTGCCTGGTTTTGATGGCAGACCCAACTGGTGATTAAAAGTATAAACGCGCACAAAGAAGCACAATTGATGACTTTGCATGTCCTCTTGATGGACCGACCAAAGTGCCCTGCAGCTGCATCGCGCCGCTTCCCGCCGCCGGACCTTCAAGGTCCCACTCCACTTCAATTGGGCCCGTCCGCCAATCTCACATCTGGCATCCTTGTAAAAGAAGGTACAAGGAATGTCCATTTCATATAGTTTCATGCCCATGTGTCAAGCTTCCAAACTGGACCGATGTTTGCCGTGTTGGCACCCTAACTTAGCTCTGCATACCCAAGAGCCTGAAGATTCCCATGCCATGTACAAGCGACTTAAACTTCCTCATCTCCAAAAGCCTCCTCCTCGGCAGCATCCACCTTCTTCTTGCGGGGAGTTGGCTTCTTCTTGGGCGAGCCCTCGGCAGCGTCATCACTGTCCATGTCCGTCTCCCCCTTGGCGACTTTGGACTTGCGCTTGCGATTGCCAGCGCTCTTATTCCCAGCTCCAGCCACAGCATCGCCGTCATCACCAGCACCGCCACCCAGAGTCTGGCCACTCTTGATCTTCTCGATATCTTTGCCGTATTTCTTCTTCAAGCGTACAAGCAGCATCTTGCATGAGACTACTGTGCGGCCAGCGGGCATGGGCGCCTTCTGCAGAAGCTGACTTAGTATACTTGTGTTCATGTGCTGGGCATGTGCGAACTTACACTGATCTTGGCATCAATCTTGCCTTCATTCTCGCAGAGCACGAGGAGGTATGCAATCTATGTTGGAGGTTAATTGATGCATACAGACATGGCTTCTGGTACAAACCTTTTCGCTTTCAGACCAAGCAGCGCCGCTGGCAAATGGGGTACCTGCCGTCTTCTGGTCGACGTCGGACATGTTGAGTGCTGTTGTGGTAATGTGCAAGGCGTGAAAAGGAGCTGATGTAGATATATCGGGAGAATGTAAGAGATAGGATGCGGGACGAATATTGAAAGTGGAAACAGATGATCCATGCGACTCACCTCTATCACCCCTGGATCGAGGTGAGGTGAGTGAACTCCAACGGGACTAGAGGAGCGGTGATGTGAGTCCTAAAAGCAAGATGAGCAGTAACTGAGCTCAGGGTCCAAAACCACATGGTGAGTTACGCGCACCTCACTCTCTTGGAAGCGCAATCAGAGTCTGTTGAAACTCCCTCATAACTCCACTTTCACTTAGCGCTGTAGTAGCGTGTCTACATCCATCATGACCGATAGGACTTATCCGCTTCATCCAGTCTATAGCATACATACCTTGCCTCGCAATCGGAATTAGGGTTTGCACAAAAGCACGACGCCGCAGCTCTTGTATGTCGTCCATTTCGTTGAGTCCGTGTTTTTAGCGTGAGTACGTGTGCTCGTTGACCAAGATGGCGTCTGACATATTACGAACAAAACTGCAAGTGAACTTGCATGGTTAGAGCTCCGCCCCTGTCTGTGATGTTCATCTTAGTATGAGAGGGTAATCAGTCAAGTGGAAAGTCAAGCTTAAAACTGCGATAAGGTCCATGCATACACACATGCAGTGTAGGTCCGCTTATTCTGCGAACCCCGCATGTTGTGAAACCTGAACGACCTTGGAGCCAAGCAAGTACCTGCTTCGATTGGACAACGTGTGGGAGCTTCATTGGTCCTTCTGGATGAGCTGTGCCGTAAAGTATAAGAAAATATAAGAGAACCGACACTGCTGCCTGGTCTCTTGGAACTTCTCAACATAGTCTAGACCCTCTTAGAGCCGGTCGTTTGAACACAGCTTTCGCTTTACCTCAAATAAACTCTACATGTACACAGCAATGCATCCAAAGAAGAAGAAGACAATAAAGAAGTTTGATGTTGATCTATGGAGTCCGTGTGGCAATCCTCGCCCTCAACCTGCTGTAGAGGACTCCGAAGACATAATCGAAGACATCCCCGAGGCTGTACATTCAAGCTCCGAAATAGCAGCACAGTTGCAACAATTCTCGTAAGACGCGCTACATGCTGTAGGAGTGCCGGTTTTGCAAGCTGATCATCTTAGTCCCTACACTGAAGCTCCTGTCGCGCTCCACATCGGTGAAGAGCCGACGGTCTACTATGTGCCGAGCCATCTTCTACCACGTGGAAAGATTCACACACGCGGAGAAGATCCATTGTACCTCCCGGACATTGAGGTAGAGACCGGACATACGCTAGTTCATTACCTATACACCGGGACATACGAAACCCTTCACGCATCCAGTGAACTTGAGCAAGCGCTGCTGGTATATATCATGGCCATGAGCTATGAAATTCCCAGGCTTGCTGAGCTTGTCGTGAGTGAAATAGAAAGCCTTTGCGCTGGAATAGACATCTTCCGGATGATGACATCAATCGAACCCAACTTCACGAAGCTTGAATTAGAGAGTCGCGACGAGGGCCCAGTGCATGCCATTTTACGCAAAAAGGCGAGGACCACATTTGAAGCAAACCCCACTGCATTCCAGGCAGATGAGTTCTTGGCTCATCTCAGCAACGCAGACTTCAGAAGTTTCATGTTGAAATGTGTAATGAAGCTCTACAGCGACAAGGTCTCACACCTCGAAAGGGACCGGGAAGGAATCAGGAAAGAGCTCAAAGACAGCAAAAAGACAGTCAAAAAATTCGAAGCCGATTGGAAGGTCGATGTGGAACAAAGAATGGATAATCAGAATGGTTACGTCGCGGTTGGTGCATATGATAGTGAACCCACTGTGCGAGAGGACATTGAGCATGTTGCAGCCGAGGCAGAAAGTATCTCGACTGATTGCTTCAACAATATCAGCTACCCATCATGCGAAGATTCAGTTCAGCCTCCACGGTCTCTTGATGGACTTGAAGAGCCCCAACCTGATGAATCCCAGCCTGAGCAAGCCCCATGTGAAGAGCTCTACCCTGAGGAGCCTTGTCGCGAGGCCTACCCTGAACCTCCTCCTGAGCCCTATCCCGAGGAATCAGAGGTCCCCGCCCATGAAACTCCAGCAGAAACCATCGCAGAGCCAGAACATGCACAAGACGAGCTCGCAAAGATCCTGCAGCAGATGGGAAGAAGCTTGAAGACAAACAAAGCTAAAAGGGCATTGGAGAGACTAGAGCGAGCTGTCAGGAGCGAAAAGCAGGCTGTTCAATACGAACCCCCACAGCCGCCCTCAGCGGAAGAGATTGTGTTTTCCAGTTAACGTATCTAGCCTGGCTAGAACGGATTGGGAGAAAGTTTTGGCTACGGTGGCATCAGTTCTTTTGCGGCTTGGATTTGTGGCTTCGTATGTAGCATCACGGTATGTGGCTCATAAGGAATACGATCTTTCGCTCGGTGGTTATATTGATATGCGCGTATGGAATGACTTGACCACTCATTGGAGCTATTTTGGTGTATTCTGAAGCAAGCAGCAGTCTGAAAGTCATGAAATTCCGCCCATATATGCTAGAAAAAGCTCATTCACGATGCTGGCAACCCACCCAGCTCCTCCATCAACCCACACAAAGCCCGAATCAATGGCGGACCAATTTCTCGGTCCACATCCGGATGGGTTCCATCCAGTAACGCTACACCAGCTTCCATGACCTGCCATGGATATTTCAGATTGCAAACGTTGGACTTTGCTGCCTCGGCTTCGGCAGCGCCCTGCGTTTGCCTAGTCCGAGACGGTAAGATGCGAAGACATGGCGTCCCCGTGTTCATTATGATGAAGGCGTCTACAGCAGCCTGGTTGGAGGGCCGCGCGTCATCCAAGAACACAAGTACGGTTTGTTCAGGCGGTACAGTTGAGCTTGGTTGGATAGGTGTGTTGAAGCCGGTTTTGCGTGCGTGGTCGCTTATTAGCATGCTATATGTCCAGAGTACCATGATCGAGTGGTATATGATGAAGGAGTCTTGGCCGCGGTTTTGGTAAGGGATAATTGCGCGTGCGGCTTGTAGGACTTGGCCTGCGTGGGCTGTTGGTGTGATTAATATTCTTTTCAACAATTGTTCGAGAACAGAGTTTATTAAATTTATCACGTACCTACTGCTGTGCGGGCTTCTCGAGACTTGCTCCACGGCTGCAGTGCAATATATGCGCGGTGTGCGGCTTCTTCCCCGCATCGTCCAGCAAAGCGTGTAATGATGTCCAAGTCTGCATGCAAATACATTTGTAAGAATTGCTGGAACATGCATGTCAAGGCGGATGAGCTGTCGAGAACAATTTCTGTATTACGAAGACAATCTTGCAGGGTTTGTCGACGCGATCGAGACCATAGCTGAGCAGCAGGATCACTCAGCTCATGAAGTAGTACGGCCTGTTGACGATGCTCCCAAACTTGTGATGCTAGTCCGTGGATATATGCTGAGCGCGCAATACGTGGGTCAAAGCTGCCATGAAGGCAGGATATTGACCCTGCTTCCTGGAGGATTGATCTCATAGAGGGACGGAAGTTGGGAGACGAACGACTCAAAATGCGTGCCTTCCAGACCGCAGCTGATGGCGCAAGCCATAAAGTTTCTGAAGCAGGTAGTGGCAGCGTAAGCTCTGCATAAGAGAGCAGCGGCTGTCGTTGGTTGACCATTGTCATGTATATGTCGTGTTCGAAAAGGTGGTAGACTAGTCGCTTGTAGGCTTCTTGCTCAACCCATTGACGCCACTTCTTGTCCAATACCTCAACGTCGTCGTCTGGCGCGGGCATAATGGTGGAATATCGGACGTCGTCAAACCTACCCGCACGGCGCAGTGATGTGACGAGTACTTGTAAGGAGCTTTCAGCAAGCTCCATTTTACGCCGGAAGCCACAGAATGCTCCTATATCCAGCCAGAGCATTGATGCTTGTAGGTATTGTAGTTCTCGCATGGCACTATTGTCACGCTCAGCAAGCTCTCTCAGGGACACTCGGACAATCTCTTGGAGAACGAGCCCGGTTTTGTTCACTGATGGTATGCCGAAGCAAATGCAGCCTGCCACTACAAGCGCTGTCAGAAATTCCGGTCTCACAGTATCGGCGTCGAACGTATATGGATGTATCCACGCATCTCCTTCGGTTCGTTTTGCTATACCGACTTTGACGAGCTTATCGAGGCAGTCTACGGATGGGAAGGATGATATTGATACCTGGCTAGGGGCAGTCTTCAAAACAAGCTGGAGAACTTGATCGCGGCTTTGCTGTGACAAGTAACCAGGGATGATGATATTAGATGCGTGGGGTTGATGTGGGGAGAGAGCCAGGTCTACTTGTCGCTCGTCGAGAGTGATGCCCTCTTGCTCACTAAAGGCGTTCTGATTGCGCTCTGGTACCCAAAACCATGGCGATTGCTTAAAAACAGCATGCCGTCGCCTCACTGCATCGCCGCTATTGGTTGCTCCAGCATCATTGATAGTGGTGCCGCCTGGTGTAGTCTCTGCGCCAACGCGACCGGCATCCAGCGTTGGTGTATTGAACGTTTCGTCAATGGCTGGCACAAAATCAGCCCCAAAGAGATCAACTTGGCCAAACCAATCAGTCTCAGGTAACCATGCGGTGAGATCAGGAGGCGGACATAGATACTCGGTTGCTAGAAAATCTGAGTGGGTGACCATGATCTGCTCAAAGAAGTTGGAGAGTGGGTTCTGTTGATGGACCGCTTCTTGGTATATGTTTGAGATGCCTTGATGAGCGGCAGCCGCGTCCATGAATGCGTCAACAGGATACGAGAAATCGGGTGCTGGTTCCTCTTGCCTGGCAGACTGCTCTGATGTCTGCTCAATGCGCGGACTGGAAGCGGCAACAGAACCATCTCGCCCGTCGGGCGTTCGCGTCGTGCATTGCACGTTCTTCTTTTGACATCTTTGGCAAGGTCTGTGGTTATCACACTTTACTTTTGAGATTACGCAAGCGTTGCATGCTTTGGTAGCCCTCTCAACAGGGCGGTGGAGGCTTACTTGCCCCTCTGCGGCATTCTTTGTATGAGTGGATCGATGTCGAAGGAGTAAGTCCCTGCAGCAACAATCCCGTTAGTCGGGTTTCGTGTCTGCTAGTGTGCAGTTCGCTCGAGGTCCTGGCTTCCCAAGCACGTACTCCACTCCACGTTCATGTGTGCACGTGTGCTGGCACCGATTAAATGGAAATGTCACTAACCTGCGATTGAATGCTGCAGGACACTCTGCGCAACGGAAAGATCTTTCGTTCCGATCTACAGTCACTCCGTCAGCGATGTCCTCGGGGTGGGCGCTCCGATGGATGCTTACGCGAGTCCAAGTGTCGGTTCAGGTGGTCGAGCCGATCATAAGTGCGGCGACACACCTGACATTGCAGGGAGGGCGCGCTGTCCAGGTTAGAGGACGCCCGGGCCCGCTTCGATGGTCTGGTAATCGTGTCATCGGTTTCTGCTAACATTTCGAGGGAAGGGGAGTGGCAGCGGAACATGTGGAAAAGGTATGGGTAAGTCGGACCATCCTTCTGCGCCTTTCGGAACATGTGGGCGGCAATTCAACTACGGTAGTTACTTGACTCGCCAGCTGCGGGGTCGTCGGAGCGGCCCACCGACATGGAACGACAGTACCGGAATTCAGCCTTGACTATGAGCCCTGAATCATGAAGTACCACATTACGACTAAACATGAATCAATCTTACGACCATGTGAGATGAGGTTTACCTGGTGCATCCCGACTGTACTTGCTTCTGTCTTTCGTTGCTGTCACTGTCACAACACTACTGATCACACCAAAGACCCGAAGTGGACTTGCAAATCGCGTCGCAGAGAGAATTCCGCCAGTAAACCATGATGTCCATCCAGGTTGTGGTAAGAGGTGTGGCCAATATCGGAGAGGGCATGTCAGCCTCCACTTACTGATGCGAGAGTGTTCTATTGAAAGACTAGCAACCAAACCAATCATCTAGATCGCGGAACGTCTATGCCCCTTGAAGTGTTACTGAACCCCGTGCCTCGGAATATGTGGGCAGATCCTTGGGGTGGAAATTACTTGAATTGCGTCTGGGCAAGCAAGGCTGTTGTGGCCACCAGATCGGCAGTGGATTCCATTACTTTAATTCCGTGGTGTGATCATCTCACCTTCTACCATCAAGTGCAACGACACACTACTCTATTTACGAAAGACTTTGTTCGATATGATTCAGACAACTACGCAAACCGCACCAGTAACGCTGAAGGCTGTTGGCGGGGGCCCGATGAAGATCGACGGCACGGAAACCAACTATGGCGACTGGAGAGACGACCTTGCCCGTGACGGCTATGCTATCGTGAAGGGGGCGATTCCAAGGGAGAGGGCCGATGCTTATGCAGACGGCATGTACACATGGTTGGAAGGCTTGTAAGTGGTGATGATCCCACAACAATCTTTAGCACGACTGACACAAGTCTAACAGCAACCTGGGATTTGACCGAAACGATGTTTCCACGGCTCACAAAGATAAATTACCAGCCATCAACGAGAAGGGCATGTGCCTCCATTACGCCGTAACACACGAAGACTTTGCCTGGGGTGTACGTGGCGAGCCAGGCGTTGTAGGGGCTTTCGAAAAGATATACGACGACAAAGAGCTCATCGTCTCATTTGACGCCATCAACTTCACATTTCCCAAGTAAGTTCGTCGTCTCAACAGCCTTTTACACCGGCTAATAAAGTTGCTAGCCGAAAGGACATTGCGCCCAACAAGCCATGGCCTCATCAAGACCAGGATCCCGCGAAGCCAGGATTCAGATGCATGCAAGGTCTCGTCAACCTGCTGCCCAATGGCCCGGATGATGGTGGCTTGATAGTGTGCCCTGGGGGCCATCTCGTGTCTGACGAATTCCACAAAGACATGGCCGATGAGCCACGTATTCCAGCATGGACTCCTGAGTGGTTTGGGTTCACAGAGAACGGCCTCAAATGGCTAGAGAAGAAGGGTCTGAAATGGGTCAAGGTGTGCGCTGAGCCTGGAGATCTATTGCTCTGGTAAGCTCACTCACGCTCTGTTGATACACTCCAATCATGTTACTGACTACGACTTAGGGACTCCCGTACTCCTCACTACAACCTTGCTTCAAAGACCAATCAGCCCAGATTCGCTGTATACACCTGCTACATGCCTGTCTCACACGCGACTCAAGAAGATCTCGTACGCAAGAAGGACGCCTACGAAAGGTTTGTGGGCACTACACACTGGCCCAATGCCAGACACACTGGATCGAACGTAGCACAGCGAGATGGGGAGGATGACCCGCACAACCGTTTTGAGCCAGTGAACAAGCCAAAACTTGATGAGCGTACATTCAAGTTGACTGGAATCCCTTACATCAAGTCGTAGATCATGCAAACAACATACAATACAATTATCTCTGTTCGTAACATGCTGCACTATTGTTGTTCGGAGTGTTTGTGAGCAGCGAAAAAGGCGACGTCACATTCGTCCGCTCTGTATCAGCTGAGCCTTATTTGAAACAGGGTTAGCCGAGATGGACCTAGAGCGAAGGCTTCTGAGTGAGTGTATGCGGAAAGTTTGCTTACGTTGTAACATGTATTACTATTGCTAGAAAGATTGTGTTCTTATGATTATCTCTCAATACCACTACGTCTTGTTACAGGCAATACAAGCCCGGAGAGATCCCCCCTAGTGTAACATCTCGACAGTTCTAGGGGCAAGTGAAAACCTAGTTCAGTCCCTCATTTCTTCCACTAGCATGTGAACTCGACATCAGTTTTAGTGTTCAAGTAAAAATGTAGCGGTGTGAGGAGAGGAGGAGGACTGCGTTGCATTGTGTAGCTATGGAGGAACTGCAGCTATATAGGTGTGTGTGATGAGAAAGTGTGGTAGCGATAGCCGTACCCAACTCTCACCCAAGTCGGTCTTGGCAAGGCCCAAACCGTTACAAAAAATCGTCGAGCCTGAAGACATTGGACGCGTGTTAGTATTGATGGATTGAGAATTCTCACCGACACATGCGTAGCCTCAAGCTGCAACGCCCTAGAGAACCAACGAGAGATACATGGGGTTCATCGGAGCTCTCTTGCTGCTATCTGCGTAATGACATCTAAGACTCAGCTAATGCCTACAATGAGGCTGATCATCGCGATGATCTACACACTTGATACTGAATCAGCGAGACATGGAAGGAACCCCAACATGCTTCGCCGTTGCCCAACGGCCCGTGTAAGCCCGAATGCGCTTACCATACAGGAAAATGGGGATACCAAGACACCCAAAGAGCGCCGTGAGTCCGGCATATGTACCAAAAGAACCATCGTAACCAGTTGTTTCAATAAACTTGGCTACACCGTAGCTCGTACCAAAAGAAACGAATCCGCGGAAAGCCGTGATGACAACAAGAACGGGCCCAGCCCGCGCAGGGTAAGAATCGAGTAAATATGTAATGGCAGCAATGTTTGCGCCGACAAAGCAGAAGTAATAGCCTGCATTGGCGAACACAATGACAAACCAATGGTATTTGTCGGGATATTGCCCAGCTTGGCCATATAGTGTGGCGGAGAGAATCCCGAATAGGATCGGGATCCAGAGGACGAGGAGGCGGTTTTCGGGCTCATGGAAACCGTCGTTACGCTTGGCCCGCCATTTGATGATCTTGTCTGACCCGTTGCCGAGGAGAGGGAGTGCAACAAAGGCGACTACAACTTGTCCCGCGTTGACATATGATGCTGCGTCATTGCCCCAGTTGTAAGGAGGATGAGTGACGATAGCGCCGTAAGTCGTTCCGATGGCGATGTTGATTCCACTGCCGGGTGGTTAGCTATACTCCAAGGCTCTCATGCGGTTGAGGTGGCACTTACATTGTCAAGCCGTTGAGACAGAATGCCCATAAGACATTTGGGAAGAGAAGAATTTGGAAGGTATGCTGTCAGACAATCAGTCTTGGGGATGATAGTCGTGTGGATTATCGGCTATACTTACGACGAAGCCGTACCAGCCCTCCACCCAATCAAACTCCCCAACAAATAAGCGCATATCCGACCTGATCGTCCGCGGTGGATACTTTGTAGTATCCAGCGCGGGTCTCTCTGACAGCCTCACTGGTGCTGCTGTCGTTTGTACTTGTTCGACACCATCAAATTCTGACGATTGTCCGTACGCTACCAGGGATCGAGGGTAGCGACTCTCTGGCACGAGAAAAATCGACAGGATCAGAGTCACAGCTGAAAAGCCTGCGCCTAATCTGTACCAATTCGCAGGACCGACGGCTCCAGCCAAGGGAGACGCAGCAATGGTGAGGCCAGCCGAAAGCACTGTCTGTATTGCAGACTGCCACATGAGAAACGTACTACGCTCATGCATAAAATGTATCTCCTACGAGTCGCTATTAGTAAAGCATTCAATTCGAATATCTCGGCACTCCTTACCTGTATCATCATAGGTACCAAAGCCTCACTTTGTCCAGCAGCGAAGCCGAGCACCATTCTCGCACCGAGGTGCCAATTGTAGTCCCTTGCTTGGGCTGCCAGGAGAGCCCCAAGTATGAGTACAACCAGCGATCCGAGAAAGACGGGTCGTCTGCCAATGGACAGAGCCAAGGGCATGCATGTGAGACAGCCGACACCCATGAACATGGATGGATACGTCATGAGAGCTGTGATATCAGCATAATCGGCACCATGCACAGCGTATTCTGGGATGTAGAAGCCCAAAAGACCACCAAAGCCAGACACCAATGACAGACCGAGACTGGAGACTAGAACCGCAGTCAGATATCAGAGTTTTGGATACGAGGGTGGGACCTTACAGATTGATACGAGGGAGATGAAAACAATCTTCCTCCATTTGGATAGGTTGAGAGGGTCTGGATGGAGCGTCAGGGTTGTATGCAGGGGCAGAAGATACTGCAAAATCACCTCGTGGGTCAGCACTTGGCGAGGGTACGAGGTAAACGTCCGTATCGTCAGTGATGGTCACTGTACCCATGGTATGGGTCTGACGAAGACCATCCTTGCTATACTCCTCATCGCTCGGGAGATACTCAAATCTCTCCACGGTCGCCTCCGACGGCTTTGAATCTTTGGTGATATCGGTCATTTTTAGAAAGTGGCTTGTGTGAAGAAGATGACTGAAACAACAAAAGATGAAATGAGAGACAAGACCCGCTCGCACAATTCAGCGAGAGCTTCACAGTGTCACTACTGGTCTGAGAAGCAAGTGTTGCTGGCACTCACCTCTTTATCAACAACTTCCCGGGGTCGATTCAGGATATCAACCGCCGTCCCCAACCCCACTCGCCGCCTTCCCTTAGCTGTTCCCACCGCGACCGACGGATCTTGCGAAGTTCATGATTCGCAACTAGACCAGACTCCGCCTCAAATGTCTCTTGGCTGCTAGCACAGATCTTGGTAATGGCCTCCCCCATGGGGAAACTTTGCGGGGTAGGATGCATGTGGTATCCAGGCCCGGCGACGGCTACCAGAACAGAACTAGCGTTCGGAAAGTGGGCGATGGCACTTGGCCACGGCACCTGCATTCCGTACATTTACGACCATGGGCGTCAAACTGTAGGTGACAAAGAAATTTGACAATGTAAAGGTGGGGGAAGAGGCGCTGAGCGTTTTCGGAATATTTTTGCCGCAGGTACACTGCTGATGAGCGAGCAAATGTTGTCTCTCAGCGACATACTAAGCCCACCTCACGTTCTATATAGCACGTGAACAAGATTACAATTCACCATGTGCTATCACAAAGCTCTGCATAGAATTATGTTATGGGTCGCGATTGAACATGATGAATACGTTGACCTACGTCTATATCGAGACAAATGGCAGGATAACACGACTGGGGGTATCTGGGCCAATGTGAATCCGGTGCTCTCCCTTGTTTCTCTCATGCTCTGGCCGCTCAGTTGAAAATGCAGTGTACTCTGCAATCGATGGGAATGTTCCCGAGACCTGAGATAATCGTTAGTCACTACGCCACTATTGAACAAGGTCCGCTGCAAAGAACTTACCTGAACACTGATAGATTGGCCCTCCTCAAAGTCTACACCCATAGACCAAATTCCGATCTCAAGCTTGACAATGTCACCAGGCGTGATTTTTTCCTCGATATCGTGAGGGTGGAAAGGAAACTGTTCGTGAATAGACTTTTCTGGAATGAATCGTCGGTGACTTGCACGTAGAGTACCCACACTCCCCATATGTAGGTTAGTGCTTTGGCGATCTTTTGCTGGGATGTCTGCAATGCTCTTGATTTCTTCTGGAATGGCGGAGAAGGGGAAGCAGAGATGCATCATCAACTCGCCGTTCTTTTCACGCTTGCGCAAGATGACGAAGACATTGAGATCGTCGTGTGAAGGGCAGGACATGTACAGAACGGCTTTGGGTAGTCCAATGAGGCGAGACTTTTCAGTGAAAGTATGCGTAAATTCTGCAATTGACTTCGAGTCCTCGGAGTTGTAAGATAGCACTTCTGCTGTGGAAGATGGTTTCTCGCTGAGGCCTGATTTGGAAAAGTGGAAATGGCGATACTGTGTGTCTGGTACGGGAAAATCGCCGTATTCGATGTTGTCAATTGCGTCTTGGTCTCCAAATTGTAATGCTGACCATCGCACTTTGGGGGTTGATTCCCAGTCGTTCGCAATGCCCTTCAAATAGTAGTCAAAGTACTTTTGCAGTTCATCGTGAGAATGTTTGACGCAATACAGCTCATACCACTCTTGGTATGAACTCCATCGGATCCATTTCTTGTTATGAGGAAGTTCGAGCCACGCTCGTATGGAACCCATGGTGTGGATACTGCTGAAGTCACTTCCACTGATGTAGACTGGACATTCGATTTTGGTCATGTCAGGTCGCTTATCCTCCCAGTAGGCATTCGAAACCGGCGATCTTCGGTACATCTCGGCCATATCCTCGATGCCGCCGTTCGGATTGTTGGTCTTGATGATGAATTTCGTAATAAGATCGAAGTTGGACATTGAAAAGATACCACCACGGCAGAACTGCTCGCGGTAGATATCTCCAGATCCTTCCCAGGGCGCAATCGCAGCGAGATGGGGAGGCCGAAGTGAAGCAACATGCCACTGGATGATGGCCAATGCCGAGTTGCCGGCCATACCAACCTTGCCATTACTCCACGGCATTGCTGCAAGCGCTTCAATGACATCGTAGCAGTCTTCGGCGTCCTGAGAGCCCATGAGTGGGATGGACCCATCAGAATCGCCGGTACCGCGGGAGTCGACGGAGACGATGGCATAGCCACGGGGACACCATGTAACTGGATCCAGGCCTTCGAACTTCTCCAAGCCGCTCAAAGCCTCTTTGGGCACGCAGCATTGCCATACACACATGGGAAGCATGTGAAGCGCGGAATACTTTTTTCCGTAACACGACCAACTAACGACGGCTGGTAGCTTTTCGTTGTCTTTCGCGTCTGCGGGTCGATAGATGTCCGCATACAGTCGCACACCGTCGCGGACCTTGATCTCGACATCATGGTCTATTCGAATGTCGCTCTCCAAGGCTCGACCCTCGTAAGGCCGTGTTCCCTTCTTGATGATTTCAACCTTGCCAGGGGTGAAACCTTGGTAGTTGTTGACACCGACTTCGGGTTGGGATATGCGCTTGTACGCAACTTGCGGTAATTGGGCAGGCATGACGTAATTTCGGTGCCGAGATATCGTACGAGGTGTGATAAATTGGGATTGAGGGTGTTGGTATAAGCTCCAAAATCTTAGGAGAATGGGAGGTGATAAGGTGATGTATTCATGTACTTTGCGAACGTGTATAGATTGCGCAGGTACTCGTGCTTCCGATGCATTTCCCAAAAAGGTAAGTGCTGGCCGCGGCTTACAAGTCCCACATCCCATACCGTTGTCGTGTCAGGTTTAGCGCGGCTCCCCGCAAAGTCGCCCACATTTTCCGACTCGGAATTGTGGGCGTTATGCGGGGTAGACACTTCCGACCCCCACATGTACATTACCCCCTTGGATTCGTAAAATGATGTCTTGCGGAAAGCATTTAAGTCTACAGGATGGTGTTGCAGAAGTTATCGCTTCAACATTCGTTGCCTACAGCGAGACGCACAATCTTCACTTGACATCTTCACGAGTCAATTCATCCATCATGGCACCTCACGCCGAAGAGCCTAAAGCAGATTCGGGTGTTGATCTCATCCAACATGACGGAAAGAGTTACGGCGATTGGCGCGATGACTTCCACCGTAAGATACTATCCATACTCATACAATAACTCGTTTAATATTGTAGAGTAGGCTTTGGTTGTGCGGTTGTGAAGAACGTCATAACACCAGAGCGTGCAGAGTACTACAAGCAAAAGCAACTAGAGTGGCTTCAATCATTCGATCTCGGATTTGACCCCAAAGACGAATCCACTTGGACCGCAGACCATCTTCCTGTCAGCTTCAAAGGCGGCATGTACTTTGCCTATGCGAGCACTCACGAGAAGTTCGTCTGGGAAGCCCGTACAGAGCCCAAAGTCGTGGATGTCTTCACTAAGCTATGGGGAACGAACGAACTTCTGTGCTCCTTTGACGGAATGAACATCACTCTGCCACGACAAAAGGACTTGACCTGGAGCCCATGGCCACACTGCGATCAGAACGAGAATCGCAAAGGAATGCAGTGCGTCCAAGGCTTGCTAAACTATCAGCCCAACGGCCCCAAGGATGGCGGGTTGATCCTGATGAAGGGAAGCTCAAAACTTTTCGACGAATTCTTTGCAGAGAAGCGAGATCAGGACGAGCATGAGGACAAGCCTCCGCCAGAGGAGGAGATGAGGGATCTATTCATCTTCAAGGAGGAAGACGTGAAGTGGTTCGAGAGCAGGGGCTGCACATTGCAGAAGATTGATATGGAACCTGGAGATTTGGTAAGTAAATCATGTAGCCCAGCTCAAACATTCGCTCACATCATATGCAGGTACTTTGGGACAGCAGAACGATGCATTACGCTGCTCATCCTCAAGGCGACCTCATTCGGCATGTGCAGTATATTTGCATGACGCCACGGAAGTTCGCAAAAGAGGAAGATATCAAGCTGAAGGCTGAACTGTTCCATAATTTCCAAGGCACTACACATTGGCCCCATTGCAACATCCACAAGGCCGGACCGCCACTTCGCAACGGCAAGCTGTGTCCGAAGAACAGGACTGAGCCATTGGAGAAGCCTGTTATTACCGATCAGGTCTTGCAGTTGGCCGGAGTGAAAGCGTACTAAGCAATGCGTTATATCTTTGATCTTGTTGTATTCGTACCTAGCTATCGTACACAATGCTTTATCATTCTTCCATCCTGCACAACTGTTCATTGCCCTGCCAAGTCGGTCTTGGATAGATACGTGAGAACTGACTACCACCTAAAACTACTTAGGTATCAAGACCGCTTGGTGCTTGAATTTTCTTCTGTGCAGTCGATATAATATCTTATGCATACCCAAAAACAATTACATTGCTACTCTGGGAAGACCTTTCTAAAATGCATGCAATTCCAGATCAGACTACTCCACATGCTACATCTTATCTTATGGATCTCTCATATACAGATGCCCAGTAACTCACCAAAGATACCGTGAGGCCTCAAGTGGGGAATATTACGGATAACTATGCGCACGAATTTGGAAAATATATTCGCAATACACCTCATCCATTAAATGTGTATTGCATAAATCCAAGATGAATGCTTCAAACAACACAGCCACAGTGACATGTTCTCCATTGCTCTTCCATCAAGCTCAAGCAGAAGACTTGACAGCATGCGATCTGCGCCATTCCGCCGCACCCTTGTACAGACAATTGTAGTCCATAAACTCATCCGGACGCATCTTAATCTCCTTGCTACCATTCTCAATCGCCGGCTTCGCAGCATCGCGACTAAACTTCTGGATCAAACTCGCACGCTCATACCTCGCCTCAAATACATGCTTTAGCCTTTCAGTCACCTGGTCCTCCGTTGGCTGCCCATGTAGATCCGCAAAGAAAGCGCCAAGCGCTTCTGCATCTTCAATTGCTTGACTTGCGCCCTGGCCTTGTGTTGGAAGCATAGCGTGTGCAGCATCTCCGATCAGGATGACGCGTCCGCGATACCAGGTTTCGAGTGGGTCGAGGTCGCGGAGCTGCCAGAGGCCAATACTTCGCGCTTGCTTCATCACTTTGCGTGTCCAGTCTGGGAATTCCTGGAAAGTTTCCAGCATCTTTTGTGAGTCTCCTTCCGTCACCCATGACTGTGCCTTGTCGGGGTCCTCGTGCATCTTCTCATCCGGCACCAGCCCAACCACGCTGTACAATTCTCCGTTCCGTGCAGGGCCCATGATGAGGCGGCAATCGCGAGCTACCATCATGGAAGTATATGGCTGCTCTGGGTTGATGTTTGCGGCGAACTCTGGGGCCTGCTGCTTGATGTCTTGCGAAGTCATCATGAGTCGGTAGCAAGAGGAGCCTGTGGGTATCGGCTTGACGTCTTTGCAGAGTACCAACCGTCGTAGAGCACTGTGTATGCCATCGGCGCCGATCACAACATCAGCTTCTAGGATATCTCCGTTCTGCAAGGTAACGATGCCAGTGTCGCAGTTGCAGTCGACGACGCGCGAAGCTGTACGCACCACGGGAGGCGGTCCGTTCCTCGCTTCATCTCTTACAACTTTCATAAGATGTGAATGGAGATCCTGTCGGTGCCACATTATTCGATCCGCTCCATACTGCTTCTTGGCAAGCAGCTGGATTTCATTCACCATCTTGCCCTCTGTATTGTAGATGCGGAAACCATGGTCGACCATTCCGTTAGCGCCTTCGATCAGGTCGCTGATACCCCAATTCTCCTGCAATATCCTTGTTGCATTTGGCTGAAGGGAGATCGTTGCGCCGATCTCGTTGCATAGTCGCGATTGTTCGAGGATGGTGACTTGGCGGTTGGCGCCTCGTAGAGCAATGGCAGTCGCCAGGCCGGCGATACCTCCGCCCACAATGACTATTCGGAAAGGTGAAGAAGAAGACATGTTCTAGTAGCGGTATGTGGAAAATACTAGGTGTGAATTACTGAGGTGTAGAAGTTTTCACGAGCACGAGTAATGTTTGCCGGCGTGATACCCGCGGGCATGCAGTCTGATTAAACTAACTACGCTTGTTCGCGCAGGGTACCTACGCGTAATGCTTAGCACGAGCCTGACCTCCACTTTACGATCACTGTCGTTACCACTGCGAGCGACTGACTCAACTTCATCATTTCGGCAATTAGTGCGGGTTGTATAGCCGGGATGAGGTGGGAGCCGGTATGCCCGTCGGAAGGGTGTGGGCGTCCGGAAGATGTGGGGTCGGGTTGATCAAAGCACATTGCGCCGCCATAGTAAGCGGGGTACACCAAATATCTCGCTATACACTTCCAAGGTTGATATTCAGTTGGCCGAACCTTCGATTGTATGATTTTGACGAGAGCTCTTCCGAGCTTTTTCGACTCTTGCTTATTCAGTTGGCTCGCTGATCCATGGTGTAGGATTGCATGCGGCGAATGGTGCTATATTGTTGTCGAGAACTTTTGACAGGTAGCGTAAGTTGAGGGTGTTTCAATTCCAATCTGACCTCGTGCCCGCTTGTATACATCCAGGGTTACCGTCATTGACGCCTAGAGGCAGCCGATACAGATAGGAATTCAGAATAGAACCACTGATACCTAGGTAGGCTAGAACCAAATCACGGCGTGATATCTCTCCGTTCCCCGCAAATCGTCTGCATCAACTTTCCCGGAATGTGGAGAAGTAGCCGTATAGATAGCACACTACAGATACTATAGTCTATGAATACGAGCATATAGCACAGCAAAAGTCCTAAGCAGATTTCTCTTATATTCCTGGTAGTCTATTACCCTGACAGGTTTCAGTAGAAGCACACATGTGGATTCGTGGTCCGCTAGATAACACATTCAGATTCTATTTTTTGCGTCTCCGGACGGGAAAGGAACGCAAGCTAGCACACCGCATGTAAACATGACTTACATTCACACACATTGCTCACGACCATCCCCACTCTCTCTCTCCGCCAATTCATACTCTCCCCTAGCACCAGGCCCAGAACCGTCCTCTCCCTTTACCTCATCGTCCAACCCCCTAAACATCCGATAAAATACCACACCCGCGACAGCAGCTGCACCCCCCAGCCCGCCATACAACCAATGCAAATGCGGGTCCCTCGCCAACGGGGCCACAAGAATCCCCAATGCACTCCCACCCGCACTCGTCAGCAAAAAAAGACTCATGATAAAACTCTTCATCTTCTCAGGCGCCTTTGCGTACGCAAACTCTAAGCCCGTGATACTTGCCAGGATCTCCGATAGTGCGATAAGCATGTACGCCGGGGCCTGCCACGCGACGTGAATATTGTTAGGTGCATATTTGCCCTCTGACAACTTGCCTGCTGCACACGAAGCTGGGAAGTAGAAGCATGGCGGGGCGTTGTAAATGTACATTTGTAAAACGGCGGCGTAGAACATGGCAGCGCTGGCTGTGAGGAAGCCGAGGGAGATCCTTGTGATGGGGCCGAAGGCGAGATGGAGGCGTGTGCGGATGAAGGGGTAGATTAGACGGTCCATAAGAGGGATGAGGCAGATGATGGTGATGGGATCGATGTTGGGCAAGATGTCGTTTGGTAAGCCGTGGAGTTCCATTTGGCCGGCTTGCGAGATGAAGTTGTTCATCATTTGGGAGAAGCAGAGCCAGTAGATGGGAAAGAAGAGAAAGACTTTGCACGCTTGGAGGGCGGTGCGTAGCTCGTCGATGAAGGCGTTGGACCAGGTAATTCGGGCGCGAGAGTGGCGCGTGGCTGATGATGATACTTTGGCGGCGTCGAGTGAGAAGTTATGGCGTGAGGCCATGTACAGGGCTCGGAAACAATCGCCAATGACGCCGCCTTGCGGGGGTTTAATGATGTATTTCTTCTTACCGCGGACGAGGATCACGTAGCCGACGCAAAACATGGCTAGGGGGAGTAGATAGGCGCTCCAGAAGCCGACGTGGAGCTCGAGCATCGTTGTTGCGATGGCGGATATGGATCCTATGTTGATGCACATGTAGAAGACCATGTAGATCCTTTGTACTGTGATCTCAGGGTCTACAATCACTCTTTTTCCGGTATCCAGCGTTTTCACAAAAGGCTTCGTGGACCGGACTTGCTCTGCTATCAACGGCGACACGTTACTCTTAATGCCGCCCGTCCCAAGCCCAATCACCACCATGGCTAGAACAAGTCCCGGAAATGCTGCTCCAGCCTGGACAGCCCACGGTAAACTCGTAGCAAACAAAATCGCTATTCCAGCCATGTAAACCAGGCTAAACCACTTGATCGTCGCATACTTGCCTAGATACTGGTCCGCGACCACGGCGCCGAAGAGCGGCGTGAGATAGCACCAAAACTGGAAGAAATTCGTCATGGCCGTTGCGCCCTGCTGCTTCAGACCCAGAGCTCCGGGTAATCCATTGGCATCATCGGCGCTGTTTGCAATGTAGTTTTGAAAAGGGCCTGAAAGTCCGTAGTATGCGAAGCGCTCGCAGAGCTCGACTATGGCAACTAGGAATGCGCCCGGGGGAAGCGTGTCGGCGACGCGTGGCAGGAATAACATGTCTTCTGGCGTTGGTACGGAACCAATATGAACAGGAGGATCCAAGGTGTCGTTCATGTCTAGGTCCGCATCTTCGATGTCTTTGGGGTGTGCTGTTAACCCCTCGCTTCCATCCTCCGTCTGCGCAACCGTCGTGTATGTACCCCTGTTTTCCCCATTTTGCCGCCACGTTGAAGACATTATGATATTGCGTAGTTTGATGATTGAGGCTCTTTTCAGGGATGATCTGTATTGTGGTGCTTGGTCTTCACCCCTGTTGCTTTTCCCAGTGCCTGCCCTCTACAGCAGAGGAGATAATATGATACCGCCAGATCAAGCCGTGAATCCTTAATGGCATTATTCCCAGATACGGATCAACTCGTTGAACGGAACAGGAGATCGATAAGCTTGCTTTGATGAAGAAGCCCTACCTCGCTGGGAAGCTTAAAGACACGCGTTCGGAAAGTGAGACGGCGTTTGCGTCGGGTCTATGCCCGATTGGGCCTTGAATAGCGCCACAACCGACTACAGTCTAGAGATGCGCCTTGACGAAACCAACGACTTCTAGAGTAAATCAAGCTCAGAATCGGGCTTCGTACAACTCAATCGCTATCTGCTTCACAAGCCGTTACCGAAACCTTATTTTTTATCCACAAAAAACTCATCCAACCTGCCCTCCACATCCCTCACTCCCAACCCCGTCGTTAAACTCCCCCTAATCCACTTTGGCAGTTTATCCTGAATCCGCCTACTCCCATACCGTCTGTCCAGCATCAGGATCGCCGCATAATCGCCTTTGTGCCTAATTGCTCGTCCCACACACTGATTCACAGCTCGCATGCACGCATTCTCGTAAAAGTCACGTGCAGCCGCCTTGCCATCGCCGCCATTCTTTGCTGTTTTGGTGGCGATGTATTGCATTTTTGCTTTCCACTCTGCGGATTGTGCATTGGGGAAGGGAAGGCCTACGACGACGACGCCGCGGCCGAGGGCGTTGCTGAAGTTGATACCTTCGGATAGTGTGCCGCCAATAACGGCGAATAGTAGTGCACCGCGACCGTTTCCTGAGGCGATTGCTGCGCTGTATGCAGAGAGTACAGAAGCCACAGCTGCATCTTTCGACGCTGGTACTTGGTCAGAAGCTTGCTGCTGGCTGCGCTGCTCCAGGAAGACAGGTTTCGATTGTGTGAAGCCGTCCCAGAAAGTTGCTTTCGAGGCCGACGGCTTGATCCGCTTCCATGCTGCAATACAAGTGTCTAAATAAGCGTAGCTGGGGAAGAATACAACTAGCCCATCCGGTATATGCTGAGAAAAGTTCAGGATGGCAGTCCCCAGATCAATCATCGTCATTTCCTTGTTGCGGTTCTCAAAGGTAAAGTCAAACTCGACGCCGCCACTTGTACGCATAACGGGAACCGCCAAAAGATTTGAGGGCGGAATAACATGGCCGCAGGACAGTGTCATGATCTTGGAGGGTTCGAGATATGATAGTAGATGCTGTTCATAGTCGCTCATTGGTGACATTGTACCGCCGGCCAAAACGACAGCTCTTGCTTCTTCTACAATCTCTTTGAAGTGAAAAGTTGGATCTAGAAGCATGTAGCGCAGTGTTGTGCTTGTATCTTCTTCCCTTGAGTAAAAGAACCGTCCTTCTGTAGATGGATTCATCAGGGATAGTAGGAAGGCTTGGACATGCATCAAGACCGGAACGTTGTGGCGTGGACCTTTCTTGACTACCTGCTTTGTCGATACCATGACGTCTTTATTTTTAGTCTCCTCGGCGTAGGCAGTGTAACCATCAACCTTGCGAGCAAGTCTGCTCTCCTGGAGATAAGTATTGAGCTTATATATATTAATCTGGTCAACGCCTTTGCCAGACATGATGGAAACCATATCCACTAAGCCATCGGACATGCCTGGCTTAGCATGGATGATTTGTAAATATGCAACAATCGAGTCGAGAATCCGGACCGTTTGGGCAACGTAAACTCGGTTCTTCCCCTTGAGCTTATTGCGAAACTTCTGCAGGTAGACTGTGAGCTGCGTCCGCGCCTGCTGTACCTGCTCAAGCGTCACCGAGACTGAATAGATACCCGCAATTGCATCCATCAAGTTGTGCGCTTCGTCAATGATGACGATGTGATCCCTAAGGGAGATGCCGAGTGCCTCGCGAGCACTTCGCTGCAACAGGAGTGGATATGGTAACGTCACGATCTAGTCAAGTCAGTATAAAGTTCTTCTGCATGTTGAAGTGCCAACTTACCTCACAATATTTTAGAGTAGGCCTTGAGGCATAGTAGGGACATACACCCAACTTCTTACCCAGCGAACCCAAGTCTTCAATGTCTCTGATCTTTGCAAGTGCGTGATCTCGGAAGTCATTGATCAGAGGCTCACTTTCTTTAGTCGGCATATGGGGACATCGAGTCTCTGCGACGGAGCTTTGCTGAAGCTCAAGACATCGCTCATTGATCGCAGTGGCACTCTCGAGCCTATTCACTTGGCTATTGATGCAAAGGTTTTTCCTCGAACCAAGAGTCAAGTGCTTCACATCTTCCACCAGAGATTCGATACCGCCACCATTCTCTGTATCATCCGATGCAATGGCGGGTGGCATCTTCACCCGGCCCAACTCACTCGAGAACTGCGTCAGCTGAGAGTGTGTTCGCGAGCAAAAAAAGATCTTGGTCTCGTCAGGCGTCTCGCCGTCATCCTCTTTCGGGACATCGACAGAATAGCCAAGCGATGCCATCAACGCCTGTGTCTCTGCGGATAGTCCTGATTCATCGAATGTACCAGCTTTTGCTCGCTTGTGAGAATCCTCATCGCTTTCATAATCGTCAAGCACATATTGCGCTTCATGATCATCGCTGGCCTCACTAGTTGCTATCCTCTGCCTTTTGTGCTTTGGCTCACTATTTTCATAACGTTCTTTCGCGCGCTTTTCCTTCGCCTTAACTTTGGCGATGCGATCATTGAGGTCTTGCTTACGTCGAAGCGCTTCCTGTTTCCGCTGCTTCTGAGCGTGCTCAACTATCCACGAAGGCTCACCGCTGTTGTTCGCATCCATGGGAAACCCTTCCTCGAACGTCCGTCTCTTGTGGTCCCGCAGCCAAGTCAGTGAGCCGCAAATCAAGCTCAGAGACTTGCCGGTTCCGGTTGGCGACTCAAAGATACCGACCTTGCCGTCTTCCAAACATTTGTAAACGGCGCCCATGAACTCATTCTGGATATCGTAGGGCGTATACGGGTGGTGGAAATCTTGCCGGGGGGTTGTTTGATCCATGGTTGAAGGCGGGGGCAGAAATCGTGCCGTTGAGGCCGACAGACGCGACGCGTCGCGTTTGTGGAAACGGGCGTTCACGTGGCAAACTAAACGCTCGGACCCTTGACGAAGCAACCACTATACATGTATGTATGTATTCCCCAATTGTACCACTCACGAGAAGAGGGAGAAGAACTCAAAGAAAAACCGATATATTTTGGTTGCAGGGCTAGGCATGGTAAACGACTACAGTCACGTCTAAGAGAGGCCATTACAGCAGTTTCCATATGTCACTCATTAAACAAAAACTACATGCACTCAGCTTCTAATCTTATCGCGGTACGTTGAGTCTTCCCTCTCGCTTCCCACCAGCGTCCTCTTCACCACTCTTCTCCTCCTCTACCATTATGCCCCCATCACTACTCACTCTGCTCCCCGCACTTGCAGACCTCTTGTCAGCCTTCGGATTTAAACTTCTCAATCGTTCCGGCGGCACAAGCTTTTGTAGTCGACTAGCAGCCGTAGGATCCATTGCCGCTATACCCACTGGCGTCGCAGTATGAAGTAACTCGCGAACTACGCCTGGGTCTTTCTCAAAGTGGCCGTAGGAATGCGTGGAACCAGACGACTGAGGTCGGGAGTGCTCGTCACTGGTAGTTTGTGGGATGGGCATGACAGCCAGTTCGTCCAGCCAGCGACGGGCTAGGTACCGCTTTGTCCTTGACCAGGTGCCGAATTCTTCTGTTGCTGGATCACTGGGTCTTCCTAGCTTCAACTTATCCTCACCAAACCAGGTCGTCAACAATCTCCACTTTACACCGCCCCACCACCCAACTGGCACGACGTCCGGACGAGGGCCGCCTCTGGTCCATAGGGAAGAGTGAGCGGTAGCCAGCTCATGGTACAGTGACTCATAAACACCACGTCGCATGGGGTTTTGGCGTTGACTTGCTAGGTTGTGCTTGACACCGTACCAGAGAATCATAACGGTGACAAGTACAGGGACTGATACTATGAACCACCATTTTAGAGGAGGATTGTTCTCAAAGGTTGAAACATTCATGCCAAAGAATCCCACGGCTATAGAGAGTATCGGGTTAGTATGTATTTCAAGTGCATCTCAGATATTTCCACTTACTAAAAGTCAAAGGTAGGAAGCTGATATGTTAGCCCGGACGCTGAGATGATAGCTGCAAATTACTCACATGAATGTAATCCAGCTCAACCGCCACATGCTTAACCCCAACTGTAGGCTATGCCGTGCATCTCTAATGCCCACACTCTTGTACATCAAATCACTCAGCGCAGTGGTAGGCTGGATAACATCCCTATCCCACTGCCCTGTCAATTTATCCAGCTCATCCGGCACAAAGCCCAACCAGGGTTGGTCTGATGATTTCTTTGGATCGGCGCCAGCAAGGTCGTAGAGGTGGGTCACCATTTCTTTAATGAGATCAACGTGGAGGTAAATGAGACGTTCCACCTTTAGCCACTGCGCGCTGTTCTTCCACAGCTCAGGCGCTCTCGACTCGTCGGCGGGATTTTCGTAAACTGGGAGTATTGGTCAGAAATTCTCGAGACGGTCCATGGCTCAAATACTACTTACTCTTATCCTCCAGGATGCCCACATGTGTCTCACATAGACCAAGGAACTTGTGCCAGTTATAGGCCAAGGCCTTGAAGATATCCTGGAGTATAAAATCCATGCACTCTGCTGTCAAGGTTTCATCACTTTCTTCATGAGGCAAGTAGAAGGAAAGTCGCCTCCAGCGGGATTCGAGCTCTTGGCGGGCTCCTACAAGAGTGTCTTTGATGGAGCCAGTGACGGAGTTTTCGAATAAGATTATCGTGTTTCCATTGTCAAGAGACCTGAGCTTTGGAATGTACTTGTCTTGGTGCTCGTTTGCATTCACATTGCCGTAGCTCTTCTTCAGGCGCATATACTCGTCCCATGCCTCGTCATCGTACGGGTTTGGTATATCAGGATCAACAGCCTGTCCCGGCATGCCGTCACTGTATTGCACATATACGCTCAGCCGCTGTACATAGACATCGTATCCGTACCGTGGCTGATCTGTTTCATCATAGTGGTTGAGCTCCATGATGGGTTTGCTGTGGTTGGGGAAGGGGATGTGGGTTTCCCTGTCGTACGACTTGAGATAATCGGCACCAAAAGCTGCACGTGAGATGCCACGCCAAGGATCGCGTTGTGCGCGGAAGGTGCGGCCATTCAGCACCGGCTTGCCACCCCGTTGTTGAGGCTTTTCTTCGCGGGCCCAGCGGCCGAAGTTTGTGCCTATGAGGTCGTCGGTGGCGTCGATGTTGAACTTGCGCAGAAGATATCGCGTCGCCCAACTGGCATTTTGGACATGGATGACACGCAAAGCTGCCTGGCCTGCGACGTCTTCCTTGCGGTAGAAACGGCGCAAGCTGTCGATATCGCAAAACTCCTGGGCCAAGATCTTCCGCCTACCTCGAACCGAGTGTTCGCTCGCAACATAGTCAATGAGCAGAACACGGCCTTGGGCCCAGCTATCCTTGTTCCATGGTTGTTTCCATTCGAGATTGGGACTGTGCTTGCGACGGTGTCCAAACGTGGATCTGTGATGATCGTGTAGGCCGTGTAGCTGGCTTTGGCCGTCGATACGTGGACGCGTGGCTGAAGTGAAGGAGCGCGGTGCTAGTCCTAGCCGTCAACTACGCCTTCGTTTCGACAACGGTTTGCGATACTCACCACTTGTCGAAGTGTCTTGCACAGTAGTGGGCGGTGGAGGCGAGGGGTCACCCTTTGGTGTTCGCGAGCCAGACATTATGGGCTCCAAGTTTGCCTCTATTGCTGAAACCTGGCGAAAGCTATCAAAGGTTTACCTGCACGGTCTCATTCAAGTGTACCCCAAACAAATGCAGAAGGTGCGACTACGACGATGGGGTGCGACTGGCAAACAACACGTGGGGGGGTTTGTTATGGCAACACATGAACCCATGGATGCCGTAGAAGGAACATGTCACAGCGGACGACAATTGTAGTGCGCTGCCATAGTGGAGGCCTGACAGGACAGTGGTGTGTGCGCGTGGTGGCTGTGAGACGATCATGAGGCTGACAGCACCTGCACCTGCAGTATCTGGATGGGTCCCGCGCTTGTCCCCGCTCGCTCAGCCTAATTATTACGTAGTCAGTAGCTTTGCCGACTTCCGACCCTGGGCTTGTTCGGTCCAAAACGACTAGCGGGTCGGCTTCAATCCACCATGTGAGCATCGCAAGTGCATGGATTAAAACACTGATATTATAGAACATGCTACTGTACAAGTCGGTATATGCCTTTGTGCTGTATATCGAGCGCTTTACATTACAAAAACGCCATCTCCGCGCGTTGGCTATTAGATCTATTAAGTAGTCAAGGCTCGAGGCCCGTTGATCGTCACAAAGGACGGACTGTACAAAACAATAAGCGCATGAGTATGCTAGGAGGGGGTCATGACATCGTATCGGGCTGATGCAGCGCTGATAGTGCGCAAAGTGGGTATTAGCAAAGAAACAAGAAAAAGCCCGTCAACAAGGGTTTGGCTCGCTCAAACGCCGCAAAAAGATGAAAACGCCTGTCCCAAGCCATGTGGTCATTCACATTGGCGACTGCGCTGCGTGATTTCTTCGTCACTGAGCGCAGCCAGCCAGAGACATTTGCTGATAATGTGTGGTTCAACCTTGAACGTGTATTTGGAACTGGCCTCGAGGAGACGCAGCAGGTTTTTGACAATACTGGCGGCTGTGTGGTGTCGGTCAAAGTTGACAAGTCGTTCGCCATCGACTACGGGGGCATCAATGAATGCGGGCTTTTGTGCGTTGTAGATGAGGTCACGAGTGTAAACGCCTGATCAATGTTAGTTGATTATCTGACTGCATGTCGTCAAGTAGCTTACCAATGAACGGAATGCAACCATCTTCAACCGTTGCAGTTTCCATCTCAAGCCGCAAATTGTGGAAGTTCTTCAAAGGCTGCACAAGGCCCTCCAATTCTTGCATGACAAGTATCTCAGCTGCAGGAACCAGAGCCCACGTCTTCTTGAGGCTTGAAATGTCGTTCGATATCAGCGCTATCGCAATCTGATACATGGTGGCGTAGTTGCGGTACCGTCGCGCATGTGTTGCGATGTGAATATACTTGACAATACATCGTGCACGCTCATGAATGTCCTCGGTAAGCAGACACTCGGACACGACCCATTTGACGACAAGATTGAAACGCGCAATAACCACGTCAACACCCCTGGCCTCTTCAGTTCTTAGGTATTGTACCCAATCGCGGATTTGCGGAGACGACTGCTTCCAACGTAGCTCGATGAGCTCCTTCCAGTCAATTTCATCCAATGCGTCCTTTTCGACAATGGTAAATTGCTGAGCAAGAGTTTCAGAGTCATATGCCAAAACAAAAGGGAGATGTTTGGTAGGTAGTTGGGGTGTGGGCCGCGTCTTTGGTGGGTCAAAGGGTATGCCAGTTGCGTGGTTGGGCGTCTGTGTCTGGCCACGAGAGACGGTAGGTGTAAGGCCGGGTGTGGGTGGACCGCGATCGAAGTCTGTTGCGTCGGGCATGGTATCATTTAATCGATTTGCTGTAAGTGGCGGCGTTGGTGGGTGGCGCATAGGGTGCGTTGGGTGGTTGTCTGCGTCTACTCCGGGAGTTGCTACTTCATCATCAAAGAAACTTCTCACGCCATGGCTACTGTAACCCGATCTAGCACCAGGAGTTGACGCCGCGTCACTGACATCTTCGTCCTCATCAACCAGGAATGACTCGCGCGCATATGAAGTCATTGGCAAGGTTCCACCGGTCGGTATACGCTTCATGCTCTCCGTTTCCACAACGTACTCAATCGAAGAGTTCATCGATGATGAAGTACCTGGTGGCATATCAGACTGTGGTGAGATGCTAGGAAATTGGCTGGCAAATTGTAGAGGTGAAGGTTTGGCAGATGACCTCATAGTCTCTAGAGTGCGCGCTCGCTGCGGAGTAACCAGGTCGCTCAATCCCCGGTCAAGAAGAGGAATTGAGGAGTACGAGTCCGTCGACTCGCCGACCGATGTCACGGCAGGTACTCTGCGGTTTCCGTTCTCATCTGGCAGCCGGTACATGCCGTCCCCATCTGTTTCGGAAGATGCCAGTTGGTGGTGGAAACCTTCGTCGTTGTCGTAATGCTCGTCTTGCTCAGCAGTGCCAGGGCGGAAGATTTGCTCGATAATCGTGGTTGGAAGGGGCTCATCCATGTCGACTGTCGTTCGTCGTGAGTCAGTGTTTGGTGATTTCTTCTCGTAGCGGCCTTCCAGTTTCATCAAGGCTGATTCTACGCCGCCTTCATCGTCCGTATCGTCTGGCAACGCGGCGAGTTTTGCTACTTCGGCCTCGAAGGATGGTCGGAGATTGGGCTGTGAAGAATGGGTAGCGACCAAGGATATTGGCTTCTTCGGAATCTCTGCCTCAGGCGGCCCTTCGACGCCGCGGAGGGCTTCTGTGTCCGGATCAATGTAACGGTCGGATCGCAAAATCACCGAATTGCTAACAGAGTGCGTGCGATTGGACACCGAGCCAGTAGAGTGTGGACGCTGCAAAATTTCAAGATCATGAATATTGTCTGCAGCACGTAGGTCCCCTCCAGGTCGTCGACGGAGTTGTCTTGCGGGTCCGGAAGCCTCGGTAATTGGCTGGCGATCAAGGAAGAATGGGTCGTTGTCGGAGGGACATGGTTGGGAACGTAGCGATACT